TTTTTCTTTTTCTTTTCTTTTTCTTTTTTCTTTGTTTCTTCACATGAACTTGCGGATCAATACACTTAGCGGGAAAGGAATGTTCCTTGCATCTTTCTCCATAGGATACTAGACCACATCTCCCCGATTGGCATGTGATACAGCATGTTATATACGGGGAGAGCTGCATGGTGGCTGGCTGGCTCGGTTTCCCCTCGTTGATAATTGGTGATTTCTCGCAGCGTCTGTGATATGCATCTTTGTTCTTTGTCCCATGCATGTGAAAGGGAGAGGCGGCTATCTGAGATTAACATTACCGTCATAGTTATGGCAATTTTCTGCCATTGATATTTTTGGGATTGGATTGTTGTGGGATCAAATTTTGCTTTTTTTTTTTTTATGGAGTTTCTAGTGGCGTCGACTTGCATCCTGCTGTTCGCAGACAGGAAACGGATTGGGAGGGATGTCTGATTGCATTTCAGCGGATCAAGGATTCACCCCGCGTACAGTACACTCGAGGATTCCAATTACGGCCGTACAGTGCATGACTATCTATTTGTTTTTTCTGATAGAAGTTTTACCTCCTTTCTTTTCTGTCCCTCAGTTCCCCCATGAGGGAACCGGGCCGATGTGGGCGTGGAATCGCGTTGGAGACAGAGGATATTTTGAAGACAGGATGATCAGTCAGACTAGGTACCACTGTGACCGATGTAGAGTTTAGTGGCAGATGCTCATTGCACCAAGCAAACGGGCATGGCTTGTTGTCGATGCCATGAGTGGTGCTCGGCCAGAGCATCCAAATGCGCTGGCATCCCGATTGGGAAATGTTTGATTCGCCCAGATCATCTCGGCTGCTAACGTGAATAGCTCATATGCACCGTGGGCTCCTTTTCGGTCTCTGGCATGGCATGCAGATAATCAATCGCCCGGCCAGTTGTCAGTTTTTGTACACACACCCCATAGTGGGCTCAGCTAATGCTGCATGTCACTCACTCATTGGAAGGGGTGGGTGAGCGGGCCATCCTCGGGTGTTCCTTTAAGATGCGTGACCATCCCGAGCATGCAGTACCCAAAAGGTGAAAACTAGAATTCAGCTGGCAACTTCCCTTTGCCAGTAGATACTGAATTGGTGTTGCTTGAGGTGTCTCGGGGTCTGTTGTTGAGGTGGTCGAGTCGCAGCTTACTTAGTAGCACTGAATCCACCTTGCCGATGAGCTAGCTAGCTACCTTCTAGTATCTACTGTGTCTAAATGATCGCTAGACGCGCCCTTCCTCAAGCATAAGTTGCACGCAGGGGGATATGGAGGGAGTGGATGTACTTTGTAATCGATAAGTGGGTGTTTACATGTCTTCCTGACGAGTATTCTTTATTTTATGAGACGTGGTCAATATTGGCGTAGTCATGTTGTTCATTGTTTCAGTCGAAGGAGTGTCTGCACGGCTGAGATTAGAGAGGTATGTCGTGCATGCAGATGTTGGATGTATGTAGTTAAGTAAAGTTCCTGCTGCTAGATAAACTAATTTGTATTAATCGGGATTTCGCATAGGAGGTTAATTTTTCTTGTTCGGTAAGCGTATCTTTATTTCCTTGAATAGGTTGTGAACAGGTTGTATGCATGAAGGATGTGCTTTGAAGTGTTAAAAGCGTAGTAGTTACATGTTTGGAAGTTACTAAGTAAGTACTAGACTTGGGTACGTAGAGGAAGTCAGCTCAGCGCTGAATGGGACGATATATGACGTATCAGCTAATGAAGGAGCTTAAGTGGCAGCAGTCACTGAAGTGGTTGCCAATCGGGCGATTTGGGGAAGGAAACTACTTACTTAGTTAGTACTTAGTTGAGTCTAGGAGGATCCCAGTAAAAGAAAGTAAGTCATGAAAGGTCAGGAATGAATGAATGAATCGTGGTCCAGCCAGCCTCTTCGATGGGCCCCGGCACGTGCCCGGGACTCCCCGGCCACCTCCCCAGCCTCACCGCGAGTTTTGTTCATTTCCTTCCGATTCCCTCGCATTTCGCTGGTTCCCTCGCAGGAAATGGAAGGATTGAGAGAAGGGCTTGAGCGTGCCATGACCTCAGACTAACTTCTTGTACTGTAAGTGCATTCTCACCATCTCCATCTCCATCTTTCCCCTTCAGATCCGATGAATGCTGCCATCACCACCCGCCCGCATCTGATCGATCGCAAAACATACCCCACATTCCTTGTTGTTTAGCACGTCAGAGATTCGCAAGTCTAGAAAAGATTCCTATCATCATCATCTTATCATCTCATGCATTTTATATCATCCTTCTTTGGGTTACATTTTTTTCATGGTCTCATACTTACTACTCTGTAACTAACTACCTTTTGGATGATGAGATTATTAACCCAGCCCGAAACTAGTTACTTACTCACGGACTCCCTCGCTCGTTGCTCATCCACCGTGCTCCATCCTGGCCCATCACGCTAAAGCTGTTAGTGGCTGATTGTCTGGAGCAACCGAGCGCTTGCCAGCCCGCCTCTTTTTCTTCTGTTGCTTTTGTGCTGAAAGGCTGACCGTGGTTCTCTGGCTTTTGGTCTCCGCTCCAGCTTGGGGGACCCTCCGACTTCCCGAGAAAAAAAGAACCACGGTTCACTTGTTTACTTTCCTCCCGCCCGTCGCAAAAACAATCGCCGCCGATCTATACCCGCCCGCCTCTTTCTTTCTCATCTTCAATTCATCACCTCTTTCCCTTCCACTCCCATCTTCACCTCGCTCATACGGTCTCTCCTTTCTCCATCTAACGACCCCGTTACGATTGTTACGATTTCTTTTATTCATCTTTAATTCTTTTACCCTCCTTTCCCTTTCAATCCACTCCTGCTTGGTTCGATTGCTCAATTAGGCGACCGCGTCTACCCTCTATTCCACATGGTTGCCTGAGTCGCTAGAGCTTTGATCGCTCTCTGCCCACCATGTTCAAAGCCCTTTTGGGCGGGGGTCGCTCGTCCTCGGATGTCCGCAGCTCCTCGAGCTCCAAGAGTAGCAGCCGCCGCAGAACCGACTCGAAATCTTCGACGGTAAGCCGCAAGTCCTCACGGGGTGACGACCGTGATCGTGGCTTGGGTGATCTGTCCAACTACCGATCCTCCAGCAGCCGGAATAAGCGCTATGCTCCAAGTGTGGCAGGCGACTCGGTAGCCTCGAGCTATGCGACAGCAGACCAGGGCACCCCCATCGAATCCGATCGGGTGGTGGTCGAACGCGCGCCCCGGCGTCAAGACTCAAACGACACCACCGACCGTCGCGATCGATACCGAGACAATGGAGGCGGAGAAGGGAAAAGCTCCCACAGGCGCGAACGAGCCCGGTCGCCGAGTCGTGAGCGTGAGCGTGATGGCGATCGGCGGGAACGACAACGTACTCAGTCAGGCGATCTGTATGCATCCCCAGTAATTCCGGGCATGCCTCCTTCCCCTGGCGATTTCGCCACCGCGAGCCCTCATACGTACCCTCCAGTTACTGAGGCAATGCCAACCACTTCAATGCCCAGTCCGCCGCATGCAACCGCATTCTACGACCCTCATGTAACACAGCAGTTTCCTGGCCAGTTCCCGACATACGTTGCTGAGCCTTACCTACCGCCAAACCCTGCAGGAGAAGCAGCTGATTATTACGGTGATCAGGGACAGTCTGTCCAAGACCAGCCCGGGGTTCGACCTAAACCTCCGTTGGTTGCCGCCAGCGACCAAGCGCATCTCATGACAGCATCGCCTACCGCAAACCCACCGCCAGAGCCAAGTAGCATGGGCCAGGTCGGCGCTGCTGCGGCCTACTTTATGGATGACGCTGAGTTGGGAATGGAACAGCCCGAAGCAACACCATCTGCCTCTGCCCCGAAACCACCAAAATTGTCAAGACCGCCAAGGCCCTCGGTACAGACGGCTGGAATCTCTAGCCCACCTGCCGTTACCACTGCAACGACGATGTCAGGAGCTGAGGTTATGGATTCCCCAGGGCACACTATCTCGGAATCCCCTGCAACCTACATGCCACCTACCACATCCAGCCCTCCAAAGCCTCCTCATTCCCATGGAGGGGGTGTTGCAGTTGGCGCCGCCGCCGCCGGTGCAGCAGCCGGTTATATGATGAGCCAACATCATCAGTCCTCCGCAAGCGTTGAGCATTCTTCCCAGTACAATATGCAAAACTACGAGGATGTACTCCCGGCCTACCCAGAAACCCCGTCATTTCCCCCTCCGCAGAACATGTCACCCTTTGCTGCAGGACCTGCGGCAGCGGCGGCGGCGGGGTATGCGGCAAGTCCGCTACACCCAGATCATGCTGCAGTATACCACGGTGCTCCTTTCCAATCCGGAGGTTTGGCTTTTCAACAACGTCAACAAGGCCCCTTGGACAAATTCATCAATTTCTGGAAGGACCCAGAAGGCGTCGGCATGTTCGAGGATTACACGGAATCTATCGGGGTTTGCAAATATTGCTTTGAGCCCGGCACGACATCTCAAGACGCACCTCGCAGGCATAACCATAAGCCTCGCCGTCGCTCTGCTGATCGGTACAGTAATGGATCGCGTGTTGATAAGGCAAGCCGCTACTCGTCGTCGGAGGACGAAGGGAGGCGTCGCAAAAGGTCGTCGAGAAACTCATGGTTGCCCGGGCTGCTTGGTGGATATGCGGTTAAATCCATCTTCAGTAGTAAGGAGTTCGACGAGTCTTATAGCATTCGAACGGGTGAGGTGGCGAGCTCTCGGCATTCGATTCACGAAAGTGAAGGCGCTTCCACAGCTGGTCGACGAAGCCAGACCTCTCGCGGTGTTTACAGACGGTCCCATCGAAGCCGATCGCGGGAACATACCGATCACAGCTCCTATCATTCGGACTCAAAACTCAGCAGATATGAAGGATCTCGACTACGTTCTCGGTCTCGCTCCCGTTCTTCATCTAGAAGTCAGCGACAGGCTGCCCTGAGGAATGCGGCCCTGGGTGTGGCAGTTGGAACAGCGGCCGTGTCAGAATACGAATCCCGCCACAGAAGCAGGAGCCGCAGTGCATCTTCGAGGGGAAGGAAGCCCAGAAAGGCATCTTCTTCTGATGAATCTTTCGTGGATATTTCGAGGCCCGCCCGAAAGACTGTGGGTAGTGGCTTCAGTTCGTTCTTCACTGCATCATCCGAGAACCGCCGCAAGCGCCGGACCAAGAGGCGCAAGAGCATCTTCTCGTTCAGCAATAATAATTCTTCTTCATCATCACTCGATGCGGATCTGGCGTTTGGGTCTGCATATGCGAAGCGCCAGTCAGGTAAGTCCAACAGGCGAAGCAAGAAGAAAACGGATACAGATATGGATGCTGCCTTACTGGGTCTAGGCGCAGCCGCCACAGCACTGGCCACCTCATCTCATCGAGGACATCGGCGCACTGGGGAGATCCTTGTCGCCAAGGAGTCTCGATCCGGTCGGTCTGATTATGAGTCATCTGCTGCTAATGATGAGGGCTGGGAAGATCTTGACTCAGGTGACCAGTCCTCGTCAAGTGTCACCTCCGGCCTTGCGTTCGGCGAAAGTGGTCATTTCCCCAGCACTGACTCTCACTCGTCTGATTCCGGAACATCGAGATGGCCTTGGAATTGGGGAAGCAAGAAGACCAAGAAGAAGCAGAAGAAGAGAAGGTCTCGCTCCTCGGAGAACCGCTTCCCCGCAGAAGCTGCGGTCGCAGCTGGTCTCGGTACGGCCGCCTTAGCATCTGCATACCACCGGGACTCCAAGGTGTCCAGTCACGATGCTGCAAGTAGTACTGGAAGCCTTCAACATGTGGCTCCTATTCCCACCAGTGACCCTTCGCGTTTCGACGCCATGAAGGTGTCATCTCAACCTCCTTCCCAGCCGACATTGGTCCGACCAGGGCCCATTCCCCTGCAGCAGCCACAGCCAGTGACACCGGTCTCGCAGGCGGTATACACTTCTCAAGGCGAATCCATCCCCTCCTATAGCGTACCTGATATACACCCTACTCCTGCAAGCGCTTTCATGCCTTACGAAACCCCATCGAGAAGCGACAGGTGGAACCAGAGGACCGCAGACTATGCTGAACGAAGTGATATCTCTTCAAGAATCAGTCGGGCACACCGGCGTAGTGACTCCTCTCCGGTCTTTCACGCAGAGCCGCTTGAGAGAACGTCCACGTCAAGCTTTAGACGTCGCTCGACATTGAAAGACCAGGCCTCGGTACAGTTTGACTTGACTGAGGAGCAGGCTAACAAGGAGCGACGTGCAAATCGCCTCGAGAGTCTGAAACGCGAGGGCGATGCCGGTGAAGGAGTGCGACTCGTTGATAGAGAGCAAGAAATGGCGCTTCGGGATGCTGAGCGTCGAGCGAGCCAGCAGAGAGAACGTGAATATGAAAAGTCAAGAACCGAGGAAGAAAGTTCACGAAGCGAGAAAGATTCCTCGTCATTGATAGGTGCTGCTGCTGTAGGAGCGATAGGTGGTGTTGCTTTTGGCACGATGCGTTCAAGAAGTTCGAACGATGATTCCTCCGAGACCGCGAGCCAACGTCGGCACGAGGAGCGTCGTGAAAAGCGTCGAGCAGAGAGGCGCCGCGTTTCCGATTCAGAGTCTATTGCATCAAGTCTGCCAATGTCGGAAAGTGGAAGAACCGTGACAGATGTGCCTTCGCAGATGGACCGCCTGCCAGAGGATGTGAGGCCCCGGCAATCCCGCCCACTTCCTCGCACAAAGCCCGTTTACGAGGACTATGCTCAATTCTTCGCCCCTGAAGAGCTACGCTACAGTCCTGATACCTACACACGCCGAGAGCCCACCTCGATGCCAACCATTATCGAAGTAGAGCCTGCCAACGAATCTGCTGTTGTAACAGAGGAACCACACCCTGACTACAATGGCTTGCCGTGGCCTGTACCCGGACTAACGCTTACTGAGCCAACACCCCCCCATAGCCAGGTTGGCTCCGCCAGGGCGACGCCAATCATATTGATCCCTGGACGGCACGAAGAGGAGAACAGTTTTGAACGGCAAACAACCGGCTCACGAGTATCATGGGGCAAGCATGAGACGCATGAGTACGAAGTGCCCTCGACATCTTCCGAGCATGAATCTATCGACCAGGAGACTAGAGTTCTCGAGCACATTGAAGAGGTTGAGCCTATTACCGCAGACACTGCACGGGAGATGCCGCCAAGCTCCTCTACCCAATCTGCAACTAAGGAGGCCCCAAGCATGGTGGGAGCAGATATCGAGTTCGCGGCTGCACTTGCTGCTGCAACTGCAGCTGCAGGCTTTGACCCTTCGCTTGTAACGGATGATCCCACCTTCCATACCAGGCGCTCTCCTCCTACCTCGGAGCCGAAGGTGCAGTTTGTGTCACCCTGGGAAGAAGCGCCCGTGCCACGGTCCGTGCCTCATGGATTTGTGGAAGGCGAAGTCGAGACGCCAGACGATGACGAGAACATCCAGATGGCACCAGAGTACCGCATCGAGGATGGTCCCCTCTTTTCAGAGCCTAGACCTCGTACTGGTGAAGAGCTTGCTAATGAGCCCCGGCAATCTATTGCGCAAGAAGTTATCGAGCACCTCAGCCGCAGGAAAGAGCGTAATGCTAGCGACAGCCCTGCTAATCAGCCAAACCTGGAGCCCGCCAGCAAGGGCGTTTCTGAGATTCCCGTGGAGGTCCTTTCTATGCCCGGTGGTTTCGAGCCAGAAGAGTCAATGGAGAAGCAGGGGAAAGCGAGCGATTCGACCTCCACGCAAGAGCGCGATTCTCCTTACTTCGTGTCAGGGCCTGGAACCAAGGAGGATGGCCCTTCGCCATTGCGAGACACTCCAGAGCAGAGCAGCGGTGACATCGAGCCAAACGACGATGACTTTGATCCAATCACAGTCGGGGCTGATGGAGGTGAAGGGAAGAAGAAGCGACGGAAGAGGCGTTCCAAGCGCAGTAGTAGCGACAACTATGAAGACGCAGTTTCCATCACCTCTTCGCCCGCCAGGCTGGAAGAAAAGACGAAGGAGACAAAGCCCGGCGGTTTCTTGAGCAATCTTTTTGGGTCAAGAGTTTCAGCACCGGTAGAAGACAAAGAGACATCCTTTGCTGATAAACATGCCTCTCGTGAAGTCCAATCGGAGATCGGGTCTGGACGTAGAGAGAAATCATCGCGGCATCGCAGCTCCAGTCGAGGAGACGGGCTGGATGGCGAGTCTCGCAAGCAGGATGACGCGGAGAACATTAACGTTGAACATTATAAGTCTAGCAGGCAACGAAGGGAAGAGAGACGTCGACAAAGATACGAAGACATGATGGAATCTGGTAAATCGTCGGAGTTTGAGAAGGTATAGTGCTTGGTTGTTTTTCCCATTACCTGTAAATTTTGGCTTTGCCTTGGCTATTCCCATATCCGTTTGACAGTTCACGTACAGCGCATATACTAAGATTATCTCTCTTCTTCTTCCATGTATAGGATCGGGAACAATTTCAGGACGACGAGCAACAGTCTTTTTTAGAGGAGGGCCCCGGAATGCCAGTCAAGGTAGACGAGGGTGATGATCATCGTGGTGCTTCGGGGCGGCTGGATCCTGATATCACAGGGTTGGGACTCGATGTCCTTGACTCCCGGCCACGGAGTCGCTCTGCATCGCCGCCTGCCTCGGAGAAGACCGCCAACCCCGCGCCCACGTCGCAAAGTAGACCAACTTCCCCTGAATTGGCCCGGTCCCAGGAAGAGAACCAAGGCCAACGATCTCGGCGGTCGTCTGTGTTGCGGTCAACCGAGTCACCTACTGCCGTGCCACTGCACTTCCGTCGACCACCAACGTCACCTCGAGCGAATCGGTCTCCTTCCGTTTCTTCGGTCGTCGCTCCTTCCCCTGGCTCTCCGACACAGGGTCGCCGCCGCCCAGCTTCTACCGAGTTCAAGAATTCTCGTGAAATCCGGCCCTTGTGGCTCGTTGAGCGCTTTGGTGCTAGCAAGTCGGAGGCTCCCTCCGATGAGCCCCTCCCTTCATTGCCTTCGAGCAAGACTTCTTCAGCAAACGCGTCTGTGGAAGACCTCGCAGCTCTGCCAGATGTGAAGAAGTGGGAAATGGTTGACCTGAGCGAACACGTTCAGGGACCGCCCCGGGCTATGGCTGTAGAGACCTCTGCTGCACAGAACCAATCAAGCGATGAGGGCTCGTATGATTTCCTCGATTCTCAACAAGGTACTCCGACCGCCGCTTCGTTCGGTCAAATTCCTCACCATCCTCCTTCCAGGAAGGAGAAGCTTAAATACGAGTTCCATTCGCCCTCCGAGCTTCTGCAGGATGTCAGCGTGCACCAGGAGTTGCCACCATCCCCAGAAATTGGCCCCCTTCCCTCAGCAGAAGGTTCTGCAGTTGGTGTGAAAGAAGATATTGGAAGTGAGCGCGTGGAGGCTCTCCCATCACTTCCTGAAGTACGCCCGTCTACGCCTGAAGACAGAGTGCTCCATGGCGAAGGTGTGGCAGAAACTACACCAACACAGACAAGAGATGATTTTGCAAAGTACGAACCCATGACTGATGTGCTATCTGGAGGTGATGCTGGTACAGGCGATGATAGTCCACTCGACTCTCAGCGCTCCGCAGAGCAGATTACTCCAGAGAAGGACCAAACTCTCGAGGAAGGCGATCACAATGCCAAAGCTGCTGCAAGTGAAGACCTTCCGGTCCAGATCCCTACCTCAGATCTCCTGACGTCAGAGAAAGATCGATCGATTCAGTCGGCCCAACGGAACACACCTGTAGACGTTGCGGCTATGGTCAGCACGGCCGTGGCAGCCGTTGCTGGTTCTGTCCTGGGCAAGCCAGACCAAACTGAGGAACCACAAGCTCGCGAAATTGATCATGCCAAGAACGAGATGAGTCTGCCTGAGGAGCCAGGCAACTTCCAGGTTGATTTCACCTCAAAGGAAGCAGGTTCCACGCCCATTATTACTGGCACAGATTCTCAAGCCGTGCCTGAGAATGTCGCACCTGCCCTGATCGTTGATGAACCTGTTCAAGGAAAGGCGGATGTCGATACGACTTCCACCGCCGTAAATGCTGGAGCAGAAACGGAGGAGCACAATCCGGAACAAGTCAATGCCGGGGATGTGGCAGATGCTAGTCACCCGGTGCCTGAATATGCTAGCAAGGCCTTGGACGACATTGTTGACATTGCGGCAGAGCCACACGTTGAGATTGAGGGACAAGAGAAATCCGCGCCACGTGAGGAAGCTGTTGTGGAGAGTCCGGAGCTGGTGGCCACAGACGAGACCAGGGTTGCTGACCAGGAGATCGCTATTCAGTCTGAAGAAACCCAGGTGGATGTATTACAATCCTGTGAAGACTCATCAGAGGCTAAACAGGAACCGGTGGGGGCTGCTACAGGAGACGTCACGGAAAACCATGAACCTACTCCCGCCGACACTGAAAAGAATGCTGGTGAGCCCACACAGGATCAACCCGAAGGACTAGGCGCCAGTGGGCCTGAGGCGATATCCGTCCAGGATACTCCCGTCGAGGCGAAGGAGCCGGAGGGAGAAAGGGCTCTTGTGGAGACAGAAATTTCTCAGGAAGTGCCAGTAAGCGACTTCGCTGGACCTACTGAGGGCGAAAAAGAGCCATCCCTATCTGAGAAGGCTCCTGAAAACGAGCATCAGGAGCCGGAACCTATCAAGACCGACAATACTCTCCTCAGCTCGGATCCCGCTGCCGAAGCCGCAGGTGACGCTACGAACGAGCCCCTCGATAAAGAAACCGAAGAGCCTGTCGCTGATGTATCTACGTCTTCGACGTCGAAAAAGAAGAAAAATAAGAAGAAGAAGAAGGGCAAGAGCGTTGACCTAGGCACTCCCGAGACTACCCCAGCTTCGGATGAGCCAACTACATCCCAGGAGGAACAGAATGGGCAGAATTCTACTGAACCTGCGCTATCTGAGCAGGTGCCAGAGTCCACAGTTCAGGAGCTAGGACCGGTTGAGCCTGCTGCTGCTATCGACGAGATAGCCACCGAGACGGCGCCTTTACCTACCGCAGCTGAGGCTGACCCAGAGCCCAGCTTCCAAGAAACAGCACCCGCCGAGCACCCTACGGTGACCGCAGAATCGACAGGGGAAGTTGCACTTGAGCCTAGAGATGATGAGAAGCTAGTGGAGATAGAGACAAAAGAGCCATTTCCAGCGGAACAACCTGCTTTAACCGAAGCGCCTGCTGCGGAAAGTGAGGAGCAAATCGAGCCCACATCTCAAGAAGTGCCTACTCCTGGTGACACTTCAATCACCGGTGAAGCTTCAGCAGAGATCAATAAGCCAACCGAGCAGGGCGCCCAAGAGCCGCAACTGGCGGATCAAATCATACCTGAGGAGTCAGAAGTGAAGACGGAAGGAATGGACGATGTCAACCGAGACATTTCAGCCCCCGAACAACCTGCTGCGAATATGCCTCAAGATACGCCTGCCGCGGAAGAACCAAGCACTCTACAAGAAGAAACTGTAATAGACCAGCCTAAGGCAGAAGAGACCCCTGCAGTTCCCGAACCACAGCCTGAGGTTGAAGCAGCACCTCCTGCTGACGCCGCAGAGTCTGCGGACGCACCAGGGTCCTCTAAAAAGGCCAAGAAAAAGAAGAAGAAGAAGAGTAAAGGTGCATCTCAAGACTTGACCGCAGAAGAGGCTGTTAATGCCGAAGACACTAAGCCTTCCGAAGATTCTACGGCTGTTCAAGACAACACCGAGGTTACTAAAGCATCTGCGGGCCTAGAGGCAGCTCAACTAGCTGAGGAGGCTGTCGTTAAGCAGGCGGCAGACACGAGCGAACAACCCCAGGAAATCGAGATGAAGACACCTCTCGAGGACGACGCTACGGACAACCAGGCCAAGCCAAGTGACGAGGCAGCGGCAACTACTACGGGTATAGAAGATAGTGAGCCCTCCGAGAAGGGTGCCAAACTTGCAAACGAGGAGACTAGTCAGGCTACGGCAGCTGAACCGGACGTGCCTACAGTGGCTGATGTGCCCGAAACCTCACCGGCCGACAATATCCCCCGCCATGCCACAGAATCTACGGAGGATGCCAATAACTCCCAGTTGCATGAGGAAACTACAGCACCTACTGAGCCTGTTTCTGCTCCTATGGCGAGCCATGATGACTCTGCAGATGTTGTGCAGTCGGAAGAGAATGAGGCGTCGGCTTTGGAGCATCAGCCTGAGGAGACACCTAAGGCTGAGGGTACAATTACAATACCGGAAGAAACTTCGCAGGAGCTCACCATGGCGAACGAAGCCATTGAGTCAGAGCCTGTTGAGTTCGAGAAAGTAACAGAGCAGCTGCAAATGGACGAGAACCTAGAAGCCAATACCCAGGCGCAGGAGAAAGAACAGCCGTCCGAGGGTCAGGAAGAAAAAGACGTCCCAGCGACCGGACCCGAGCTGCAGAAGAACGACACGGAATTCGCGGACTTACCTGCTGCCAATTCAGCGAAAACAATTCCCGAGCCAGCTATACCCGAAGATAATTCTCAGGAAGCCATTGAGGAACCAGATACTTCTCTGTCACGCAAAAGTAGCAAAAAGAAGAAGAAGAACAAGCGCAAGAGCGCTGCCGCAACTTCACTAGAGACAGAGCCGACCGAGAATTCCCAGCCAGCCTCTTCGGCTGAAGCTGCTCCCGAAGCTCAACCTGCTACGGAATCTGCGCTTGCTCCTGAGGACGTGGCTGTTGTTGACACTGGGGCTGCCCCCGAAACCGAATCTGCCCTAGAACCTGAAGTTGCAGCTGAGGTTGAAGCTACTCCCGAAACCGAAGCTGCTCCGGAGCCTGAAATTGCTCCTGAGACTGAGGCCGCGACCGCGAGTGAAACAGTGCTCCATACAACTCTGGCTGGTGAAGAGCCCCCCGAGTGGAAGCTTCCAGATGAGGCTGGCGACGAAATCAAAGAATTGTCAAGCCATGTTGCGGAAACCGAAAGCAATGAATTGAAGCTTTCTGAGGGAGAACAGCCTGAGACAGGCGACTTGGCTGGGGAAACTCGAGAGCTTCAACCGGAAGAGACAGTAGAGGAGCAGCCGAAGAAGAAGAACAAGAAGAAGAAGAAAAATCGCAAATCTTCCGCCCTGGACGAAACCGAAGCTGAGCCTGAGCCTGAGCCCGAAGCTGAGCCTAATCAGCCCGAACCCAGTCAAGAAGACTCCGCCGAGCCCCCGCTCCTCCAAACAAGCGGTGAGCTGCCATCCGCCGCCCAGCAAAATAATGAGGCTTCCGAGGTTGTTATAGCGGAGCCCCTCGCCGATGCCACTGTTAGCGACTCAACCCTGCCGGTGGAGCAGACCGAGACCAATGATGAGGCACCACATGTGCCCGATCAATCGGCGGTCGAGCCGGCTCCTGAACTCGACCCTGAATCTGAAGCGGGGAGCTCTACACCGACTGGAAAAAAGAGCAAGAAGAACAAGAAGAAGAAGAGACAAAGCCTGCCTGCGACGCCTGACGAGAGCCTCGCACCTGTCGAGCCTCCCCTAGACAACACTGACCCTACGGTTGAACCAGCGGAAGTTCCCGTCGCTGCCGAAGGTTCCGGCCCCACAGAGCACGAGCAAGAACAACAAGAGGCAGTTCAAGAGACAGAACCCATCGACACAATTGAGGCCTCTGTAGAGCAAACCACTGAAGCACCGCCCATGACTGCTGCTCAGAGGAAGAAGGCGAAGAAGGAAAAGAAGAAGCAGCAGAAGCAGCAGGCCGAAACCGCTGACATTACGTCGGCGCCCGAACCAGAAGCTGTGGCCGTGCCCGAGGATGCTCCACCAGAAGACCCAGCTGTCGAGGAGCCAAAGTCTCTGGATGGAAAAGTGGATCTTCCGACGAACGAAAACTTAGAGGCAAGCGAAGGGCCCCCTTTAGAGCAGTCTAAGGAAGCCCCTACTGAAGAAGAGTCTCCCGCCATTGCAGTCGAAAAGTCGCAGAGCGATTTGGCTCAAGATGCAACCGTACCTTCTGAAGATGCCGTACTGGAGAATACGGAGTCTGCAGACGCTGCAGAAAACCAGCATCACGACGGAACTTTCACCGATGCTGAGCCAGAAAATTCAGCGGATGGCGTATCGAAATCTGAAGCTACTTCTACAGAGGAGCAAACTCAGGATGACGCTGAGAGGAACAATACCGATGAGGTGACTGCAACTGAGACAGAGGCTCCAGCAACAGAAACCGCGGATGCCGTTCATCAAGCGCCTCAAGGCGACGAGCCATCAAAGGAAAATGCCGAGCTCACCGACTTACCAGAAGAGCAGCCCGAGCCCAAGAACGATGGACCCGTATCTGAAGCAGATGCGGCACAAGAAGGCCAGACAAGCATGGCTGATACTGCTGAAAATGGTGCTCCGATCGAGAAGAATATCGAAGCAGAAACAGCAGCCATTGAAGCTACCGTATCAAAGGATGATGTCTCTACAAGCGTAGAGGCCTCTGAAGAATGGTCTCCAGCGGAACTGGCTGCTAGCGTTGACATTTCGGAGCAAGGCAGAGCCGACCAAGATACAGCTGCTGACGCGGGCCACGAAGAGCCGGTTCAAGAAGAAATCCAGCCTACATCTTCTACCAAATCAAAGAAAGATAAGAAAAAGAAGAAGAAGCGTCAGTCAGTCACTCTTGATGAGTCTCAGCCTGCACTCGCGCAAGGGGATGAGAGCAACGAAACCTCACTTGAGGCAGGCAGCGGGCCTACTGACACTCCCGAGGACATCAGTAACTCTGCTGTGACCGAAAATGTCGACACTCCTGAGAACACTGTTTCAGAACCGCCAGCAGAGAAACCTAAGGACATTGAAACTGCATCAAGTGCGCCGGCTGAACCTACTGAGCCTGTTCAAGACTTCCAGGAGTCATCGAAGTCCAAAAAGAAGGCGAAGAAGGACAAGAAAAAGCGGAAGTCGGTTTCTTTCGCAGACGCGGAACCAGAATCGCAACCTTCTGAGCCCAGCGATTCTGCGGCCGATGCAATCGGCGTCGGTCAGCACGATGATGAGCCTGTGCCCAAAGGAGACGCTCATTCTGAACTGTGCCAAGATTCCCATGATGCGGAGTTAAGTCAGTCTCAGGAGGCTGAGCCTGCTTCGGAGCAGCCCGCTGAAGGAACACCTCTTGAACAAACACTTGATTTGCCGGATGAAAGTCAAGCCACTGTTACAGATGCCATTGGTCTTGAAGACGTTGGACAGCACTCATCCGAACCTATGGCTGAGGAGAAAATCGAAGAATCTGAGGATCCGGTGACTCTACCGTCATACGAGGTTGATGCCGCAGAGAAGACCCCGAAGTCTGAGTCGGTTGAAGATCCTTCTGGGACTCCCAAGGAAACAGGAAAAGAGGATGAACCAGCGGCAGACACCATGGCCACGGGAACAGCGGAACAACTGCAGCCCGAAGGGAGTCCGGAGGCCAATGATGCACAACCTTCTGCCACAGAGGCTGATACTCAGCCTGTGAATGCAACTGCTGAACAGGACAGTGGCTCTTCTAAGTCCAAGAAGAAAAAGAAGAAGAAGAAGAAAAGCATGACTACAGAGGCAAACGAAGATACTGGTGCAGATGATGGTCCGAGCGAGCCAGTTACACCAATTGATCCCGATACTCCCGCAGATCCTGAGCTATCTACCGAGCCTGAAACCCCAGTCGGACCTCAAACGCCGCTTGAACCTGAGTCTGCAGTTGAACCTGAAACCGTGGTTGAGCCTGAGACGCCTGTCAACGCTACAATCCCTGCTCTGCATGACTCTGAGGTAGTTGGTCCACAACCCGAAGATCCTGAGAAGGAGACCCCTCCCATGTCAGCCAAAGCGAAGAAGAAGGCAAAGAAAGACAAGAAACGCCAGTCCAAGAGCCTAGCCGATGCTACAGAGCCTGCTGATGAGACTCGCCATTCGAGCGACGCCCAAGTGCCCAGCGAAACGAAGACCGCGGAACAATCGCTCGAAACGGCAAATGTACCTGCTGAAGATGACGGTAAAGACAATCAGTCCCACGGCACCGAAAACCACGGCGAGAACGATAAAGATCTGATTTGGACTGATGACATGGTATCTCCGCAGGTAGAGCAACAGCAAGCGACTTCTTTCGCTTATCCACCCCAACTCGAGCATGAGAAAACCGAAGACGACCCAGTTTCCATCCCCCCCGATGAAGTACTTAAACCCGTTGAGCTGGATGCCAATATATCAAGCCAAAATGAACAATTATCACTCAACGAGCTGGAGGAGTCGGGTGATGCGCACGAAAATTCAAATACGCAGCCCGCTGAAAGTATGGCCAAGCCAGATGATGGAACAGGGCAGACGTCAGTGGAGGAGCAAGGAGAGTTCAGCACCGACCGAAATGTGGTCGAAGATGTCTTCACTCAGGATGTGGTAGAGGAGAAAGAGCAGGCGTCGATTGGAGAGGGCGCTGGGCAGGAAGATGAACAGCTTGTCAAAAAGGACGAGTCGCTTGGCGTTAGTCCAGAAAACGAGCTGGCGGACGAGGCTACGGAGATGCGTGTGGAAGAAGTCATTCAAGCTCCGGAAATCACGCAGCAAGGGGAGTCTGTCGAGGGGGCAGCTGAGATTGAAGATTCTACGACCAATGTACCATCAAAGAAGAAGAGCAAAAAAGAAAAGAAGAAAAAGCGTCAGGCAGAGCAGACAGCCAGCCGGGACGAAACCGAACAGGGTGTGTCAGTCCAGGACAATGATCAAGCAAGAGGCACGGCTATTCCCGACGAGCTACCCGTGGAAACCGCAGCTCCCAGTATTGAACCCGGCCCTGACGCACCCTTTATGCCAGCCGGGTCGCCAATGAGCGAGGAGGAGCCAGCAGTACACGACCTTGAAACAGCCGCTCCTGTTGAGGGTCACGGAGAGGAAGCTGAACACCCAAATGATGTTCCAGTTGAATCTGAGCTTGATTCAGGAGATAAGCTTCTTGATGCTTCTACCATTGTTCAACCCGAGAAAGACACCCCTGAGGAACATGCTATTTCCGAAGGCGTTACACCGGAGGCTGCCGAAGGAGAAGCCGCAGTCGATGTTTGCGAAACCCCTGCAGAACCAGTTGCGAAGACGAAGAAAAACAAGAAGAAGAAGAAGGGTTCAAGTCAAGTGAAAGGGGTAACTGAACCTCAGGAGGCAGCTGAACCCCGTGTCGAGAGCGAAGCAGTGCCGGGCAATGAGCTAGTCGACCAACAGGAAGTGACAGAGGCACCTTCCAAACAGGTCTTGGAGCCCACAGAAGACAAGGACAGCTTAGATGCCGTGCAAGATGACGCAACGTTGAACGAAGTTGTTGATGAGCCAGCTACTTCAGCTGACAAGACTCTCGAGCCAGCACCGGAAGATTTAGGATTTCCAATGGAGCCAGAGCAGTCCCCTCAAGGCAACACGGTCAGGGATGAAGACAATAACACCTCATCTGTCGCAGAAGCAACGGCTACCTTCCCGAGCGATGTGGCCCAGGATGAGACAAACAAAGAGGCAGTCCTCACTCCTAAAGAATCTAAGAAGAAAAAGAAGAAAGCAAAGAAACAGGCCAAGGATGAGCAAAACAGTCCCACGCTTGCACCAGCTGAAGGCGCCGTTACCGCGGACGAAGGCTTGGTAGGGTTGACATATACTCTTGATACCACCCGCTCCCCTGTCGAAGAACCGAGCAATGCCCTCCATGATAAGCAATGGGACACTCCCCCCGCGCAGGATGATGGAGACAAGGAACAAAACCAGACCTCACAGATTGAGGAGGAACCAGTCCGCAGCGCAGAAGAATTTGACGAACACCGGGAAGTGTCTACTGCGGAGAGACAAGGTGTGGTTGTTCAGCAAGAACTAGAGTCGGCCAATGCAGAACAGGATACCAAAACACTGACAGAAAAGCATGATCTTGCGAAGACCGAAGACCTGTCAGAGAACATTCCGGATCAGCCAGAGGCATCGGCTCGCCTAACGAAGAAGCTATCCAAGAAGGAACGCAGAAAGGCCAAGCAAAGGGCGGAGCAGGAGCTTGTAGAGTCGGATAGAGGACAGCAGCCAGATTTTGACGCTGGTGCTTCAGCGGACCCGATCCCGGTCCAGGAGCAAGTGACTGAAGTACTAGACGCGCTGGCTGCTGAACAGGCTAAGATGGACGATGTCTCTCCAGGATTACCCTCTGGGGAAGAAGAGAAGCGCCTGGAAAGCCAAACCCTCGATGTCAAGAACCCAGAAGGTGAGCAACCCCACAAGAAGGATGCCACCAGTTTTCTACAACAGGAAACTGAGACCCCGGCTTGGGAACAACGCGCACAAGATGATGACTCTTGGCCTATAATAGACTGGGAGAAAAGCGAAGTCGATGCTACCGAACGATCACCCGATTCCTCACCCGAAGCTCGTGCTGTCCCGTTCGAGCCAGGCATTGCAGACTTTGATGAGAACGCAATCCCGGAAGGGGTGATCCGACATCCAAGCGCATCAACTGCGACAGGGAAAACGACCGCCAGAGCATTCCAGCAAATCCGAGGCGACGTACAAGCTACCTCTGAAGCAACTACTGTTCCGCCAATTTCACCCTCTACCGCACTTGATATCGAACACTCCATCTATGCAAAGACTAGCAGCGAGTCCCTCGGTTCGGAGTCGCAGAAGCAAAGCAAAGTTGCCAGCATCTTTCCTGAACTGGAACGGGGATTTTTCCGTCGACCAGCTCCCGTTGAGCCGTCCGAGTCAGCAAAAGATGGGGCTGAGGAAGAGACTATTGACAAGGAAGCAATTCGCGACAGCGCGATAGTCTTGGAGGCGCCCATCAGCACGGCCAACTCCCCTTCGTCGGGGCAGGGCGATGCCAAAACTGCTACAGAACCTACTCAAGCAGATGAGTCTACACAGCCGGAGACTGGGTTGCACCCTTCTTCAAACGAGCCTACGATCGAAGTTGAAGCAGATACTTCGTACAATGTTTCTGTGCTTTCGGACGGACCGGAAGAGAAGTCTAGACAAATTGACATACGGTGGGAAGAACAGAAGGACAAGGAGTCTCCCAGGGAAGTTGAAGCTGAAACCGCAGAGCCCAGCCCTTTCTCCCACCACGAGGCTCCACTATACGCCCCATCGCCCGTGCATGAGCGACAGTCGGTACTCGTTCGGTCAGGATCCCCATCTGGTAGAGATATTGGACGAGAAACGTCACGCTCCAGCCCAACTTGTGAGCTACGACGCAGCCCATCCATTCACGGTCGACATAACCAAACGCGGCGGCCGTGGTCATTGGAGGTCGACCAGAACTCTCAGCCACGTACACCCTCGCCGCAGCCGACAGGGGTGGATAGAGAGGCAGTCTCACCGCCGCGGACACCATTGCAAACCATCGAGGAGGACGAGCCAAGGGGTCGGACGGAGCGATCCACCGGCTCAAGAACCGTGGGTCACGAACGCGGCACGCCCCGTCTGGAGATGAAGCCCGAACATGTGCTTCCTCGCCCCGAAACCCCGACCCGGAAGTTTACTGACAATGCGCTGGCCCGTCAGGCCTGGCCAACGCCGGACAAGGAGACGCCGTTTGACGAAAACACGGATGTCGAGGTCAAGAAGCGTCGACCTGAGAGTCGAGTGGTGGACGGTAGATGGCCGGCTGAGGTGCTCAAGACGCCGGAACAAGACAAGCCAATTCTGCGGCCCACCAGCAGTAGCATCCGAGGGGTTAAGAGCATGCACAACATTACGCCGAACCTCGAGCAGACGCCGACTCCACGATCGCTGCGACGCAATCATCGCACTGCCAGCGGAGATTTGCGGGCGGCAGCCACCACTCAGGCGCAGGAGACTGACGACCAATCAGAGCGCAAGCCCCAGCCTCCCGCTTCTTCAGCCTCGGACCTCAACCTCGAGCGCATCGCCTCTTCTTCCTCCTACGACCCTGTCACCGACAAGGGCAAGCGTCCCCTTCGTAATATGACGGACGTTTATGTAAGTACTACTAGTTGATTTTTTCATACATTCTATGCAATGATCTTTTCGTTGTTATTGAAAGGTCTGGGTTGGCTGACCGATCGTCTGTTTATTACTGTAGGAGGGTTGGGGTGAGACGCCCAGCTCGCCCCGGTCGCCTAGCCGACCGCCCAGCATCCGGCACCGTCGAAGTATGCAACACCTCCAAGAACTTGAGTCTCGTCTCGACCGCCTCATCTCGGAAAATCGTCTTCTCGCCGCTGCTCGTGAGGAAGCTGAAGATAAACTCCGCAAGACTTCCGTCGCTCGACGCAAGAGTGACCATGCCCTCAACAGCCGCGACGCCGATTTGCGGGACAAAGATGCGGAAGTGGAACAATTGAAGAGCTCGTTGGAGTGGTTGCAGAAGGAAGTAGCCCGATTGACCGAGGAAAATACGGGACTTGCGACGACGAGCTCCAACCTCACTGCCACACATGCACAGGAAGTTCAAGTTATGCAGGAGACGTTTGATCGCCAAGTCGATGAATTACGCTCGGAGAACCAACAATTGTCGGCGGAAATGCACGATCGGGTGCGACAAGAAGTGGAGATGGCGTTGGCCCAGAAGGATATGGAGCTACGACGGCTACGGGAGGAATTGGAAAATGCTCGCGACAAGGTGAAGCAACTACAGCAACAGATCGCGGCAGCCATGCAGGACGACGTCTTGGTCTTTCGCGACGAGGATTACTTCGATGCTGCTTGCCAGAAGCTATGTGGTCATGTACAGCAATGGGTCCTCCGTTTCTCCAAACACTCCGACCACCGCCGGTGCCGCAAGCTCAGTGACCTGCAAGATGAAAAGATTGCCGACCGATTCGACAACGCCATCCTGGACGGTTCCGATGTAGACACCTACCTCAGCGATCGCGTTCGTCGTCGTGATGTATTCATGTCTGTTGTCATGACCATGGTATGGGAGTTTATCTTCACACGATACCTATTCGGCATGGACCGTGAGCAACGGCAGAAGCTCAAGTCTCTGGAGAAGCAACTGGCCGACATTGGCCCACGCAGTGCTATCCATCGGTGGCGTGCCACTACTTTGACTCTGCTCTCGAAACGGCCAACCTTCTCGAAGCAGCGTGAGAGCGATACCGAGGCTGTTGCCTTGGAGATCTTTGACACTCTGTCGCGCCTCCTCCCGCCACCTACCAATGTCGAGGCTCAGCTTTTGGACTCGCTCCGCAAGGTGCTCCGTGTCGCGGTCCACCTGTCGATCGAGATGCGCACACAGCTGGCAGAATACATCATGCTACCGCCACTGCAGCCCGAATATGACACCAATGGTGATCTAGCTCGCCAGGTCTACTTCAACGCCTCCTTGATGAATGAGCGCAGTGGAGAGACCACGTCAAATGAAGAGCTGGAAACGCAGCAAGCGGTAGTACGGGTTGTTCTGTTCCCATTGGTGGTGAAGAAGGGCAATGACCGGGGGGAAGGCGACGATGAGGTAGTTGTCTGCCCGGCCCAAGTACTCATTGCCAGACCCAACAAGGATAAGAAGGTGGTGAAGATGCTCAGCGGCGATCGCATGTCCCTGGATGCTACGAGATCGGTCCACAGCGTCGCCCCGTCGTCAACCATGGACATGAGCAATGTGATCTGAGGCGTCACACTCAGACCATGACTTGTCTCATAGTCTACGAAAAACGACGACTGCACACTTTGCTGGGAGTCGGATCCATCCTGCTTTGCGGGTCGTTATGGTTTTGTTTTGTCTTTTGCGTTGGTTAGCACGGGAGGCGTCAGGACGGATGGATGGATGGATGATGGGAGCCGGATTCCAAACCGGTTCACAAAAATGGTAATGAATAATGCTTGGAAGGCTACTTGGAGCGTTTGCTGTGCTTTCAATTATATCCCCTGCTTGGTTGCTTGGTTGCTTTGATTCTTTTTTTCTATTTGTTTTATTTTGCATAATTTTTTTCATTTCTTGTCTCATATTGATGATGTCTATGATGATGCCCGATATCTAGAGCTGACGATATGACGGCCTTGATTGCTACTTTTGAAGTTATTCCTTTCACTTGACCATGTTGTTGATGTAACATTGTGTTTGTGGTGTCTAATATGTATGACTGTATGTAGTATGATGACAATGAGACCATTGAAGGCTCTGTGATGGAAGATCAAAGACAGGACTCGTGTAATTAAGTTTGGAGGGGAGCTAAAAGCGTCGGTGAGCCAGTGATGTCATCACCTGACCGGGCGGGCCTTAAAGCGGTGATAATGGCCGGGCAGGGGGGGCCGCTGGAGCTCCCAGTTTCCTTGCTTTTCGGCAGGCTGTTGGTCTGGATCTCTCTCACTCCTCCATCTTCAACTTGGGACTTCGCTTGACAGCAGAGGGTCCTCTATTTGGCTTCCCCACCTTCACCCCCCATTCTATCCCCCCCATCGTGTATTCTGTACTACACAGTACCTCTTAGGATCATCCCCCCGTCTCTCCAGTTGATGGAGCTCAACCCTTACCGTTGGAAGTGCCTCATGTCCCACCACGCCTCGCCCCTCGCTCGCCGATCTCCAATCGCTCTGCGCCCTGCGCCCCGATGAATTGTCCCTGACCACGCTGAGCCCTACTAGGCTGGCTGACACTGCATACCCGATAACCTTGCGTTTTGGATTGCCTTTTTTAAATCATCGTCATCATTACTCTCATTCTTATCGCAGCAGTCATTCCTCGGTGTCGAAAGCGCCCCCGTGCATGGTGCTGTTGAACCGTCTACTATCTACGGAGTACTAGCTGCAAAGTTATCGCCTTGAGGAGTGGAACCCACTGAGATAAGGAATTGGGGGACATTTCCCAATTTTTTGGGCCGATCATCGTGCATGCAGCATCTGCGGCCCCGAGGCCCTCGTTCCAGATCACAATGCAGCCTTCACCGTCAACTCCGCATCAGACCGCTCCCAGCCCGACCAAACCCTCCCGACACAGTAGTCGACGTGCCGGTGACTCCCAGTCAGCAATCACGCGTGGCTACGACACTCCTGGCTCGGATCGGAAGCAGGACGATGGCGCAGGAAGCAGATCAGGTACCACGGTTAAATCTGCCAAACGGAAAAAACCCCGTCATCGAAAGCGTCGTCATCGCCGTCAGTCCTTTCTCGGCGGCGCTGAGGATCCTCATCCCGCCGCTCCTCATGCCTCGATCCCCGACGCAGGTGAGGATATCAGCATGATGGCAGATCAGACCAAGACTCAAGCTCCGCTGCCGTTCTATAAACTGGGTAGTAGGGATCTCAGTAGCACTAGTCTGGAGAGTGAGGCTTTGTTGGATCATCGGTATGTTACTGACGTCTATTCCATTTCCCTGTGGCTGATCAGTGTGTTCTACATAGCCATCAACCGTCGATGAGACCACGGAGAGATAGTCGTCTGGCCCAATCTTACCGTCCGGGTTCCTCCACCACCCCTTTTCGTCCCATCGAGTCGGGTTCCCAGACCCTGCCGTCTGCGCACAGATCGTATCGAGTGGATAATGATAGTGGTGGAGAGGACGAAGAAGTCAACGATCGGACTCCGTTGATGCCGCCGCCCTCTGGCCATAGTCCTAGCTTGCCTCGCTACGGGACCGACTTTCGGTCAAGCCCGCTGTCGTTCCACCAGCGACGACCTGCTTCCAGTCGTTCGAGTTCTTCTCGGTGCTCGCCTCGTGCCATACCGAGTCCCAAGTTTGCCGAGCAACAAGATCGTGATTATGACATCAACAATCCCCCGTCAATGCCAACGTCGCCCAAGCTCGGGCCGGAGATGAACTATGACGATGCAGTGGTCACTGGGGCTGAGTTTGACTTTTCGCTCGCCAAGTCGATTGACAATCGGATGGAACAACTGGCTCGCTCCCATGATGTGTTGATCGACGTCGATGGAACCAATAATCGTCCTGCGCAGTCACCCGGGTCGTCGCCGACGTCGCCGCAGATCATGCCTCAGGAGCGTCTCCGTCGTCGCACGACCTTCCCAGCTGAAGAAGATGTCTGCTTCCCAACGGAAGAGGTCTCGGAAATCGCCGAAGAAGACGCACAGAGGGCGGCCAAAGAAGGTCATCGCCGACGGCGACGGCTCAGGGAATGGCCAGATCTATCCGTTTTGGAAGATTGGAGCCGCCAGGAGAAGGAGGAGCGTTCAGGTGCCTACCGCGCGAAGAAAATCAGCGAGCCTATGCTTGTCGAGGGTCGCCTGCGTCCACAGTACCGACTCTGGCGGCGCGAAGAGGAGGAAGCTCCCTACCGATTTACGTACTTCAACGAAGAATTCCAGAGTACTATCCACGCCCAGACAATCTCGGAACTATGCCAGCCTGGTGGTAGTTTCCGCGAGCTTTTCATCCCTGATCCGCCAGAGTTAGATGTTTCATCTGATGAAGACGAGTTGGAGTCTGAGCATCCTCAAAGGGAGGGCACAACGGACCACAATAATCATAGCCGTCAGCCCAGCGGAAACGTATCCCGGGTCATGTCGCCGAACGGTAACAGTCACGGCGCGAATGGAAATGGTATCCATAATCACAACAATCACCAGGGCGTCTACGGGAATCAACGGCCCCAGCCTCGGACGTCAATCATCAGTGAGGCCGTCACCGAGGCACGTACATCTGCCGAAGCATCGCCTATGCGCAAACCAGCTCAACCGAAGCCCAAGCGTTATGGGCCTCGGCCGACATTCTGGCTTGATGTTCTTTGCCCTACCGACGCAGAGATGCGAGTGCTTGCCAAATCCTTTGGTATCCATGCCCTGACGACCGAGGACATCATGATGCAAGAGGCGCGCGAGAAAGTCGAGCTGTTCCGGAACTATTACTTTGTCAACTACCGCACCTTTGAGCAAGACCCCAACAGCGAAAACTATCTCGAGCCCGTGAACATGTATGTTGTGGTGTTTCGGGAAGGTGTGCTGTCCTTCCACTTCTCGCAGACGCCACATCCGGCGAATGTGCGCCGACGAATCCGCCAGCTGATGGATTACCTTATTCTCAGCTCCGACTGGATCTCGTATGCTCTTATTGATGACATCACGGACGTGTTTGGCCCCTTAATTCAGGCCATTGAGGACGAAGTCGACGAGATCGACGAGAAGATCATGCAGATGCATGCAGATGAGCGAGGGATGGGGACCAACAAGGAAGAGGATAATCAGAGCGTGACCACGTCTCTGGCCCCCGGTGAGATGTTGCGGCGCGTGGGCGTGTGCCGCAAGAAGGTGATGGGGATGTACCGCCTGTTGAGCAACAAGGCAGACGTTGTCAAGGGCTTTGCCAAACGATGCAACGAGCAATGGGAAGTGGCGCCCAAGTCGGAGATTGGTCTCTACCTGGGCGATATCCAAGACCTTATTATGACCATGACCAGCAGTTTGACGTACTACGAAACGTACGTTGCAGCCTCTTTCTTCAGTATGGGTTATTGATTTTGCTAACTTGACTGCTGTGTTGTAGGCTTCTGTCGCGTGCGCATTCCAACTACCTGGCGCAGATCAACATCCTGATGAACGAGCGGCAGGAACAGACGGCCGATGTGTTGGGCAAGTTGACGGTGCTGGGAACGATTGTCCTGCCGCTGAATATTATCTGTGGTATGTGGGGGATGAACGTCAAGGTGCCGGGTCAGGATGTGGATAGTTTGTCGTGGTTTTGGTCGAGTAAGTCTCTCTTTCCCCCTTCTCCCTCTCGTGCGTCTAAGAACTACTGTTGTTTATCTACATCAAGTTGAGGATGTCATGGCTAATGGAGTGTCTGATCAGTTACGGCGGGGCTGGTTCTCTTCGCCATTGCGTCGTTCTACATTGCGAAACGAGTCTACAAGATTGTCTAGTCTAGTCTAGTAGTCTAGAAAGATGGTCCGAGTTGTCGTGAAGAGAAGGAGGTTGACACACCGAATGTGGTGCCAGGCAGCTCTGGTTTGTTGGGTTAATTTTTTCACATTTTCCTATTTACTTTGCTCTTTGGGTTATCACACCGGGGTTGCATTGGGAGGTCTGGCGTGATCAGAGTTTATTTGCAATACCTTGGGTCTGGCTACTGCTTCATTTCCTTCCATCTATCTGAGGTGTATATTATGGCTAGGATAATAGAGGGTGGTATATAGCATGTGAAAGGGGGAATGCAACCCCCTTCCCCTTGAAATTTCATGATATTTGGTAAAACAAAAAGCTTAAACAGAGTTTCTGGGAATTAGCACAAACCTGCTGGGAAGAAGTTCGTTCCGCGTCTCGAATGGGTTTCTCCGGGATGAGAGTGAGATGAAGTCATGATGATTTCCCCGGTCGGAGGGATGTTCCGTATCTGTTCCCGTATTGTCCCGTATGGTCGGGAATTGGGGGAGGGTGTTGCCGCTGGTAAAGTTACCAGACTGCGATGTCACAGCAGGTATTGATTCCTGAGGAATGCCGTTTTGGAAGGATTGTTTTATTCTTAGCTCGAAACTCGAAACAAAACCATCCAGCAAACATAAGTAACTGAACTAGTACTAATTGGACTGACTTCATCATCGCCCTCCATCCATCCATCCATCCTCCCTCTTGACTAACTCATCTTTCCCTCCCCCACGTCATTCTTCTCTTCTTGCCCTCTTTTTATCCATCTTCCTTTCACTATCTAGCTACCTGCTGGTCTACTACTCTACCTCCACCGGCTGAAAGAAAGAGAGAAGGAAAGAAAGAAAGAAAACAGGTCCACTTCAGTGCTTGTTGACTCCCACGCTAGACGCCTCTTTTTTTCCTCCCGTTCCTTGACGTGGGCGGCTATCATTGGGTCTCGCCGTCCCCCTCCCCTTGACTGGCCGATCGGGGTCCTCTTCTTTTCTCTTACTACTCTGTGTACGCACTTGACGACGACTGGAACGACTTACTATACTTACTTAAGTCAGTACACAATCGTCGCTATCTAGCTATCTAGTACTTTCGGCCTATCTCCCGTGCTGCCCTTAATCAAGACGCACCCGCTTGCTTGCTGGGTGCCCCGGTTACTGGCGAAAACTGGGTCAGCTTCTCTCGGGTACCGGCTTAGTGCTATCACTACCAAGCAGCTAGCTAGATACACTACCACTACACCCACTACACACTATTCTCTTGCTGGGTTCTTGATGGCTGGATGGTTGGTTGGCGGTGCTACTACTGCTGACTGCCACTGCTACGTACTCACTGGCTTGCCTGCCTGTCTGACAGATTCCGCAGTCGAAAGTTTCTGACTTCGCAATCGATTCCTTGCGTCTGACAGCCTGTCGAAACCTGGCTTGTCCGTTCGCCATTCCCTCCTGCCAGCTGCCAATAGACATCATCAAACTCTCTGGATTCCCCTCCATCCATCCCTCCCTCCCTCTTCACCTCCACCATCCACAACCGTCCGCCTCCCGCAAGCCTCGTTCCGGCCATACCTGCAGTTGGCCACCTGGATCGACATCGTTCTCTCGTCCTTCCCGTGAGCTAACGCGCTTGGGGCCTTGTTCTAGACGTTCCATCTCACCGTCTTCTGATCGAGTTATGTGCACGGTTGCGCCCGCGTTGACGGCTTCGGTCTACTTGGATTATTACTTGGTTTCCTGAAAAAAGGGCCCGGGCTAGGAAAACAACAACAACAACAATATCCTCCGCTGGGGTGGGCTGCATCATCATTCACCACACACACACACACACACATTCTCGCCCCCCTGGTTCTTGCATCCCTCTCTACAACCATCCCCTCCTCCTCGCAGAGTTGATATACTTTTCCCTCCGTCTGGTAATTCTCAAGGCCATCAGCAGCATGTGGCTGTCGTCCATTCGTCCTCCCACTCGGTTGATTGTGTAACGTGGTTTGGTACGACAGACAGGAAACCGCTGTCCTGAATTCCCAACGCGGCGACCACTTAGCTCTCGCCATTTTTTCGAGCCCCCCGAATCTCCTGACACCCAGTGCTTTATTTTTTTTGTTGTCTCTATTTTTTTTTTCCCTCCCCCCCCCCTTCCGTCCTGGGGTCTCCTGCCGGCTGGTGGCTCACCGATACTTCATTATTGGGATTTACTTTTCCTTTTTTCTTCCTTTTTTTTACCCTTTTTCCTCTCATCCTCCCCTGTCCGGACCTTTGTTCCGGTTCCCTCTCGGACTTCGTGATTTCTACCGGTCTTGTCAGAAAGCTCTGACTCGCCAGAGATCATGGCGGCGGAGTCCGGGAGGTCACCTTATCCCAATGGGACCTCTGGTGGATCTCGTATGGCCCACGGAGATGAGGCTGCCTTGTCTGCACCACGCCGATCTGCCAGTGAGAGTGACATGATAGAAGTGCCACGTTCAACCTTTAGATCCCAAGCCCAGGGCTCCGCCGCGTCACAGCTGCCTAAGTTCTCGCATGCGGTTCCTGGCGTCTCCGCCTCAACGTCTACCACCAACTCGGCTATATCCTCCCGCGAGTCCTCCCCCGTCCGCTCCTCTCGTCCGCGCAAAACCAGTGCAACCCCCCGTCACTCTTCTTCTCGATCTCGCAAAGGCAGCATCGATCGCAGTCCCAATCGTTCCATTGCATCGACGAATACTGGTTCTGGCACGCTCCCCTCCGCCACGGTCGTACAACGAGCGCTGTCCCAGAACAGCAGACCTCCCGTCCTCAGCCCACCCCCCAATGCCGAAGCGTTCTCCGATGTGCCCAGTCCGGACAAGTCCACCATGCCATTATGGGCCACAACGCGGCGGTCGGAACCACAAGAACCTACTCTTCCGAATACCTCTATCAAACGGTCAGTGCCGGATGACTTTGCGACGAAGCCAGACCGGAGTGCTCCCCGTGCCGTAAATAGGGGCCAGGGGTCGGCTCTGGAAACCGTTCAGGAGATGGCCAGTGATCAGTCCACACCGTCGACCGATACGATCATGAACCGACCCCTGACTGAAGAGTCTCAGTTACAAAAGATCGATGAGTCGGACGCCACCCCCAAGGCGTCGCGGTTCAACAATGAGAGTGGCAGCGATAGTGGAGGGAACAAGAGCTCCGAGCCAATGGAGGGTTATCGCCGTCATTCTGCTTCGAAGACCCGGGGGACCAACGCCCTTCTCTCCAAGCAGTCCTCTACGTCTTTGAGCGGCGGTCCTCGTGCCAAACCGGCGGATGGATCTGTCCGGAACATGATTGTCGAGACAGAGACCGTCAGCTCCATCCCCCAGGTATCCTTAGCTGTGGCTACCGGGGACCGGGGCAACACTGGTCGGGTTGATCCGTCGGGCACTCTTCGCATGAAGGGTAGCCAGGAGACAATCCGGGCCAAGAAAGATAAGAAGCGGGTGCGCAAACCGGCGACCTTGGCCAGCGGCGCTGCATCCTCCAAAGCGGACATTTTCGAAGCTAAGGTGGCCAGCGCCGTTGACGAGGCCGATGTGTCCGACTCGGACGAAACGTTTGTGTACGAGTCCAACCCTCCAGACCCGTATCCCGTGCGGCAGAATCGGTACCATTCCCGGACCCCTAGTGCCACCTCCATGGCCAGTCAGGTCGATCAGCTTTCTGCGGTTCGCAGTCGGCCAGGAATTCGGGATGGCAACCACAGTGTGACCGGCAAGCGCAGCATGAAGTTTACGAATAATACATTTGCTAGCGGAGCGGACGATCCCGGCGAAGAGAGTGCCCGAAGCCACTCCCGAGTCGATAACGGCGGCACTCACACGCCCCGCCACCATCACATCGGGCGATACGGACGCAACAACAACCTGTATCCGTCCCTATTCGATCATGAGTCACCGTTCCCTCAGCCTCAGACACACCTCAAGTCGCCCCGGCATTTCATCAGCGGCGGGTACCGGCAGTCCCGACATCCGGGGTCTCGCGCTGGACCCAACTACCGCACGATCAGCGGCACCAAAAAGTCGAACGATGGCTACGGCTACGATTTTGATGCTGAAGGGGCGGATGACGAGCGGACGCCGCTGGTAGGGTCCCCCCGAGTGACACGCAGCCGTCATGGCGCTGGTCGACGCCCCAATAGTGCTAGCCTACGCCAGATGGAATACCTCCAACAGCGGCAACGCGGGTATTTTTCGCGGTACGGTGCGTGTGTGATCATCAGCCTGCTGCTCTTATTGCTCGTCGGGGGTGTGACGTCGTTCGTGGTGGCCTCCACGAAGGCTCTCGTGGACGTGGAGATTCTAGACATCCAGAACGTTCTTGCTTCCGAGCAGGAGATTATGTTGGATCTGAACGTACAAGCCATCAATCCGAACTTGTTCCCCGTGTCCATTGACGATATGGATATGAACATCTTTGCCAAGAGTCGATTCGTTGGGACCGACGAGCTTTGGCGCAAACTCAGCTCCGACTCGAGCTCCGTCCCCAGAGTGGAGAACAGCAGAAAACGAGCCGAGATGGCTCTCATCGCTCGCTGCGCTGGCGATGCGAGTTGTCTGTCGAATAGCACCCTATCGGTGCACGGCAAGAAGACCAAGGGCGGCGTGGACAAGGGCACGGATCCCATCGAGTCTGATCCGGCGGGCGATCCCCAGACTATGCTGCTGGGTCGGGTGTTCCGATTTGATTCTCCTCTATCTTTCGAGCCGTCGCCATGGAATTATGTTCCTACGGCATCGAAAGGACAAATTCGGCTTGCCCGTCCGGGCAACAAGACGGAAGAAGGCGGCACGGAGCGATGGGAGCGGGTGCTTCAGCATGAATTTGACCTGATCGTCCGTGGTGTGGTCAAGTACCAGCTTCCACTGAGTTCCCGTCTGCACTCAGCCTCTGTTAGTTCTAGCATCAAGGTAATCCCTAACGAGGACGATGACACGGATGGGGGCGGCAAGCATTCTCCGAACAACGAGACCGTCAGTATTTCGGGGACCAGGTATTATCGCCGGCTTCGACGCGCCCGATCCGAAAGTCCCGAGATCTCGACGTTTGAGACGGTGAGGAAGACCCTTGGGTTCATCAAGCGAGCATTTACGGCGTGAAATTGGTTTCCCGTAGCTGTCGGTCATGATCGCGTGGCTTCGCACTACTCAGCTGTGTCTCCTTCCCATACTTTATCGTGCTGGCTTTCGTCTCAACGGTCTTTGGATCCCTGCCCTTTGCGGAAGGTCAATCTATCCAGAATAAGGACTGAATGGCCGGGTGTGACCCTTGCATATGGGGGGTATCCCTCAAAGGGAGCAAGGGCTACTCCCCCTTGTGCCACTCGACATGGCGTATGACAGTACACTATTGCGATAACGTGTTTCCTTTGTTGGAGCTTTCATTTTATCAAACCTAGCGATTGGTCTATTTCTCAACTGATGTGTAACGACCTGATAATTTCATCATGAAAAGAAAACGGCAGCAAAAGCATGGAGAACGGCACAGTTTTTTTCTTCTTCTTCTATTACAATAAAGGAAAAGAACGTTATGTATGCATCAGCACGGCGCTCTATACAGCTTTCTTTTTCTGGGAGTATGTTTTTTCTCTTTTTTTTTTCTTTTCTCACTTATTGTGTTGCTTGCTTCAACTTGCGTGGTTGGTTTCTGGATGGGAGCGTTGTGTTTGATTAGAGGGGAGCATCGGTGACGGGTGCACACGTCGTTCTCTCTTGCTTTTGCTTCTGCATGGGGTGGGGGACACCTACCATGCTTTTTTTGTATCTATGTATGTGTGTACATAATATTCTATATGAGGTGCTTGACTGTGCCACATTCGAAGAAGTTAATTGCATGATATGGTGGATAGATAGGGGGTAGGGTAGGGGTATGGGTACATAGATATAGTACATAAGGGGGAGTGGATGGATGTACATAATATGATGATAAATGGATGCAATGAGCTCATCATATACTACATTCTCAGCTGACAGCTGAATGACTTGCTTGAGGAAATAAAGATATTGAGATACTTATGGTCGATTCCATATTCAGCCTGACTCACTGAGTGAGCATCGACAGTAAGAGTTGTGAGATACTAGTTCAGGTGGTTAAGCTAACTCAGCTTAATCACAGTATTCCACAGCACCGTCTCAGTGTGCTCTTACTCCACCGAAACGTCGACTATGGTTATGATAATAGTAGCTCCCTTCAGAGAAGCGATCCTCAAAACCAACCCACTGCTGAACGAACCACCACCACCACCACCATAAGTAGTCCGTATATAGTTACACATAAATACATCCATGCTCTGCGAATACGTACAAGAGGGGGGAAAAAAAAGAAAAAAAAGAAAAGAAAAGAAAAGAAAAGAAAAGAAACTACTAATAATAAGTCGAGGTGAGTAGTAAATAGTATACCATAGACCACACACACTACTATGCGACAGATAGGTACAAACCCTCTCATCTGCATCGCATTAAGAAATTCGATCTATTTCATTATTACTGCCGACCACCTCAGTATCAAAATACGAAGTAAACAAAGGAAACGAGAAAATAGAGTCATCAAATCAAGTAAAACCCAAAAATCTCGCATGTTGCATATCTATACATGGAAACCACTACTTTCTACAACTCTGATAATGCCGAATAAACCCGGCCCCCACTTTCCCCCAACTTAGGAACATTATTACATGAGACAGGCCAGATTTTACAGTAGAGATAGTAAGTGATCGAAAAAGAGGGGACATTTATTATGATGGGGGAAAAGTGTATCAATATGCAAGGTTAATAATGCTTAACCAGTCAATAGTAACACGTAAGTAACTAGGAGGAGTAGGTGGGTGGATCTCTTGGATTAACCTATGGTTCGTTTGAGCAGCATGTATCTTCTACTGCAAGGAAAGTAAAACAGATACAATAGAAGACATTAAACTGAAATAAGGTTTGAGGTATCTGGAATTAAGCAACTCAAAAGTATGTACTTATCTGGATAGGTACATAAAGTAGGCCGGGCTACTATGTAGATAGGGAGGAAGAAGAAGAAGGAGAACGAGAAGTGCAGAAAAGGCAGCGAATGTGTTAGATCGAGATGCAGGCGAGGAGATAGTCTCCCCACCAATAATATGCTACTATTTTTCGTCTAGTCGCTGCCTTTTTTTTTAGTTTTGGCTGCCTTCAATGCAAGTGGGCTTACTACAGTAAGTACTTGGAACCGAGGACCATGCAAGATACATCCAATGCGAACATTTGAAGAAAGACAGCTGTTCCCTCTACGGTGAGTGAGAAAGTACAATGCTCGACCTGTCTGTCGGTTTGGATTGGCTCATGTATCGTTCGGCTGTTGGGGCTGCAGATCTGCACATGTTTACGTCCGGCATTTGCCTTTCCTGGAAGACGCATCTTCATCCAAGGCAGGCACGCAGAGATCGGCATTTGAACCTGGAATTCTCCCTGAACGGGACGATCTATCAAATCTGCGAGATCCTTCGGCCGAATGCCGGCATTGTCTATTTCAGTCTGCGTACTTGAAGCCACATTGAAAAAAAAACAAAAAGAGAGGAGCATTTGATAGATACATGAGGCCGTTAAAGCGTTATATTCTCGTAAAAACAGACGTGTCAAATCAGATCATTCATCATCATTACTTCGTTCGTTAAGCAGGAAGCGGCTTGAAAGATAACGGTGAAAAAAGATAGGCGGCAAGATATCCACCACGATTACGCGAAGACTCGGTTGAACCCCCTCATGAGCTGCTCAAGCCGACCTGCCAGCGGATCATCGTCGGGCTGTGGCAGAAGCCGGCCATGCGAGTCAAACCGGTCAGGCAGATCAACCGTCGAATCAGAATCAGATTCCGTCGCATTATTCTGCTGGCCCTGTGACCCAGAGCGAGCATCGTTACGTTTGTATGAAGAGTACGGCTCCGACGAAGAGTGTCGACGAGGCTGAGGGCGGTTGCGACGGCTCCCATGTACTGACCCAATAGTGGAATCACTGTCATCCGTCTCGTATCCTAGGTCCTTCTGCCCTTCATGTTCGGAGTGAATATCAAATACAACTGACTTTGGCCCCGGAGGCTGACTGGCAGCGCGTGATCGGCGCCTCCTCGCACGGGGTGTCCTCAGCGATGACTGCGCATCTACACCTAAGTGGTATGGTCAGCAATAACTCAGCTAGCGGCAGTCTTCCTGAACCCACCATCGAATCCGCGGTCTTGGACAGTGGGCTGGGGATAGTTCGATGCACTCACATTCTCGTCTGCCCTGCGGGGCCGCGGAGCGTAAGGGTCTGGGCCAGGGCCAGAGGGATAGTCGTACGACTGGGGTGGCACCGGGCCAGGAGGGTGTGGATAGTCAGCTGGGCTGTAAGGTGCCGGTTCTGGGCGTGGGCCTGTCGCTGGAGGGGGTGGGAAGTAGTTGCCGTTTGGATAATACTGGTGATCATCAATTGGCCGAGGCGCTGCTGCAGGTGTGGCCGGATAGGGTAATGGATTTTTGTACGAGCTGTCATATGGCTCACGGCGTGCATCCTCATCGGACTCTAGCACACAACCGTCAGCTTGGAATGCCCTGTTTTGCTGCAGCTCACCAAGGCTTACCCGGCCTATCTCTGTCCCTGTCCGCCTTCTTACGTTCGTTTCGCTGTGAAAGCTTGTGAGCTGCATACCCAACTCCCGTGGCGGCTAAAGCAGCTTCGGCGAGGTCGCGGGAACGGCTGCGATGCTTGCCATGGCGGCTTCGACGCCTCCGGTGGCTGCCTCCGTCGGAATCGGATGAGTCGCTACTGTATCGGACGCCCCGGCTGCGACTACGACTGCGACTGAGACTGCGTGTTCGATGCCTGGAAGACCCGAACCCGGCAGCACCGCTGGCCACAGGATCAGAAGCGTCGGAATAATAGCCATGCGGGCTCACTGGGCGGCCATAGTAGTTATGAGGAATGCTGCCATGAACTGGATGATCCCCGTATTCAATCAAACCAGGCGAGTCTCTCGTTGGGTCAGGGTACACCTCCGACGGGGCACGGCTCCGCGACCTCGAGCGTCGACGTTCTCGACGTCGTGACTCCTCCTCTTCTTTCTTTTCCTTGTTCTTCTCGTAGAGACCCGTTGCTGCGGCCGTTCCAAGTCCAGCCGCTACCACAGGGAGAGCCTTCCGGATAGCACTGTGTGATCGAGACTCGCGTCTGCGAGAGCGGGAACGGCTGCGTGCCTTCTCCACCAGTCCCGCTACGGCCGCTCCAGCCAGACCAGCCTCTGCCATATGCTTCCTGCGTTGCGACTGGCTGCGTTTCTCTTCATGGGTATCCCTTAGCGATCTGCGCGAGCTCGAGGCGCGGCGGTGGCGTGAGCGACTTCGTCGGTCTTTGTTCGAATTCGACTTACTCCGCGCCAACGCCACGGCTCCGGCAATGGCAGCAGCACCTAGGCCAAGTTCCGCAAGATGTCTGGCACGTGAGTGGGAATGTGAGCGGCTACGGCTGCGGCTGCGGCGGCTATGGCTATGGCGATGGTGGTGGTGATGATGATGACGGCGCGAGTGAGAGCTTCTGCCATCGTCAATCGAATGGGAACGATGTCGGCTTTTGCTGCGGTAGTGGTCTCTGACGCGCGAAACTGCCTCTGCCGCAACAGCCCCTAGAGCACCCGCACCGACATCTCTGCCCAGGCGGCCAACACCATCCGCCACTTCTTCCCCTTCTTTCTTGCGATGATTACGAAGCAGCTCTGCGGCACCGACACCCGCTAGCGCACCCTCGGCCAGATGTCGCCGATGATGAGGGCTATCATCGTATTCCCGGACCTCTTTACGGATGTAAACCATGCTGTCATCACTGCTATACGCGTCTTGGTCATCTCGATGGCGGGCAGCCTGAGAGATGGAGTCACTAGGGCTCAGTTCCCGTCGAGAGCGGCGGTCATCATCGTATTCTCGAACACGGCGATGGTAGTAATAACCGCCGGGCTCTCTGTCTACTTCAGAGCGGCGGACGATTTCGTAGTCGGACTCCCTCGGGTTGACGTAGACCGGGCCTCGGGCTTCAAGAAAGATTACCGGCTGAGCTTCACGAATGACAATGGGGGCGGGATATCTGCGGATGCGCTCGGGCGCATAGTACTCACGTTCGTAATAGTCTCTTTCGGAGCGATAGTCATATGGGCGAGAGTCGTAATCAACCTCACGCTCGTAGCGCTGCACCGTTAGAGGTTCATCACGATCGACTGAGCGCCGGATCACAACTTCTCTATCACCAGGGTCTTCGCGGCGATAGAAAAAGTCGCGCTCACGCTCGTCCTCGGAGGGTATGACGTAACGCTTGATAGAGACGGTGGAAGAACGGGGCTCGTCCCACTCCCGCTCACGGTCTCGTTCTTTGTAGATGTACGTCGACATAAAGGAGGTGATGGAACAATTTTCAAAGCTGGTAGGTAGAGTTTTACTTGGATGAAATAACGATGGAAAGGTCAATCAGAAAAGGAAGAAGGGGCAAGGTTTAGAAGGGAGAGGAAGATGGAAGATTTGAAAGATGGGAAGCGAGGCTGCAGGGAAGTGGGGTATTAGCAAGGCTGACGAAATGGCCGGGCGGGCAACACTGACTGACGCAGGAGGTTGATTGTCAGGTGTAGATTATCGGGAATCCCAAGGTGGAACAAGAGACGCCCGACGATATGACAATAAAGCAGACGAAGCGCGCGGATGGCCAAAGAATCGAGCCGTGGCTGAGCGACGAGCAGTAACAGTAATGGGGACTGGATTGGTTGGTGTGATGAGGAGGGGTAAATGGACGGGACAGCAAGTGGCACTTGGTAAGTGTCTAGACGCGGATCCTAAGCAGCAGTCTAGCAGTCTAATTCCTCCAGGAACTGAGTGGAGATGGCTTCAATTTGAAATCAGAGAGATCTTCCAATTTCTAATCTCTCCGGACTAAATTCAAAGACAAAAGCAATGACGAGAATGGAACAGAAGATAATGAAGATGAAGATGGAGAGGGAATGGAATGGAAATGGATTGGATTGGATTGAATTGACCCAAACAAGAAAGTGATCGACCACGTGAAGGCAAGACCTCGTGATGGCCCAATTGGGAAGCATCCCTGATACTGTAGAACTTGGGCTTCTTGTTCTCTCTCACTCTCACTCTCACTCTTCCGGATCAATCCATCCCTACCAATCCGAATGATCCACCTTCTTACAATGTACACAGATTCCCTCTTGGCCTGCTTAGTGTGACAGTCAGTCATGAGGTCCTTTCCGAAACCCCAAACGCACAAAGAATGAATGAGGCTAACATTGCGCCCGATGCTAATCAACTGATTAGTCGCCATCGTCCTTTAGTCTGTACTCCTCGGCTCTTTCCATCCGGTTCCCATGGCCCGCTTAGCTTCATATCCCCTCGGAATTGAACAAGATACCATGTTGACTTGCACTTGATCAGTCGTTCCTGATAAGTCGGTTCCACGGATCCTGGTGGGTTGGGCTTGTCGCTAAACCATGGAAGCATGCCGCCTGTCATTCAGTGGACAAAAGAAGCATTTCTTTTCCACATCTTGGTTGGAGAGTTTTCTATGCAAGTGTCTAACCATGTGTAACTCGGATTTGCAGGACTTTTCGAGACTTCGAGAATGAGCGGAACTGGATTCCGAATAGCCGCGGTGGCGTTTTCATTTTTGACTTCGGAATCTGCCTGTTTTCCTTTGCCCGATGTTTACTTTTCCCCATGGCAAACTTTCTTTTGATTTGCCCCTACTTCTGGCATGCCCCCCCATCAAGAATTGGCGTCATTCGTCCTGTCAGTTCGGATATCCACAAACTGTGCACCGCAAGTGCAACCTCTCGCAGTCAGTTTCCTTCACGGGGGAAAATCTATGACCAAGACTAAAAGTAGTCTGCTGGGTCTGCACCTTCCTCGTATCGTCTCATTTCCTATGGAGTATGATCTTTCACTAACGTTAGGCGAACCTCCGACCCGCGGGTCATTATTCGCCACGCGAACAGCTAGAGCCACCCACACTTTCTAGTGTTCTTTGCCCGAGTTCGCAGTTCGTATGCATCGGACTATTGGATGCTACGAAAATCCCGCCAGCACTGCTTACCTACATCATGCATGATCAAAGTACATGCTTTTTTTTTTTTTTTTTTTGGCTTGGCTGCTTGCGTGTCGCTAGTTCTACTTCGGCTACCAGATGTGTGACATAATGTTTTACTCATGCAGCGGTCAACCATGTTTGCCCGTTGAGATCTTGCTGTCGCTCTTAGATCCACAGGCTGCTCTGGCGCCTGGGGCGATGCAATTGCTTGAGACTCCTTCCGAAAAATGAGTGTCTCGACGATGATCCCTGCATCCAGTTGACTTTAGTTAGCTTGTGTGCCCGGAGGCTTTTTTTTTTTTTTTTTTTTTTTCTGAAAACCGACTAAAAGCCCCCATTCGTAAGCGGTCTTCTTGCGCTTTGACCCCCAGCTTCTGATGCTGGGGTCCATCCAGCCCACATGGTTCTGTTACACGGCGTTATCTCATAATATTGCTCTTGGATTCGCCCGCGTGCCTCTTCCGGTTCGATCGGTTTAACAAGCTAAGGAATAGCCCCTGGAGATCAAGGCAAACTTTTTGTTTACAAATGGTGCCTATCGCCGATGCGCACAGACGGATCGTCCGAGGCCATGAGATGCGTAGTCGAAGCGTGAGCCAAATCGCCACACACGTTGCTTTCCGACACTGTACCCCAAAGCAGGAGCAAGCGGAGCAAAATAATCTTCACGGTACGGTGTGCGTGGGAAGCCATACGCCCTCTTGCGGTTCTCCGCGTGGCGGTGACGTCTTCAGATCCCATTAGCCTCAGCCGCTATATTCCACGCGAGTTTGGACGGGCCATGGAGCAGCAAGTGGCAGAGACCAATAGGTTCAGCCTTCAGCCTAGGATCCACCCAAACCACAGACCCGAGTACCGGGGAACGTCATTGCGATCCTCGATCCATCTCATCCCCTTGCGACTGGTCTCCTCGTCGGGCCCAGAATGACAGGGATCTCGTAAAATCCACTCATGCGGTGACTAGCTCACATCCGGTATGTTTCTGGAAGAGTTCCATGCATCAGAATTTGCCCCTAGTGCCTTCAATTGATGCACTCTCTGGCCAAGGAGACGGGAGGTGCAAATTAAATGCATGATGCACTCTGACTAAATCGGAAAGAGATCTCATATGCTGCGACGCGGCTAATCTGGCTCGAGCAATCCTCTGCAGTCGCTAGATCCCTTTTCGGCTATCTGGAATGACGCCGGTGCATGCTTGCAGGAAATTAATGAAATAGAGACAGAGAAAAAGAAAAACATGCGCCAAGGGGCCCATACTGGGGTTAAAGACTCCGGCATAGTGCCTGCCTCCCAATCCGCCCCCAATGCATTCTTATTCTTTGCAGATCTGTGATAGGAATTGTTCGGTTTAAAAGAGCGCCAGGCACCCTTGACGGCTCCCCTGTCTGCGATTCCTTGATTATTCCAGACATCTTAAAGCCTTCTCAAGCCACTTTCACTGGGCTCATTTCCTGCGGTTGGCTTCACAGCTACCCTCCGTTGCCTGTTTACCGCTTCCGCCAACCTTATCCAACGTTGTGGAGATCAATTGAGCCTCCAAAACCCAATTTTGCTTAGTTCTCCTCCGCCCTGTACTCCTGACCAGCATGGCCACCTCGAATCGCTCAAGCAGCAAGAGGTTGCCCATAAGTTGCCAAGCATGTCGCTCGAGAAAGATACGCTGCTCCCGTGACGGACGTCCGTGCCAGACCTGTGTTCGTCGAGGATTGGGCGCTGAGGACTGCATATACCTGGGTCAGCCCAGGCTGTCCTCTGAGCATGCCTTGACGGCAGAGTCTGCGGGGCAAACACATCTGCTCGCACGGATCCGCGACTTGGAGGAGCTACTTCATAGACAGGCACAGTCTCAGTCAAGTGGCTCCGTGTCCCCGCAAAACTCTCCTAGTGCTACAGGCAGCTTCCTTGAGTCCGATAGAGGTGTCGAGCTGAAGCCCAGCAGTTTGAGAAGCCCCTTGTTAAATAATGTGGGCACTCTTCAGACCTTTGCATCTGGCTACGTTCGTTATCTACCATTCGCAACTCACGCCAGCCAACTTCAACTGAGTCCTACAGGTACAGGCTCTTCACTTCCCAGTGTAGACACTGAAATACCAGATGAGAGCGACGACCTTCAGATTCCGTTGACGAAATGCTCTGTTTCCAGAGATGAGCTGGTAGCTATTCTTCCGCCACGTCGGTATTGCGATGCGTTGAAGAATGTCTACTTTCAAGTATTCTCGCCTGTATGTTTTGAACTCCAATGATTTTCTTGAGCTATTCCTTCACCAAGTGTCTTTTCATAAGTACCTATGCTAACTCGGGACCTAGATGTTTCATATCCTGCATGACCTGACATTTGAGGCCGAATACCAACAATTTTGTCACGATTCCAGCAGCGTCACAACAGCGTGGATTGCGCTACTTTTTGCCATTCTGGGAATTGCCGTCACAGCGCTCGAGGATGATGAGCCGTTGCTTTCCGATTTAGGTCGTGAGAAGACTGTCACCCGTAATATCAAAGTCCTATCATCGCGGTATCGATCCGCCTCACTGCGCTGTCTGGCCGCAGATGATGTCCTGTCTCGTCACTCCATCAATTCTCTCCAATCCCTTATTCTGATAAATTACGCGCGTATTCACCGGGGGCTTCCTACCTGGACTCTTTTAGGCTTCACACATCATGTCGCCATATCCATGGGCTGTCATGTTGACCCAGATCGATTCCCGCTCGGGCCTATTGAGCGTGAAGAGCGCAGACGAGCTTGGGCCGGAGTAACAATGCTTTATACTACTCAAAATACAGTTTTTGGCCATCTTGGTCATCATATACCCTCTCAAGGTGTGAAGCCTCCCTTGGAGATCAACGACGTGGACCTACTCACGGGGTCTTTATCTGAGCAATCGTCGCGTCCAACACAAATGACGTATCTCCTGCTTGAATTTCGATTGGACAAGGTCTTGTCTATGATTTGTCAAACACTTTTTAGCTTCTGCCCCAAGTTCAGCCTCTCTCAACTAGAAGCGCAGGTTTTGGCTGTTCACGAGATATGCGACAGGCGGTATCAGATCAACCCGAACCTTGAACCTCTGCCAGTACACCATGTCGCCAATCTCAATATTCTTTACAGCTATATTCACCAGCTACTGTTGCTTCTACTTCGACCAGGTCTCTGCTGCTACCTCCAAGGTGAATTTACACCAGAAACGTACGCCGCTAGAACGAAATGTGTAGCCTCTGCAAAGGCATCTCTCTCGATCTATCACTCGCTCCATGAGTCGCCTCAGTTCGCCTCATATAAGTGGTACAACTGTGGGCTTGGAAGCTTTCACGCTTTCCACGCAGCTGTAGTCTTGTCAGTGACATTGATGTACCCTGAGAGTCAGTTTGAGTTTGTCGAGATAAAAGATATGCTCTGGAAGTCACTGGATGTGTTTGCTGCTTTATCGAATCGCAGCAATTTCTGCAGCAAAGCAGTCCCCGTTCTTCGTCGGCTCATGTGAGTATTATCCCATTTCTAGGGATGCTAGCTTCCTTACAATAGTTCGCGCCCTCCCGGAAAAATCATAGCTAACGGGGCACAAATTTCTAGTGACATGGCCTGCACTAGAGGCCAACAGGCAGTCTTAACTGTGGACCCAAACACGGGCCTCATAAGCTCCCCGAGCGACCTTACTCAGGACCTATCGCCAATACCTCCAGAGTATATCATGGAGCCGCTCTTTGCCCAGCTCCAACCTCAGAGTTGGGTCAGTCCCACATCTGTTTACTGGGACGGTTGGAAGTTCCTTTTTGAACGAGGGTAGACACCAGAGCAGAGACAGACATACATTACATAAAACCTTGAAGCGACATATCACATGTTGCTGTTTCTCTGCACTGTCTGTTATCGCTCAAGGATCCATGCGATACAGCAACGGAACTCAGGCTGCCTGAGGCGCCTTGCGGGTCCATGCAACCACATACAACGTGAGGCACGGACGTTCCTACGATCTAAACACGCTTTGGAAGACATGCCACCATGTGGCTGTGTACGGGCCGTCTCTCAGCTGCGAATCAAGCCACAAGCACGCCGCCTCTCGTTAGACAACGAGCACAACGGGACATGCACACGCCATGTCTCTGGACGGTTTATGACACGAATCTCCGGCATACAGCCTTTCGGCCCTGATATTAGAGGGGTATAGGCAGAGCTGCTTTCAGATTTCCCTAATGATAACCGACGCAAAATGTATAACGAGCTCTGAATGATCTAACCTGATACAATTTCATAATATGATAGATGATAAACTTCTTCAACTTACCATAGCTGCACCATCATACGAAGAGCAGTAACAATAACGTTGTATACCCCACCTGGTCCCAGTAGTAGTATTTCCTGCATATCTAACAGCCAAGCCAGTTCCCACCCTCCTATTAACTATATGGGAAATCAATCACGCCCTCTCATCATACACCACCTCAACACGTTGAGAATCGCACTTTGCATCTGGATCCTCATCCTCACCATCACCTTGCTTATCAGACGTGATGACCTTATCTCCAAAGGATGCAGCGATTTCTTCAAGTGTGCGCTGCTTCGTTTCACTAGTAACCGGAGGATGTCAGATTAGTTTATCGTCAAATAAACAAGCGGCAAACAGTCGAGCCAGTCTTTAAAATGGAGGAAAATATCCCACTTACGGAAAGTAAAAATAAGCCACAGTGAAAAAGAAGACAGTGCATGCTACAAAAACATAATAGTAGTTTTCGCCGATGTTGGCAAATGCACTGGGGCCGGCTTCGGTGACTGCCAATTGATAATCAGTCAGTATTGATACTTTGGTGTTAATGGTGTGTGGGTGATGAGGGTTGGAAGAAGTTGGATGTATGGGACGGGTATCAACTAACTGGCTACGTTGACGATAAAGTGTGATGCTGCTGCTAGACCCATTACTTTGCTTCGGAGGGCTATGGGAAGGACTTCGGCGCCGTAGAGCCAGGTTGTGCTGTTGAGCATGCCGTCTGGTTTCCGAGGTATTATATGTTAGTTCCATTCATATTCTTAGTTAGGGAAGTGGTTGGTTGATTGGTGACGTACAGTATGCTACTACGAAGAGATAGATCCCCAGAATGGCAAAACCTTTTCCGACTCGGTTGTCGGTGTTTTGGAACTCGCGTTGCATGACGGCTGCGTAGATCTCAACGATGATGATTCCGCCCAAGCCGGATAGGAGCATTCTATACTTTATTAGATAAGATATATGGCTAGTTTTCTTAGGTGACGTACTTTCGACGACCCCATTGGTCGGTTAAGTATTTGGTCGTAAGGCAGTTGAAGATGAATGCCACTGTGCCGTATACGGCAGCTAGTGCAAGAATAGTATGCGAGTCTATTCCGAGAGATTTGTATAGAGTTGCTATTCGTTGTGAGTATGAATGAAGACATAAGAATGAGGGGCCAAAGGGGGATTAAGAAGCGATACTGACTTTGATAGTACTAGATTTGGTCAGTATTCATGTTTTCTTTTGTAGTCAATGTAAGCATCACTCACTTGAATCACATTCACACCGGTAAGACTGGTCATGGTCTGTACAGCAATCGATCTATAAGCGCATCAGAGTTGATACACTTTGATCAGAGAAATGTGAGCAACTCACACTAATGCACGGCGTCTGAACAGCCTGAATATATCCTTATAAGAAGTTATTTCTCGCTCCTTTTCATATTCAATCTGCGCCACCATCGCAGCGAACTCCTGTTGGAGTTCATCAGCGGCTAGACCTCGACGGATTCTCTTGTACTGGACCCGCGCCTGTTCAACATTTCCTTTACGGATCAGATGGCGCGGTGAGTCGGGCATAAAGGTGATCAGTCCAAAGAACATGATGACCCCCCAAGGTATTTGTATTCCCAGAGGCAGTCTCCATTGTACTGGCCCATACGGCGCGTAGCTGCAAGCATATCCAATCCAGTTGGAAGCCATCGTTCCGAAGGAGATGCCGCAACCTGAAATGCCACCGATCAGGCCGCGATAGCGAGGGTCTGAGATTTCGCTCAGATATATGGGAACCGTAGCAACGAGACCACTGAGCAGGGATATTTTAATTAGAGTAATATTTTCCCACAATTCAGTGAAGAATACTCACCCAACTGCATAGCCAGCTAGCGCACGTCCAGCAAGGAACATTCCAATATTGACTGAAGCCGTCTGAATGACTGTGCCAATTGTGACGACTACACACAGTAGCTCCATAAATCGAAGGCGTCCAAGTTTATCTCCGACAGCAGTCTGAGTGAGCGCGCCGACTGCTTCGCCGGCAATGTAAACTGAGACGACCTAAATTATCTCAGCTTGATCTTCACTTTAATGCGACAAATCTCAGACGTACAGCACCGGTGAGGCCATTGGAGGGTTTGTTCATGTAGTTTATCCAGCTTTGATGAGCGATTGCTAACAAAGTCAGTCATAACCGTGGAGTGTCCGGTTTGATATTCTTACTTGTCGTAGCGATTCCCGTGTCGAATCCCTAGGTTAAGTCACTCAGAAGTGGCTCACGAGGCATAAGCTATCATCTAGGTAAAGATGGTAACTCACGAAAAGAAAGGTTCCGATTGCAGCAAACAGTGCAACGCCGATCGTGAACCAGACCGCCATCTTGACAATCGCAGGGCACAGGTAAAAGAAGGACGTTTAGAGATCACATATTGATAGCCTCTCTGCAAGGGAAAGCGCCGTCTTAACATAACGCCGTCCTACGTCAAACTGGCAGTGCCAATAACCATTCAGCCGAGGGTGCGTCACGATAGCAGCCACTCGGAGTATGACCGACCGAAGTGCGCATGAGGTACAAAAAACCTGGGAGAGCAGACCACATCATGGAGTTACGGAGACCGTATTATGTGGGGCAAAGTGTTCAAGCACTGGGTTTTCCCCGCATTCCAGGAAGTATGCGTCTGGGGATGATACTTAGTAGATGGACTAGGTCCGAGGGAGGCGTGGGGGTAACCTCACAAGGCAGGCCTCATAGCATCATTGACTCGCCTCTTCTATCGGCCGAACAAGATTTAAGGTAAGCTTGATCCAGACGGCATAATGTTTCAGCGCGTTTAGAGCAATGATTGGTTCAAAGATCACACAAAGAAGTCTTGAGCGATGAAGAAGAGTTCCAAAGAAAGTGCAAAGTAATGTGATTACGGGAGGGGCAGTGGATGATCTTTTCCAAAATTCCGATATGTCCAGAAAGTCCGTCGTCTTGTGACTTCCCGCAATTGACTGATTACTCCCCTTCTCTGCAGCCAAGTGTACCTGGAAACAACACAACGATAGTAGAGCACTCATGTACAAGGATTTAGAGATTATCACACTAGGTTAAATTTCGCCTAATCTCCGAGGCCAATAACTAATACTCCAGTACTCTAATGCAGTCATCGGGCCACTTTTTGAAGCCTACGTACATCTCTAGCACTAGTACCAGTAAGTGCACTCTAATATATATCTCGAACAGTTCTAGTAGCAGTAAGTTGTACTAGTATTGCTACTAGTGAAGACATAGCCTGCTTGACGCCCGCAGTATGGTGAGTTGGGACATACAGTGTGCTCCAGTTTCCACTCTTTAGAGACTTGACCATCATAGATCCAATGCAACGGTTAGAGTAAGTAAGGGGACACTCATGGACAACTCGCAAGTATACTCCGCAAACCCATTTGCGGCCTGGACAAATGGGCATCAACACACTAACCCAAAAACGGAAGGTCTCGCTTCCCTCCCAACACAGAACGATTTCTCGCTTAGATGACACTAGTCCCGCTAGCGCCATCCCCCCAACCGGCCAGGTATAAAAGCTCGCCGCACCCGCCCTCTCTTTAGACTTTTTCTTCTTTTCTTCTCCAGCTCTCTTTGCCTTTTGGCTTAGATCAAGTGTAGTATCTGTTCTTTTCAGTTTAATCTCTGAAAGTGTTCTAAGGAACACAACATTGATTAATCTTATTTTTGCACCCCGTGGCGGGGCCTCTGTGCTTGCGCATGCCTTGCTACACAGTGTCATCGGGCTTACACTACCCCCGATCGACGCGAACACCTTTTTCATCAATTTGGTCGGCTTGTCCGACTGCTTGGAGAAGAAGCACTATCATAGTGTAGAAATATAGCTAGTAGGGTCCAATTCGCTGGCATGGTTCTTTGTGGCAACCAATGATTACCCTGAATAGCAATCAAGCAATCCTCCGACCATGGAATTCGAAGATTATAATAATGTATAGTGCAGTGGCTGGGTGTTAGTCAAATTTGGAGATTGACAGTAGGGAGTACTCGGTAGATAGGAGAAAGAGAGAGGTGGTTTGCTGCTGGCAGAGGGATTAGCTATGTATTGTGCATATAGAAAACTATCCTCACTATTTATTTGGCAGAAAAGCTTTCCACCGATTAAGATCGATTTACCAAAGACCAACTATACAGTAGTTCGAGCTTTCGAATGAACGACCACGAGATTCCCCTTTACAGTCGCATCATCGCACCCCGAAAACCATTGAGGAGCCGACATTTCACCGCTCTTCAGACCGCTTAGAGCGGCAGAACCTAGCGAACCTCTTTCAAAAAACCTCGGATTTAAGCGGATTTTAGAAAGTACAAGTCGCAGAAAAGTCAGTTGTGAAACTGTTCGTTTTTTCCTTGGCGGCAGAAAACGGGTCACTGACCGCCGCGCCCGCTAATTGCAGAACCGCCTTGCCGTAGTGGCTCTCTCATCACATAGTTATGAAGTAGCACTAATATAACTGGCGAAATTTTGTCCTTACTCGTCTATAGTAGGAGTCTGGGCTCGAAATTTCGCGGACATGTTTTGTATTGCCATAACGTAGAAACAAGCCCCAAGGATACTTCATAGATTGATCGGAGGTAAAATTTATCGAGGACATCCAATGTGTCGCATGTCAGACAGAATTTTTGAAGGCATATTTCTGTATGCATTAGTGACTAGATCAGATACATAGAGATATCATCATTGATGCTGAAATCACGGCAATTCTGCCTTGCATTGAAACCATATAGATATCCCGATAAGATGAATGCTTGGGGGCGATATCGAATTTGTCGCTGTAGATCTCCTACATGTGAACATAGTTCCCATACGAAGTTTGGAAATCCTCAAAACGGCCGAGGCGATTCGAAGTATACGGCTAGTGCATTCTACAGTTTTGGTCATCTACCCAGACGTAATGAGTTCCCGGAGTAGTTTAGCGCATCTTATCCAGACACTTGGGGAGGGGCAGGAGAAATGAAGCGTAGTACATGGTAACGCTGTTGGTTAGACAGGACCCTTAATGATCTCAAGATAAGGCGCACCCGGTTCGGTTGGCACATGGTGCGAGTATTCTACGTCACGTTGAAACCAAGTTCTCGTTGCTTACGCTCCCTACAACGATGCAGCACACGATAGTTCGTCAAGAGACTCATCAACTAGGAGTCATATATTCTTTCATTTTTTTTCTTGAATATGAGATCCTATTCCATCTTCCATTGCCGATGTCATAGCCGCCGCCGCAGCATTGCGGTCTGTGCAATGCATGAAACCCAGAGCCGAACAAGAAAACCGCAAATTTAGAAGACAAGAGCAGCACCCTTGGTCTTCTTGTCACCACTGTTGAGGAAGAGAGATGGTTAGCATCACCCATAGATCGTATGCCGAGCGTATGAACGTACCCAAGCTCGAAGTGCTTGCAGCGCTTCAGAGAAAGCTGCTTCTTGGTCTTGCAAGCAGTGCACTCAAGACGAAGGACGATCTTCTTGGTGGTCTTGGCCTTCTTGTGGAAGACGGGCTTGGTCTGACCACCATAACCGCTCTGCTTCCGGTCGTAACGACGCTTACCCTGGGCGAACAGGGAGGCCTGTAGAGATCATGATTGCATCAGCATAGGTCGCGCGGTGGGCTCGGTTGCTTGGGCAGTGTTCACCTTTCCAGCCTTGTACTGGGTGACCTTGTGCTGGGTGTGCTTGTGGCACTCCTTGGACTTGCAGTACGTCCGGCGGGTTTTCGGAACGTTGACCTGAATGCGAGAAGAGTTTGATCAGCGCCTGCTGCGGTAGGATGGTTATCACACAACGTCCGCAGCCTGTTCCTGAGTTCCTCGTCGTCGGAGATGGTGGTTCACGGTGGGAATGGTATTGTTCCGAGAAAGTGAGGAAAAGCAGATGATGATATAGCAAGGGTGTCGTGGCTCAGAGCAATTCGATTTTGATGGTTTCGGTCGCACTCAACATCTTTCACTTCAATCCCACAATTGATCGCGGGGCAAACCCCGGTCGAGAATTCCATCATCTTTGACCATTTTTGTATTGATATTGACGGTTCAGGATTTTCGTTTGCAGCTTCGATCGTTGCGCTTCGTATCGTGGCGGCTTTCAACTCGGTTCGCCGTAGGAAAAGAGTGCCGTATGTCGTCCCATCTCGCAAAATGTCGATTGACCGAAAACACTTCTCCGACGCCCAGGAACACGGAAACGAGACTGATAGACGATCAGAACAATATTCTTACCATTTTGACTGACTTGGCCGGATCGCGAACTTGGTGGTCGTTGATAGTCTCTTGTCGGGAGGATCGAGTTGGGCTGGCCGTGTGTTGTGGGATTTCGTTCGCTTAGGGTGCGGCCTAACCGCGTTTGTGTGCCACCCGCCAAGACCGCCTGTGGTCAGTGGCTGCCTCAGGCAAAGACCCCTATCATCCCCATAGTTATCTATCGAATCGTATTCATTCGCCCACCGTCTAGATTATTCATGCTGAATCAATGCTACTAGGAGACCCTTTACTAGAAGCCTTTGCCAACAACAACGGCTTCTCCTCTACCGTAGAAAGACGTCCCTTTACAAAATTCCAACCCCTTTTCCTGCCCGACAAGCCATTCCCCTTTCCCAGAGATGGCTCCGTCTTCTTGAAACCAGTATTTCGTCCGGAGCATCTCATTGATCTTCCCCACCCTTTCTACCAGTGCGGCCACCCGCGCATGGTCCACCGCTTCGTCTTCCACTTTATTGGGGTTGTCTATCAAAAAGCCGTCCCGAGTGATGAACCGTGCAATCGTAATATGTGCCGAGAGGGCAATATACCTCGGCCTCATCTGTAACCCCGTCGCTGTGACGATACTCGAAACATCACGTCGCAGATGGTGATAAGTGTATCCATCACCGTCCACATTGTGGGCAGTTGTAGTCTCTTCTCCAGCAGCAGGAACAAAGCTCAGCGCCATGGCAGTCGCATCGTAGCTGATCATAGGTTTAACCAACCGTGTCCGATGATGAAATAGAAAATCCACCAGTTTCGGCACGACGCCACTACCCTGGAGATGAGAAACCAATCCTTCAACCTCCGGCTCAGGTCGGCAGCTGGCGATCTCTAACGTAGTCATATGCAATTGCTCTGGAGGTGTGAACCATATGCCTAGTAAAACAGGTGAAATGGAATCGGTCAGTTGAACCAGGCAATACAGCACGCGGAATGGAGGAAGTGCCCCGCAAAGGCAAGATATAACTAACTTGGGGCAATTTCTCGAATGGCCTGCTGGACTTCAGCGATCAGGTCCCGGATATGTTGCGGGGGTCGAGCGTATAGTGTAAGGTTATGCCTAGAATCGACAAAGGGCAGTGTTTCGCCGTTGGCTCCTGCCTGTAGCTTTCTCAGGATATCGTCAATCTGCCAACCTGTGAAGTCGCGACTGAGGAGCCTCTCTTTATATTGTTCATTTCGGCTGGACCGGTGAGCTTCATATCGAGCTTGGATTTGTTTCTGTGATTGGTATTCGTCAGGAGTGTTTTTTTGGGAGCGGTTGGGGCCTTGGGAGTTATACTGGGTCATCTTGACATTCTGAGAGGAGAATGTCAAAAGGGTTAACTTCTTTGGTACTGTTCTCCATCTTACATGATGTGGCACCTGTTCGTAGTGTACTGTGAAAGCAATTCAGTAGAAAATGGTGTTCGTTGGAGGGGTAACTGATTGAGATACAGATCGCCAAGGACATGTGCTATATATATCCCATTCCGATTAAGGGTACATTGAGACCACAACAACCAAACTAGCAGCCAAAGCGCGTAGAGGACAGCCAGCGCAAAACATCTTCAACCCAACAAGATAACGAATCGCAATTATTCCTCACAATCAAACAGAGTCATTTTACTATATCATCACCATATAACCAAAACAACTGCTCCCATCTTACCCGAGGCGATGTAGTTCCCTAATTACTATGTCGCGGCTTACTCCGTTATTTTGATGCCCCACCAAAAACCCCGCCGAAGCTTTCCGTCACCAGCTGAGCCCAGTCAACAACCACCTCCATCATCGTCGTTCTCTTCGCTACTATATTAGAGCGTCTTGTTCCTTGGAATTCTCGTCCTTATTATTTCCTCTCCTATAGCAACTTACTCTACGAATACCTTACAGTCGCTATCTATCTTTCCTCAAAATGTTGATCAAGTGAGTTGTTGTCCGCCCATGACGCACGCAGATACCCTCTGTCGCGATAGCAAAGCTAACCGGCGTCAACCTCCAGAGTCCGTACCCTTACTGGCAAGGAGATCGAGTTGGACATCGAGCCCGATTACAAGGTACATACACACATCTACACATTCACAGACATATATATGTCTTGCAATCTCGCCCCATCCGCGTGTGGTGATTGTTAGCTGGTCTACCTAGCCGGCTGCAACAATTCCGCTCGCACACGACCAGCCACCCACCCCACGGACCTATGATACTTTCTTCCGCGCAGTCGCTAACAAGTACATATGCAGGTGTCCCGGATAAAGGAGCGTGTTGAAGAGAAAGAGGGTATTCCCCCTGTTCAGCAGCGATTGATTTTCGGTGGAAAGCAGATGTACGCATACACCCGTTTCCCTATTCCTACACTTGGGGATGTATAATCGCTATGTTTTGGGTTAATGCTGATAAAGGGACTATCGTGAATATAGGGCCGACGACAAGACTGCATCGGAATATAATCTGGAAGGTGGTGCCACGCTACACCTTGTTCTTGCTCTGCGTGGTGGATGCTTGTGAATGTGTGTGGTATGACAGAAGGGGGAATAAAGAGGAAGATTTCTGTATGTTGCTTTCAAGGCCGGTATTCCGAACGCTATGTAGCGTTGGTTTTTGTTTCGAGGCTATGGGCATGCATGTAGGTTTTGATCCTGGGGCGGAGGGTTTTAATGAGCTACAAACCAACAATGCAGTAATGACAGTTTTCTACATATTTTCACTGAAGATGGAATCCCTCGTGCAGTCGCGGAATGGGAATTGTCATGTGTGACTGGTTTCTCATATAAAATAAGACCGACCGTGCAGCCTGTGTATGTAATAAGAGGAGAGTATAAGCACAATGGATATAGAGAAAAGGGATGATATGCTCGAGAACCAAAGATTGCACTTCATTGACTTCGCCAAACAGATTGCTTCGCACCAGTTTCCCGATATAGGTTGTGAGATCCCTGGTGGGATGCAAAATGCCTATTGTCGCTCCCGACCTGAGCCTGCGATATCCAGGTATATGAGATCGAAAGAACGCCTTCTGTGGTATCATTTGCAAAACGCCATCAACTGAAACGATGATCCAGACTCACGCCAGAACTAAACGCCATTCCTGTATATTATGAGCGGGTTTGTGTATCTAATAATGTAGGTTGACTTCTTGGGATCAGCTTATGTCCAATCAGTTCAGTTTCTTCTTCTTTGGTTGAATAAAGAGGTTCGGGGCAGGACGTTTGCGGACAACTGCCGGACGGGGTGGTTGTGGCGGAGACGCTGGCATGTCCTCTACGGCAGACCCCCGATGAGAGCCAGTCGCACTGTTACTGAGCGGATGGGATGTCTGTTTCTTGGCCGCTACCCCTGATAGAGATCCGGATGGACCTCTTGTTGGCAGCGATGTCTGCGCATTTCTCCCTGCCATAGGCCTACTGGCTGCAGCAGGGCTATGCGATTGGGTTATTGCTCGTAAACGAGCCTCTCTTTCCCGCAAGCTGGGACCAACTTCCAGACTATTCTGGCTTGTGGAGGGAGCACTCATCTGGGGCCGTGACCGACCGGGCGCTCTCAGAGCTGGAGCCTCCTTTCGTCGAGCGACAGGGGGCTCAGCAGGACGTATATGGTCCTCGATCAGAGAGCGCGGAGCCTGTCTGACCTGGGAAGCTCTGTTATTAAGGTGCTTTGTTGGCACAGTAAGAACATTATTCCTCTTTGTTGCTGTAAATATGCTGTTCTTTTTCTTTGTTTCTCTTGGCCTACCAAAAGCCCAGGGGGTCATGGAAGATGACGACGTCGGCGAGCCGCCCAGTCTCCGATCGTACGAAGCATATCGTTGCCTCGCGGTCGGCCTCTCTCGGGGGAGACCGATGATTCGACGATCGGTAACGAATTTGGCACTTTTTTCCTGGCGCTCCGAGCTGATGCCATCTAAAGCCATCTTCAGCTTTTCAGCATCCTCTTCCACTGCCCGTTGGACTTGTTCCCGGAGGTCACAATATACGTCATACCAACAATCGGGTTTCTCAGGCAGATCGTATTCGTCCCATCGCGGGATATCTCTCTTGATGAACTCCAGCCAGAGTTCCTCGTCATCTCGCATCAAATGTGGGGACTGTAATTCCAGAGTTCTCTGTGATGTGGGGTGAGTTTGACTGTTAGCCAAAGGGTTACTGACGATGGACGGGGGGTTTCCGCTGCAGACTCACCAGTTTCTCAGGACTCTCCACTTTCAGTAGAAATGGACGAGCGAGTACATAGGGAATGTTGCCAATATCATTTAATTCTGCATGAGCACTTAGTATCAGTTTACCGATGGGCTCTTGTCAAGGTGGGATTGGGCTCTGCATACGTTTCACGTTCCTAATCGCAGTCGCCGTGCAGAGCTGCAGAAGTGATGGTGGCGGCATGGTGGTTTATCGGGATGGGCACCAAAAAATAACCAAAAAAGTGGCATGGAAGGAGTATCGGATATAAGGAAGAAGTGAGAGGCATCTGAAAAAGGCATGTGAGATGGTCACCGACGATCAGGATGGGATGAACGTAAGGCCATTGAGCCTTTGTACGTGGTAAATGCGCCTGCGTCAGGCTCAAGGCGGACAGCTGTCTCGTCATGATCTCATTGGTTCATTGGGACCAGGTCAGGCGGAAGCTCGGATTCTGCCGAGTGTTTGTGTCTCACCGCCCGAGATGATGATAGATGTCGTTCTCATTACAGACGATGAAGATTGATTTCTACAATCATGTTATCGGGCTCAAAGAATATTGGCTGTGCTGGATGCCATTACTGCTACATCTGGATGAGGCTGTTATTGACCCCTGTATATTCAGTCCCTATCTTACATCCACGGTACTCGGCTATCTTTCTGAGGAATGGCCCGTCATCATTTGCTCGCAATGATCTATAACTCAGGATGAGCAGCTTTGTTATTGTGGCATTATCCGTCTGCAGAACAGGGACTCACCCCGGAATACATCTCCGCAGCCTTGTCATTTACCTAACTGAAAAGTGAGGCGGGCTTGGCCAGTAATGCGCCCCATCGGGCGCTGCGGCAAGTGCATCGCCTCGCTGCCAAGGCTCTGTATAGCTCTTTATGCCTCATACTATAATGATGACCGGAGACTGATCATCACTCTGATGATATAAAGATTATCGTTGTGGGTGGAAGTTGCCCTTAGTAAACTCGTACACAGAGTTCATGATGAAAGTCATACGGGCGATGGATGACTGCGCCCTGGTGTCATCGGTTCCTGGAAGCTTTGAAAAGATGTTGTATTGATAGTGTAATATAGAGACTGAGAGTATATAAAGACGTACTTGTGCCATAAGTCGGCTCTCTGTCATATCTCAAGGATTAACATACTACAACATCTTATCAATTTATTCGAGCAAGAAAAATCGACAGTACCATTCGGAGCAATCTTTTATTGATCTATAATATCACCAAGCCTCCACAAATCGCAGCCATGTGGTAAGCCTCAAAGTCACCGCAAACCCAAGCCTGTCTCTTATAAACGCATTGCTATAGGTACGCGATTTCTCGACCAAGCGAGTATCTCGTGCTCACTGGAGCCGGGATTGACGACATCAAAGTATGCAAGAAGGCATTTGTGTGGCCACTTCAACGGGTATGATTCGCTCAAGAGGTGTCAAGAGTATAGCTGACATGTTATTGAATAGTGTTCGAGGACATCTGTAGCACCGTATGATTTCTCGCTTAGCCTTCAGGCTATGACAATCGAGAAGCTGCAGTTTTCTCTGCCAGCAGTGTTTACCATCGGCCCTGATAACGAGCAAGGCGCACTCAGAAAATATGCGCTGCTTCTTTCGGGCTGCACAGACGAGGCTGATCCTACCCAGAAGAAGGATCTGAACAGCAAAGCAAAGCAGAACCATGTACAGGATATTGTTCGAGGAATCAACGAAGGTGAAACACGAGTGATCGTTTCTAGCATGTCCATGGAGGAGATTTTCAAGGAGAGACAGATTTTTAAGACGAAAGGTGAGTGGCGCCCTGCTGACTGGCTGAGTCACTGTACTTACTGACATCTGAGGAAGTGATCGAGAACGTTCAAAATGAACTCCAGCAGTTTGGCCTGAGAATGTAAGTTTAAGCCCGTTGAGAAAGTATCGTCATTAATAATAAAGCATAGTTATAATGCCAACGTAAAGGAGCTTCAAGATACCCCTGGAAGTGAATATTTTGCTTTCCTGAGCCGAAAGGCTCATGAGGGAGCCCTCAACCAAGCCAAGATTGATGTTGCCGAGGCACGAATGAAAGGAGAAATTGGAGAGGCAGAGAAAAAGGGCAGAACCAAGCAGGAGATCTCCAAGATTGACGCCGACACTGCTGTTCTAGAAACAAAGCGCAAGGCGGAGAAGGCCAAGGCAGACTCAGAGCTTACGAACCGCAAAACAGAACTGGATGCTGACGTCCAACTCAACAAGATCGCAGCTCAGCGTCAGACGGAAATGAGAGACGCTGAGTTGCAGAAACAAGTGCAAAGCAAGCGCGCAGAGACGGAGTTGGAGCGTCTCAGAGCCGAGCAGGTCACAAAAAGCAAGGTTGAGCGTGAGTCTTCCCAGGAAGAGGCCGACGCTGCCTTTTATACGGAACAGAAGGCGGCGGATGCAGAATTGTATAAGAGCAAAATGGAAGCAGATGCAACCTGTAAGTTGTTGATGACCTTCAGCGATAGTCTAATGCTGACTTCTCCTTAGATTACCGTCAGAGCAAAGACGCAGATGCAGCTTTCTATACTCAAAAGCGAGAAGCCGAAGGAATCCTCGAGATGGCAAAGGCATATGGTGCGCTTGTTGATGTTCTCGGTGGTCCTCAGGCGTTCCTACAGTACCGAATGTTGGAGTCTGGCACTTATGAAAGGTTGGCCGATGCAAATGGTCGTGCTATCAGTGGCCTCCAGCCGAAGATCACCACCTGGAATACCGGAGGTAAGTATTGCTGGCTGGCATCTCTTCTTCAATCTGCTGAGAAATTATCGCGCATTCTGACATCAAACCAGACCATGGAAACAGTTCGTCAGATTCAATGGCACCAATTCGGAATATCATGCAGGGCCTCCCTCCTATCTTGAGCACAATCCATGAACAGACCGGGATAGCGCCACCATCATGGTTTGCTGAAATGCCCAAGACCAAGGATGTGAACGGCAAACCCCAGGAATAAAGTGGCTCATCTAGCAAATGATACCCTTCTGAACCCTTAGAACATTCCCTGCATCAAGGTAAAGGGATGGTGTGGGCTGGATAGCCGTTCTTAGCCGCCGAACTATGTGTTCTTTGTATTGTCTCGTATATTAAAGCGATTGCTTAACATTCCTTACTGCCACAAGCAAACCATCAAGAGCAGGAGGGCTACATTATTGCTATGGGTAGTATGCCTCCGCTTGGCCAGATAGTAGCGATGTGTTGGAGATGTTTGCTAGATCATTTGTTCGCTGAATAGTTAATGAAATACCCCTAAGTTGCTAGTATTGAAACCAGAGCGGATATCCGCAGACTTTGGAGAGCGACAGTCGATAGACCCCTTGCTGCTTTTATTTCCAAAGGAGAGTTACATGAATCACAATGTAGCACGCCGTATCTACTCGCTGGTCGGATTGCTTTCCTTCCTCACTATCTCCTCGTCTGTCACGTGTTGTCCCGCCTTCCCCACATGGACAAACACTGCAAACTGCTCCTCTATAGCATCATCGGGGAGGGGCAGAAGAGCAAGAGCAGCATTACGCAGTAAACTCCCCCAGCAAGTTCAGAGTACCGTCAGTCTCCTGAGCTACATTCTCCACACTTGACCCGGGAAAAATTTGTGATAAAACAAACCCTACCTAGTCAGAAAGTTCTGTTCAGGTATGTCCAACTACTACTACGATTGTTTGCCCTTTTTGGCAACGGTCTCGTTTGGCACCTGCCGGAGCTCCTAGAGCTTCCCGCCTCGAGTCATTAAGCTAGAGTCGGGCAGCTTTCTCATAATTTCTATGTTCAGCACGGAGAAATGCTATTGTCCTAGGGCTTATTATCCGGAGAAGTGCAATAGACACTAATTCCGGCTCAATAGTGTCGATCATCATGGCTCCTCGCTCTCAATTGGAGATCGCCACGGCATCTGTCGAGCGCCTGGTCAAAGAAGAGGCCTCGTACCACCGTGAGCTGCAGCAGCAGACGGAAAGAGTCAAGAAGCTGGAGTCCCAGGAGGGCGGCGATGACGAAAACAGAGAATATACACTGAGGCAGGAGGTAAGTAACTAGTACAGTGGATATGCATAAAGGAGGTCGCTGACAATTGTTTTGATAGCGTCTGGCTCTCGAAGAAACCAAAAAGGTTCTCCCGACATTGAAGCAGAAGATCGAGGATGCCATAGCCAAGCTCAATAGTTTGCTGGTGAGTGACAAATTTCCCACAGGCTACTATATACAATTTATCTTGTGTTGTCAGGAGGACTAAGCTTCTAAATTTATTGTTAGGTCGAGGAAGGAAAGAAAGGCTCCGAAAGTAATGTCGAGCATATTAATGCTGCGAAGGAAGCCATCGCCAAAGCCCGAACAGCGGAGCGGGAGATCGCCTGAGATAGCTCATTTTTCCATCTACTGGCACATGTACTTAATCCACAGCACGAAAAATTATTCAATAAATTGCCCCTGAGAAAAGCAAAGCCATTGTTGCATTGTGATAGTTACCCTAATGCGAACGCCACCAACCGAACTCCTTGCTCAATGTGTGGTAGAGAAAATTCTCCGATAATCAAGTAGTGTCCATTTTGTCTGCACGGTCATCCTGGACTTCCTCCCCTTCTTCTAGCTCTTCGGGGACCTCGCCTTCATCTTCCATTGAGGTGTCCTGATCGGGGGTAGTCTTATTTTCGTCGTCCACCGCAGTCATTTGTCGCAAGGGTGACACCGCACCGGCAGTACCCGTCTTTTCCACTTGCAAGCCCGCTGGTGATCGTCCAAGATCATCATGGCCATGTTGAGAAGGAGTCAGACTGTCTGACTCGTGACGAGGGGTATTAGCTCCACTGGATTTCCCCTTGGAGGGAACATCCCCGTCATCTCCATCTTCTTCCTCTTGCATGCCCTCTCTGCGCTCGACCTCCTCCTTCTCGTCACGAATGAGCCGACGAAGTTGCATTCCTTCTTCAACAATGCGACCGAACTGTTCTCGCCGTTCCGACCAGGTGTGTGCGTATTCTTTACTCTCTTTCTCCAGCTCCGTTATTTCCGCCTGTAGCTTTTGTAGATTGGCCTGTTGATCTTCGCGCGGCTTCAAGAGTCGGTTGCTGGTAATCTTCTCTGCCAATTCATCGTAGCTTTTGCGCAGTGCTAGTAGACGCTGGGCCTCCTCGAGCTGTACCCGCAGCTCCGCGGTATTGTCACGCACCGACTGCATTGTATCAAGGATTCGAAGCTTCTCTGTCGCATAGCGCTCGCGCTCCTTCTCGTTACTCGTCAAGAGGAACTGGATGCGCGCGATACTGCCTTCAAATGCGGAAAAATCCAAAGCAACATCTTCACGGAAATGGCGCCATTCCTCGAGCCGTCTCTGTTTCTCCGCCTCTGCAGCTGCTGTTGCATCATCGTCTGCACCATCTGGTGGAGGGGTGGGAGGGAGCGTCGAGTTGGACACTACGGTTGAATCGTTGTTGAGGAGGCGTTTTGAAATCCGCTTGAAAGGCTTTTCTTCGACGTTCAAAAGGCGCGACTTGTGGAGACCATCTGGAAGGGCATTAGCATGGTGACAGGGACCGGGGGCGTGTTTCTAGAACCAACCTTCGTCTGGTTGATCCAGTAACCCGTAAGACGTCATGATGGTCGTAAAAATAAAATAGAGTATTTGTCAAATGGAAATCCAAATCCGCGTCGGGGAGGAGTCGAACTGGATCGCGCGTCCTCCTCTTCTCGGTGGCCGCGTGAAGATGGTGCAAGCCTTCAAAGGGAAAAGGGCCGGATGGGCCGATGTGAGCGGTCGGGGGATCCGCGCTAGGCGGACGCCGACCTTCAGCTGCTCCTCCCGCCCGCAATTTAATGCGGGCAGCGTCCACTCTCCTATTTCCGATCTGATACTATTGCGCTTCCTTCTCCTCATCTCACTTCTCCAATCTCACTTGTCAAGCAATCACTGCAGCAGGTGGTCAATCGACCCTTGGAGGGTCACAGTCATCCCTACAGCTGCTTCCCCTCTTTGAAGCTGTTGGTCGCTCCAACTTCCATTGGCTCACGGCTCAGATCGGCTCTATCTATGTTTCCCTGATTGGCTATGGTTGTCAAGAGTTGGGATCGTCAGTAGGAATTAGGAATCTTGCATTCACGCGCCAAACAATGCCGAATCTATCGCCCAAGGAAAACGTCGCTGTCTTCAAAATTACATGAGCCAGAACGCTTCACTGATGGGAAGTATTGCCGACACCGACCTGCATATGTTCCGCTCGCGACACCGTTCTGCATCGTGATGGCGGAGATGTACTCGGGGCTCCACGTGGGCCAACGTTTTAGCTCGTTGGAGGAATTTAAAGGACTGGTTCGAAGTATCTCCGTGAGACAACACTGGGAGCTTCGAGTGACGAGAAGCAACAAGAAAAGCGTCGTCATAGGTTGTCGATCATCGAACAATTGCTACTTTCGTGTTGTGTGCCGCGCGAACAAGAATGCAACTTACATCAGCAGCCTTCAAGACAGCCACAGTTGTCGGCGCAATGCGACTTCAACCTCGAAAACACCAGCTCGATCGGAGGCATCGCATGTGCGGTTCCTCCTGACTGAGATTCCTAAGCTCTTCGACATGAAAAACAAAATTAGGGCGCAAGACGTTGTGGACGCTGTGAAGCGATACCATGGCTATGACATCTCAATGCGACAAGCGCAACGAGCTCTTATTCGCCTACAGCAACATGAAGCGCAAAACCAAAGCGAGAGCACCAACACTCATGACTCTAGTGGAGATGACCGACAGGACAGCCAACCGCCTCCTTTAGAGAATCAGGCGGAGAGCTCGACGTTCGGCAGTCTCTCTGGTCAAAGATGGATTACGGATACTCTCCAGACCACTATCATCGATAACATACCTCAGGATGAAGTTCACCGGGATCAGACTATTTCGGCATCGCAACTTCACAGCCAACCTGTACATCCGCCGCCTCAGGTACATCACCAGGCGCAGCCTACACACCAAGCGCCGCCTCCTGAAGTCCTGTCACCAGAACAGACACCCCTAGGCCATAGCCTCCATCACCCTGCAAATGCCCAGCAGTCTCCTTATTCGGTTCCTGCTCCTGATCCAGCACCTCCTTCGGACACTGGGCGCCCCAAAAATCCGACTCTACCGCGGCCAAATGATGGGCAGCTTACCAGTCCACAATTGGTTCTCACAAACTTCAAGATCGAGTTTACGTGCGCCACATGTGGCGCACCAAACCAGAGCTTCTTTCCTAATCACGGCAACGTCACTGGTGGGCATTATGCCCCCCAGCACGCTGGTCCTAGTCAGGGTGCAACTTCAGCCAGCGCGGGTCCTTCGATACAATCAATTCAAAACAGTGATGGTAGTAGCCGTGCTGGAGGCGGACCAGCGTTTGAAGGGACCTCTGTGGCAAGCACACGTGGCGTACAACAGCCTTGGACAGCAAGAACCATGGAAGTTCCACTTACACATGCGCATCCATAGCCCTGTATAGAGTTGGGGCGATAAAAGCTCCCTTTCCCCTTTGCCCCGATTAAGAGAGCGTTAGATACGTCTCTCCGATCTACGTTAACCTTACGGCTCGTGACGAATCGCGGCCTCGTCTGCAATCTAGCGGTATGTTGCTGCAAATCCGATTGGGTGGCCGGCATACACCCCTGCAAATCGCCGCTGCAATGCTGTCTCTCAAGGACATATGTACGATGTAGAGCGAGTTCAGACGCCATAGTGCGGACCAATATGCCTCGCAAGTTGATACTTGTCACTGCCCTCCCTTTAGAGACCATTCCTTGTCGATTGGCGATTGTTTGCGAACTCATGGTGTTCGTCATTGACAGTATATGCTGTTTTCTTTATCAGGATGGACTAAATTGCAACCCCAGCTACTACCTGCCGCCCTCATTTTCACCATCTAAACAATTAGCCAATTAGCTGGCCCAGCCACAAATTCAGCAAACGGGTTGTCTACGTCGGTGCTCAGAATCGACTGAGCCTGGATCTGAGACATCGGCGGCAGCTTGCAGGGGTTAGCAAAGAAATCTACGGGATTGAGCCTTGGCCGTCTCCTTCATTGTGAGTCATGTTCAAAATCAGGCTGACGAGACCGGTTGGGATCGGCCTCTTTGGACAAGATGCAGGAAAGAGTTATCTATGATGTTATCACGGGTACGGCAATTGGGCCGACCAGCATATTTTTTTCGGATGTCCGATTAGCCGGCAGCCAACCTCCGACAGTGGAGATCCACTTTTACTACGACTGTCGCCAACTGACTGGCAAACCCGACGCGGAAAGAAGCCGCTGGCATGGCTTGGTTCGTAAAAGAGCCAATGAGAACCATGGGATCTTATCCCTGTGGAGTGGGCCATATGGCAGGAATGCTGGGTCTCGGTCGTCTCTGCTCGGCGGTGCCTCCGAACCCCTATGAATTTAACAGGTTAAAGACTTCGGACGACGCATGCGGCCACACCTTAATAATCCAGCACTTCTCGTCCCATATATTGTGCAAAGCAGTTGGTTGGCGCGGGATTGCCCTGTTCTCATCAGTTATTGCATATATATTTGTTTTGCATCTAGCCTGAAACCGAAGCTGTACACACTCAGCCGATAAGACTCGGTTGCTGACAGGCATCCAATTTGGTCAAATTTGTCCCCCCGATTTTACAGTTTCCCACTTATCTTATCTATAATACCATGATCGGAATTTCTGCCTTCATAAATCCTATATTGGCATAGACAGAACAGAACAGAATGAATCGACAACAGGCTGCGGAAAAAGCCTTGCATGACCAGACTAATATCTTGCCTATCGGGCAATTGTTGGTTGTATTTACGGGGCTCGCAGTTTCTCTGCTGATCACCTTTGTTGATCAAAATGGTATCAGCGTTACTCTTCCCACAATCGCCAGGGATCTCAGCGCTCAGGATACCATTTCATGGGCAGGCACATCCTCCCTTATTGCAAATACCATGTTCACGGTGCTTTATGGTCGGCTGTCTGATATCTTCGGCCGAAAGATAGTCTACTTGTGTGCCTTAGCACTGCTTTGCATTGCCGATCTATTGTGCGGTCTATCTCAAAATGCTCCAATGTTCTATGTCTTTCGAGGATTGGCCGGTGTAGCTGGCGGCGGTGTTACCTCCCTAACGATGATCATTGTGTCTGACATCGTTACCCTCAGAGACCGGGGCAAATACCAAGGAATCCTGGGTGCGGCCCTAGGGATGGGCAACGTTATCGGTCCGTTCATCGCTGCGGCATTCGTCATGGACTCGACATGGCGAGGTTTCTTCTGGCTCATTTCTCCGCTCTCTGCATGCTCCATTGTCGTGGGCTATTTCCTTATTCCAAATAATGCGCGGAAGGACAGCTTCCGGAAAAATGCCCGCAAGATTGACTTTTATGGTATCTTGTCTTCGTCCATTGGAATCATCTTCTTGTTGATCCCTATATCGGGAGGCGGCTCTTACTTTAACTGGGATTCGGCGATGGTGATTAGCATGATCACCATCGCGGGCTGCGCTTTGATTGCATTTCTCATAATCGAATGGAAAGTGGCGGTATTGCCTATGCTTCCAAGTATGTCACCAATTGAGCCTCGATACTTAGAACCGGTAGCTAACCCTTGAGCAGTGGTATTCTTCAAGAACAGGGTGATCTGCACTCTGTTTTTACAGAGCTTCCTTTTTGGAGCTGTGTACCAGTCGTCTCTCTACTACTTGCCCCTGTACTACCAGAACGCCCGGGATTGGTCCCCGATTGTTTCTGCTGCACTAACGGCCCCAATGGTCGCCTGTCAGTCGGTGGCTTCCGTCTTATCTGGCCAGTATATTTCCCGGCGCAAACGTTACGGGGAGGTGATCTGGGCTGGCTTTTTCTTCTGGACGCTGTAAGTGACCCGGCCGAAGTCTAACCCATTATTTGATATCTTTATTCTGACAATTGATCCAGTGGAGCCGGTCTGATGCTTCTATTTGACCGTCACACCAGCCCAGGAGCTATTGCTGTTATTGTCGGTATCGCTGGGATAGGCGTTGGAGGCGTCTTCCAACCGACCATGGTCGCTTTTCAGGCGCATTGTACGAAGGCCCAGCGAGCTGTTGTCATCTCGGACCGGAACTTCTTCCGCTGCCTAGGTGGTGCATGTGGTTTGGCTGTTTCGGCTGCGATCTTGCAGGCAACGCTGCGATCCAACCTCCCTGTGGGATACAGGGATATTGCTGAATCGTCCTATTCGCTCCCGTCGAGGGCCGGGATCCCCGATGCCGACTGGGAGCAGATCCTTGACGCATATGCTAAGGCTTCCCACTCGGTGTTCATCTTCCAAGTCCCGCTGATGGGGGCATGTCTTCTTGCCTGTGTTTTTATCCGTGACCGGGGGCTGGAGAGGCCTAAGGATCAGTTTGAGATAGAAGAAGAGAAGAGGCAAGAGGAAGAGAAGCGGCGGCAAGAACAGGCCCAAGCACAGGCCGAGAAGCAGATTGCAGCTGGTAATATTGAAGCCGAACCGGAGCAGGTTGCTGAATCCCATGCCGGTGGTGAGATGGAGAGTGCATCTCGCTCCGAAAAGAAAACGGAACCAGAGCCGTAAGGAGGTTATGAGATGCAATGAATCTACGAATGATTTAAGTCCGGCATAGATGGCGTTTCAGCGATACACAAAGAAGTCCACTGCGGTGATACGCATCCATTGGTATATGATATAATATTCTTTAGTATAGTGGAAATTACACTTGATAGTACAAATATAGACGAGCAATCCATATTGAAACCCACGCGATGTGTCTATCTTTCTCGTACTAAAACATGGCTCCAGGCGCTAACTGGCGGGTCGAGCCGAGATGTCTTGGCGGCGACGAGCAGCTTCCCAACTTCCTCTTCCATTGATTCCTGACTCATCTTCTCTTCTACATTTTCCGATTGTCGAACAAATCCAACTTTCCTTCTTCCTCTTCTTCTGGATCAGGGTCAATATGAGATAATTAGTATGGATATTGCGAGCACTTCTACTCCCACCAGAACCTCTTCTCCTTCGCGGGACTACAATCCCCGGAAGCGCGGCAGAACGGCATGTACGCGCTGTAAGACTAGAAAGCAGAAAGTCAGTAGACGGATCCACTACTCGATGGAGACCAGTCTGTGTTGTAGTCGTCTCCAACTTGCTACCCCCGGGCATCAGTTAATGCTAACAGCCGAGTCTTAGTGTGACAATGACTACCCTGTGTGCTCCAACTGCCAAAAGGCCGGAGCGATATGTGACAAAGCCACCGTACGACAAGAGAACGGCACCCAGAACGAGTGGGATCCCTCTTCCCCACCTGACTGGAAACATCTTACTTCTGGAGTACTGACGATTGTAGATACACCCGTGCGTTGCAGGATCGCATCGCCTACCTTGAGTCCCAGTTAGAATCGAAACCCATGAGTAGCCGGGCCAGCAGCCATGTCGCCCATCCAGTTGCTGCATTGCTGTCCCCTCCCCATCCGGAGACTCCCACTAACTCAAACCCTCGCCTGGATCAAAATGCCGTCGGGGAATTAGTGGGATTTCTTGCACTCAACTCCTCGGAGGCGCCTGCATACGTAGGTTCCAGTTCGGGCCTCTCCTTGGCTACGAATCTTGGGGAAATGGTCCAAGCCACGGTGTGGAACCAGGCTCTGTCTTCAGCTCGAGCAGCGTCGTCAGGTAGATCCGGACCTGCAGCGGGACAAGGATCCACGGGTCTGCCTCCCCAGCCTCCAGGCGAGAGGGCCGGTCATGTCAATGATCGAACTCGACCACCACCACGAGTGGAGGAGGTGTTGGTTAAGAGCAGCGAGCCTCCTGACGATGAAATGGGATCCAGGATTCTTCATGCCTATCTAACACGGATCCATGTTCGCTATCCGTTTCTCGACCGCACGGAGTTGTGGCGACTGCATGAAGCGCGCTGGCGACTGGCGCAGAAGAAGCGGGAGGAGCTGACCAAGGAGGAACGGGTAGGCATATTCAAGCTGTATCTTGTATATGCCATCGGGGCTACATCGATTCAGTTAAGTGAAAACTACTCATATACCACGCCTGAGGTATGTTGCTCCTGTGGTACGCAACTTGTTTGATCTAATCACCTCACCAGCGATTCTACCTGACCGCTCTGCAACAACTACCAAATATGTGCGAAATGCGATCTATAGAGAATATTGAGGCTATGACCTTGCTGATTGTGTATCACCTTCGCTCTGCGTCTGGTCAGGGCATGTGGTACATGGTAGGCCTCGCTATGCGTACCGCTATAGACCTTGGACTGCATCGCAAAGCAAACGAGATCAACATGGATCCCTTCACTGCGCAAATGCGGCGGCGTCTTTTCTGGACCGTTTATTACCTAGAGCGTGTCGTGTCAATGTCCCTGGGCCGGCCATTTAGCATCGCAGACAGACACATCGACCTTCCTTTGCCTGCAGACATCGACGACGATGTCCGCGATCCTGCCTTGCTAGCCGCCCCTCCAGCTCCGACTAGAATCACCACACTGACCTTTGCCATATTCCTCATGCGCCTGCGGCGCATCGACTCCGAAATTCAGCATAAGATCTACCGAGCCGATCGACCACTGCACACTTTACGCTCGAAGATGGACCGACTCTTTCTCCAACTCGAAGAATGGAAAGAATCAGCTCTGCGACGTTTCACCGGATCCGACCTGGACTATCCAATGCTGCACTACCACCGAGCCCTACGACTCCTCATCCAGCCATTCTTACCCTCACTCCCCCTCTCCGACCCATACTATCACATCTGTCTCCGCGCAGCCGGAAACACCTGCCAAACCCACAAGAAGCTACACCAAACCCTTGAATACGGCCACTCCTTCCTGGCTGTGCAGACGATCTTCATGGCTGGGATCACCCTGCTCTACGCCCTATGGACCCACACAAGCGACGTCTGGTCCGTCCAAATGAGCAACGACATCCGCGCCTGCTCGACCGTCCTATTTGTGATGGGTGAGCGCGCCGAATGGGTCAAGAAATACCGCGACGCATTCGAGCTGCTCGTCAACGCCGCCATGGAGAAACTAGAGGGAAGCGATGCATCCAAAAAGGTGGGTATGGCGGAACTAATGACAGCCCAACACAGTAGCAGTGGTGGTATCAGCGCAGGAATGTTCAGGGATCACCATAATCTCACCACCACATGCAGCAACAGCAACAACTCCACTGGCGGCATGGCACCAGATATGAATGACACAGCGGCTGCCAACACGGCCGCTCAGACTGCTTCTGAACCCACTAGCAGTCAGGACCATGGCGTGCGCATGGCATTGCAGATCGCGCCCTGGATCGACCTGGAAGAAGATAGCCCGTTCTGGATGCCTGATTTCGAGACGCTGGAGAGTTTGTCGGGGAATTTATGGGATAGTGGCGATTTGGCTCCGTTTGGGCCTCTTTAGGTGCAGATCTCGGGACATCAGCCAATGAATTGGTACTGAGGGATGTGGCTGCCCCTCCAACTAATCCTCTATCTGGGTGGTTGTGTGAGCCCGTGTCACCTATGTCTGCATGCAAAGTGCAATCCCTGCATGAATCGCGATTGCGGTAGTCTAGAGCTGAATTACCGATACGCTCGAACGTACAGGAAAATCCTATCTCTAATCGATTACATCTCTAGGCAACCATCGTCAGTCGGTAACACAACAGCTGTTTGCCATCTCAGGTCTGACAGGGCATGAATCCCGAGTCCGGATTCGAACGGATCACTATGCAATGCAAGGAGGACAGATTCCACTCGCTATTCCAGACACAGCGAGTGCAGGTTCAAGATGATTAATAGACTCAATCGGGAAACTATTGGGTATCACACCAATTCTTCCCCATCAAGGGCGTCAAGGATTGCCATTTTCGATATACTCTCTATAGAGGCGTCTAAGATAGCTATCTAAACCACTGAATAAATGTACAATATCACGTCCCGTGAAGCGAAGGGAGAAAGAGAGTCAGAGAGTGAGATAAATAATTAAGGAATAACATATCATAACTCGTCCTTCACCGGCGGAGGAGGCATAGGCCGACCACTATCGCGACCCAAATCAACCCCGTTCTTCTTGCGCCATTTCTCCCACAGCGCAAAGAAGTCCTTCTCCATGCCGCTCTCCATCTCATCCGGCAGAATAACGGCATACTCCACATACAAGTTCCCAGGCTCCTCATCCTCATCCTCATTATCATGAAGATGCCCATCCGAGTAATGCGGCATACCCTCGCCCTTAATCGTCTCAACCGACAACGGCTGCACGACCTCCCCACGCTTCCTCCCCAACTGAACCACATGACCATCCAAATGCGTGATATTGCGCGTCCACTCGCCCATCCACGCCTCGCGCAGCGACAGCGCCTCCTTCCAAAACAGATCCTTGCCCTTCCGCCGGAAAAACGTCCCATCCGTACGATGTTCCTCGGCGTCGCCCAGCTCCGGCTCCTTCTCCTCAAGAATCAGCACCAAGTCGCCCGCGATCCAGTCCGGACTCTCGTCCGCCTCGTTCTCGTATACCAGCCGCATCCCCTTATCCATTCCCGGCTCGACAGTCGCGTGCGTCTCGACCTCGCGGCGAACAACCCGATGTCCATGACATACGGGACACGGCTTCTTGATCATCTTGCCCTGTCCGCCACACTTATCACAATGCATCTGCACCTGCTGGAACATGCCCGGCGCTAACTGATGCTTCTGGATGACTATTCCGCGTCCAGAACACTTATCGCAGGTGACTACCTCCCGGTCCGCGGACCCTGTGCCCTCACAGGCATCACAGATCTGCTGCTTCTCCACACCGAACGAGAATTCCCGTCCATTGTAGAAATCCCTTAGCGGTAACCCGACCCGGAGCTCCATGTCCGGTCCCCTGCGATGACCCGGCGCATGGCCGAAGTGGCCTCCGCCGCCGAAGAATCTCGAGAACAGGTCGAACGGATCGTGCGATTGTCGGCCGCCTTGACGGTGCTGCTCGAGTCCTTCGTGGCCGTATTGGTCGTAGATCTTGCGTGTCGAAGAGGTGGAGAGGACGTCGTAGGCTTCGGCGATTTCGACGAATTTCTTTTGGGCCGTTTCGTCGCCTCTATTTTAACAAATGTTCGAGCATTAGCACCAACAGAAGAAGAAAGGAAATTGGGAGAGGGAGTTAACGAACGGGTTCTTATCCGGATGGAACTTCTTGCTCAGATGTCTGTATGCGCGTTTAATGTCCTTCTCCGAGGCGGATTTATCCAGTCCCAGGATCTTGTAGTAGTCTTCTGCGGCTAGGACCAATTGGATGAGACAGATGGTGAGGACCACGAAGAGGGCCACGGTTCGCATGGTGGGGAACATGGTCGGTTTGGTTTGGTTTGATTTATTTATTGATTGTTGGTATGGGATGTTGTGAGCTGCGAAGCGTCGCAGCTCAAGTAGGCGTGGCGTTTAGTTGTAGCGCGGGATGTGGTGTCGGCGTGGTTATACTTTAGAGTGTTTGTTGTGATGGAAGTATAGAAGGATGTCGATCGGCCAAGAAGGATGTATGTTATGTATGTATGTGTATAGATGAGAAAAAGAGAGACGAGAAGGTAGAGGGGAGAGGGCCGGACGAAGGTGTAAGAATTGAGGAATGTTTGTCCCTGGCGGGAGCTGCTCAAGATCAGTCAAGACCTCAAGAAGCAGACGTTGTGTTTGGCCAGGCTGTCTGTTATCGCGGACTCGAAGATGGAGGTGGAGGATGTTCGGCCAACCACATAAACCGGTTAGGTGGCCGCAACGCCGGCCGGCTTTACTGTTCGTCCGCGACCGGGTCACGTGGAATTATCGCATAGCAGCATCAGATAAGAGTTCATGAATTGTGTACGGAATCGCTACCAACGCTCATTGCTAGCTAAAGTAAAAGAAATAGACTATGGCAAATTCCCCGCTTCCTGACTACGAACCCACCGGCGTCGATCATCCAAGCAACTACGGAATATGCACTTTTATAGCGCGGGGACCTTGACGGTTGAATGGACCAAACGGAGAAATCGTGACTCGTGATGAAAATAAGCGGACGTCCTAGGTTCAACGTCTGGGCACATCAAACACTTCGTTACGCCAGGTCCGTCCCAGGCCCTGGCTCTCATCGCCTTCTTCAATGACCTCAGGGGCCCGAGATGCCTCGTCATGCCAGACTTTGACCAGACTGCCCGGGGCGTACACACCCTTGAAGACACCGCTACCAGGTGGCTCAAGGCCAATACGAGTCTCGACGTCGGTGTCGGGGAGTGATTGCAGTCGTGCCAGCACTGCCCGCACGAAACTTGCCAGGTCCCGAGGGTTGGCAATGCGGGCCGCCCGCAAGCGCTCTCGGGCAAATACCAGCTCTCGATTGAGCGTAAACGCAGCCTGGACAATATTCTCCGCGATCTTCTTTTCCAAGACTCGGCGGACTAGGTGCTTGAGGAAAGGCTTCGTTAACCATATGAGCCACTTCCACTTGCTGCGGTGGACTTTGTAATCCAGCTTGTGGATCCGCACACGGACACCGCGCAGAGTGAATATGTGTTCCAGCCGCTCTCTTCCAACCTCTATGTCCAGAGAGATGTCAATGCCGCGCTTGTCCAGGTAGAAACTAGCAATCCCCTCATCTTTGAGGCCAAACAGAAGCGCTGAATGGGTCCGCATCCAATAACCAAATTCCTGAGCACTGATGTTTAGTCCACATACTGTTGCCGTGAATGTGGTTTTGAGATCAGTGGCGGTTTTCTTGGAATGCTTCTTCACGATGTCGATGTCATTGCGCGTTGTGACATGCATACGGTATGGCAAGAATGAGGAATAATTGACGGTGTGACCAGGTTCTAGGATGAGGCTCTCCAGTAACAGATCGACCTCTGGTGCAGATATCTCCAGTCGCGGGATTGGTATGTATTGAATAGTGCGGAGAACTAGAGGAAAGAAGACTTCGATTATGTCGGTGGGCAATTGACCCTCTCGGCTGTTGTAGCCGTCCCAAGCGTCTTTGTATAGCTTGTTCGTCGCGTCGAAGAGTTTAGACACGGCTTTGTCTTGCGGGACTGTCCGTAGAGCCCGTCTTGCTTGTGCCAGGAATGCATCCACATCCTGACGGATACTTGATCCTGTCTCAATTTGCTTCGACTTTTCTTTGAGCTCATCAATCTTCTCCTCGGCCGAATCGAAGAATTTTGGATCAGTCAACATTTCCTCGACCAGGGAACCTGTCTCAGAGACGAATTTCTCGAACTCTGGATCTTTGTTAGAGTGCTGCATTACAGTTTTGAAACGCTCCTCTAGGGTCTTCCATTCCTGAGCATCGCCAAACGACTGGACCAGCAACCAGAAGTGTTCCATTGCCTGCTTGAGATCCTTATTGACGTCGACTTCCTCTTCTGCCGTTGTGACGACATCCGAAGCTGCACTTGCATACGCTTTGGCATATCGCCCCAGCAGTTGGCCTAGCGTGGCAACAGAATCTGTATAGTCAGAACGATCCCGAAGGTTCATCACGGTCTTTTTCAACCGATAGAGCAAGGCATCTTTTTCCTGTCCTGCTAAATGCTCTTTGGCACTCTGGACTGCATCTTTGCCGGTGCGAGCAACACCATTGCCTGTGACTTTCGCCACAGTAGCTGCCTCTTCACGTAATTCCTCGTTCTCTGCAGAACGACCCTCATCGGCACCTGCTCCCTGAATAGCATCTACATCTTCCTGAGAAGGTTGAAGCTCCTTTCCAATCTGCTGCGACGTGTTGGACAACGAGAATGCCGTATCGGAAAAGATCTGGCGGCCGACAGTTGACAAATCATCAACGAAGAGCCGGAAGTCCGCGTTGGTCAGGAGTAGGCTTCCCACAGTGCGCAGGCTATCATACGCTGGATGACAATTGTTAGCTCACTACTTGATGCCCTGTGGAACCCACAGCCTGGTGCATGAACAGAAAAAGAACGGAAGTCGGTACCCGCTTTCGTATCCGCCCTTGCCTTGGTTTGATTGGCTCGCTGCTGTATCTTGTTGGGGTCGATGGAGGCCCTGGAGCGTGATAGATGCCACAAGAACTCCTGGAGCTTATCATCACCATTCTTCTCTTGCAAGAGCTCGATGAACACTTGGATCCAAAGGCGGCAGTCGCGGACAATCTGACGGCCGACGGTGCCAACATCGTGGGTGTGAGGGGAAAGGACATCGGAAGCCAACAAGGTGCGCAGATTGATGATGGCTTGCTCCGTAGACGGCATGTACCCATCCGAAAGAGCACGGATCATCTGGTATGTGTGTAATTTTTGATGCAGGCGACGCTGGAGGGTCGTGTCCTCCCGGTAGCGAGGGAGGAGGGGCTCGGTTTCTCCTTGCGGCATGGTGAAGGATGCCTGGCGTACTTGGATGGCTAAACAAAACAGAACACAGGTCTAGGTACCTGGTGATGATTGATGATGATGAAGATGGTAAATGCACACAGCGAACGGAGGGGAGATGAGGAGTATCTGCAAACCTGGCCTAGCAAACAATGGAGAAAGGAAGCAGGAAAAGAGGGGAAACCGGCAGCTGGTTAGCTGATTGCAAAGCTTCCCGGTTGTTGTTGCATGTCTCGATCACGGGCCCTGCGCCTAATCACCATTGCGTCACCGCTACTGGCCGGGTTCGGCCGCAGTCAGGTGACTCGCCTGCATTGTCCTATCATCGTGATATCCTTATTATCTCCCAATGTATTCTGTCCAGTCTAGATACAATAATCAAGCAATAGCTGGATTATCCCGAACGGAGCATCATAAAGGCCGTTGTGTCCTGTACATCTGCAAGAATCCGCAGGTTTGACTGAGATCTGATGACGGCTCATTGATAGATACCCCATCGCATCAGATCCTCGTCTCAGACTTGACAATTTGTTGTAACTCATGCAAGGCCTGTGTGATTTCAGAGCTGTAACATATGGTGTAATGCAATGAAACGCTGGCATCGCAGTCCTTTAATGATGTAAGTGATGTAAGGGTGAACGAGATCTCTGTTGCCTGAATAGCCGGTAGAAGGTCCGATAAATTTGGAGTATGACTGTTACATACACCTGCAAGGTTAGCAACGATGGCCGCGGAGTATGGAATGCTTTCCGGAGTCCTGTCCGAAGAGTCAAGCAGGGCCTCAGTGCCACCACGCCGATTTCATGTCAAACAGGTTGGGCGCTGTGAGATACAATGGAACCAAGTCTAAGAAAAGCATCGTTACACATGTTGACGAAGCCAACAGTAAATAGCCCTCAGATTCCAGAGTGTATGACCTGTATCACACACATCATGGGCCAAAGTAAACCAGCTTCTTTCTCCCTTCGGGCGTTCAATGCGGGAGGTGCTGAAAGCATCTGAGGTATAAACCGCGGCTAAACCGCTGAATCCAAGGAATGAAAGGATCAGCACCAGTCAAGCTTTGTGATCCATGCAGCTCGGATCCGGGGCTGGTCGAGGAACTGCTGAAGTGGGTAACCCGGTCAAGGCCTGCATGGTTGCGTGGATGGATGCGCGGGATGAGGTACAAACTTCAGCCACCGTGTCAAAAGTGAGGGATAAAATGGGCATAATAAACCGCTCGAATGGGCATCAGGGTCCAATGGCTTGAGAAATTGCTCAGGACAGCCCACGCTATCGTGGCTAGATGAGTTGGAGATCAACAATAGTAGCTCACACGCGACTACGATAGTAGTAGTAGTATATCGGCAAGAGCGCCAATGGGGGTGGAGTCTCTTAACCGACATCTATACTTTGGACTAAGGAGGATATACTTAGCACTAACAGTGCACAACAATCATTATTCCATAGTAGTTGATCACTAGCTCAAAACTAGACACGTTTAGCTCCCACGATAATTTCTCAGTTGACAATTAATAATGAGACGAGCCTCGACCTCGTAAGCTGGCCGTGTGCACGAGACGAAATTTTGCGTGCTTCCGACGGAAACAGCACGGTTCACGCCTACAACTACTAATTATACTACTCTCCACTGTAGGAGAGCAAGTCGAGCAGGAGATGACCAATCATAGGGGAAGGGTTACTGCTTCAGATATTGTTCACTGGATGCTACGGAAGATTTTCGCACTTTCGCAGGAGTTGACTCCATCGGATGCTCCATCGGTCGGGACCGATCGGCGAGGCGCAAGGCCGTTTGAAGTTTCAGACTTTTTATTATTGGGCAGCCAGGACCGCGGAATTTGGAGTCAAAAATTGGAGACCCGACGATAAAAGAATTTTATTCTATTTTTCCTTCTTTATTTTTTTGATTTTTATTTTATTTTATTTTTTTTGCCTGACCTTTATTCGCGCAATTCTGATCGGCGCAGTCAAGTAAATGCGCAATATGTTTCGAAGGGTGATCGGGGATGGGGGCGACGAGCTTCCTTTTTGCATTGCGTCTGCACCACGGAGTATTCCGGGTACGATTGTTCACCCTTGCGAGGAATACTCCGTGGTGGATGGATCAACATACACCGGGCAATACGAGTCAATGTCGGGTGACAAAGCCAACAAGTTGAGGGATTTTGTAAGCTTTGACAGAGCGTGAAGATAATCGTATATGTGTGTATATCTGGCAATCGGCCGACACGACACGAAACACAGGTGCGGGACTACAACAGACTCAGGATTTATTATGTATGTGTGCGTATGTATGTATGTGTGTGTGTGTGTGAGTGAGTGAGAGTGTGTTCTGGTGCTGGCTTTGCAGCCGCTGACAAGACCCGAACTCGGCCATTGTCCGGGCCGCGTTGCTGCGGGGAATGCTAGCGGCGCTAAACTAGACTAATGGCTGGCACAGCATGAATAACATCCGGTCCAGAATCCTTCCTGGTTCAGTTAGATCGTCTGGAGACTTGGGGCCTGGCAGTTAGCTTAGGCAACTAAGCTGGCTTAGTGGGCGTAGTTTAGCCTGTTTCTCTGCCACATGAGACCCGATCCACCTCAACCACCATGGCTGGACCCTTTGCTCTTGTTGGCTTAGTGTGTGCTGCGTGATTCCGATGTCTACGCTGAATCCTGACTAAATCGGGTCCACCATCCGACCAGCAGAAAGGATGGAATCGGGTTTGCCATCTCGGAAATCGGGGCCCGTAAGACAGTATAGGGTATAGACCTCCGTCGTAGGGCGACGACGACGGTGATAAGAAGTGTTATCCTGGACTTAAGGAGACTAGTCCACCATAAGCAGGATATAATTGTTGATAGATATCACATTCTTTGGAATTGATATACCCCCATGCTAGTTTCTACACTGGTAGATTTCATACTTTCGGGTACTCGGAGTATAATTGTACATAGTAAGCCAGTAGTTGCAGAGGGATTACCCGATGTGCATCTGGATGAGCCAGAGGACTGACAAGTACCCCGTACAATCCAGACTGATGATGCTGGTGACTCGATCAGCTCTCTCAACTCACTCAACTCACACCTCTAATTCGTACTTTCTCTCTCTCTCTTCTCCCCTGCTCCCCCAACAATACGCATTGATCATCAGGAATCCTGTTTGATTCTGGTATAACTCTCGTATAGTTCTGGTATAGGTCTGTAATTATTATTAAACAAAACAATTCACAGAGCAATAGGTATCCATATCTAGAACCATCCTTTTCCGAATCAAGGGGGAATTTCCGTAGTAGGTATGTCAGCTGCTATCAAATCCCAACGGGAAAGGAAAAAGAAAATGAAAATGAAAAAAAAAGAAGAAGGTCCCTCTTTTCTCCCCCCACTCGGACTTTGGAAAAAGAAAGAAGATGTGTAGTAAGTAAGTGAGTTGAGTGATTGTGTGTAAAAGAAAACCAATCAATTAGGAATAGAAACAAAAATACCAACGAGAGCAACAAGAGTACAACAACAATACCCGAAACACATGGAATAAACACAATAAACACCTCAAATCGAACAGGTCGTGTGTCGTGTGTTGTGTATTCGTTGTACTCGGTACTACAACGTAGCCGTCGTCCTGGAACGAGAAATACCTCATATTTCTCCTCACCTTCTCTTTCTCTTTCCCACCCCCCCAAACACCGAAAATCGACATCTGGAAGGTCCAAGCCCCTAATGGGATTTGTCGATTTAATGCGCCTTTATTAAAAATTTCTTTTTTTTTCCCATCAAATACCACGAATTGGAGCTGAATCAAAAGCACCAAAATCAATCTGTGCGTCTCGAATGTTTTTTAATTTTTCTCCGCATTTGTCGGATTCGGAGCGAGCTCCCGTTTAGTTTACTCCACACCCGTCCCAATCTGACCCAATCTGACCCGTTCAATTTCCACCTTTCCTTCCCCCCCAAGCTTCGCCTTTTTTTTCTCAGTTCCCACCGCAGAGAGTCTGTGACCAGCGACCCAGTCGAAACGGTTCGCTGCCATGCAACCATTGTACCCCGATACCCACCGTACCGGTCCCGGTCATCCTGAGTGGTCCCTTGCATCCCGATTCTTCCCGATTGCTGTCATCCCTAATCAATCCACGGCCCTGGTTCATAGTCTTGACGACAACCTCGTTAGAAGATCACAACCGCTGTTGAGACACTTACTTGGTTGAACTTCGGCATGCGGTGGGTTCTTACTCAGGGGGGTTCAATGCGACTAGCCCACGGAATACATAAAATCAGACTGCCACCAGTCGTCTCCTCGCCTCAATTGATCCTCTCCTCTACTGCCATCACCTCTGCTGCCTCCTTCAATCTCCCCTCTTCTCCTGATATCGTTGTTGGAGTTCGTTCCAAGAGTATCCTGGCCGTGACTCAGCCTTCCACCATGGCTCGATTTCCCGCTCAGCAAAGCCGTCCCGTCCACGCGACCTCCTTGGTGAACCATGCGGCACCGGTGTAAGTACCGTCTTTTGCCTCCCCCGTCTTTTGACGGAAACATCTCCCCTCGACTCCAAGTCACACATCATCAGCTTATGCCTTCTGCTGTCACGGTTACTGACAATGCCTTCCGCTACGTCTAGTGACGCCAACTATGACACTGCCAACCCTGCCTACATTCGCAAGTATCTCCGCACCTACGGCTTGACTCCCCCGCGTGCGGAGTCGTACGAGACCCAGAAGACTCGCTGTGCGTATATCCGTAGATGAGGAATGATGGTTGAAAGGGGGCTGGAAGCTAATGGAGTTGCAGGCCTCGCTCAATTGGCTCTCAAGCAGACCCCTATCGACAAGTTCCTCTACCTCAGCACTCTCCGTAAGAACAATGTTCACCTGTTCTACCGTCTGGTCACGGACCACCTGAGGGTAAGCATGCAGCTGCAGAACCACATTATCGTAAGCCAATGAGCTAACTCGGCACTAAGGAATTGACCCCCCTCATCTACACTCCCGTCGTTGGAGAAGCCTGCCAGAGATGGTCTGAGATCTACCAGCAGCCCGAAGGTGTGTGGCGAATCCCTGTCTAGCGTCCTTGTCACGGGCTGAATCGGCCGCTAACCATGCACGTCTAGGTATGTACCTGAGCTGGGAGGATCGCGGCAACCTGGCCGCTGTCATTGCCAACTGGCCCCAGCCCAACGTGGAGATCACATGTATCACCGATGGTTCCCGTATTCTCGGCCTGGGTGACCTTGGCATCAACGGTATGGGCATTCCCATTGGCAAGCTGGCTCTCTACACTGCCTGTGCGGGTATTCGCCCCGAGGCCACCCTGCCCTTGACTCTCGATCTGGGTACCAGCAACAAGGCTTTCCGGGAAGACCCGTTGTACATGGGTAGCCGCCGTGACAAGGTGACCCCCGAGGAGGAGCGTGAATTCTTGGATGAGCTGATGGCTGCTCTGACCGAGCGCTGGCCTGGGTAAGTAAATCCCCATGCATGATCGACCCGACTGCATTGTTGCTTACGCGTTTACAGTATTGTGATCCAATTCGAGGACTTCAAGAACCCCTTCCCTGCTTTGGAGCGTTACCGTGATAACTACACCTGCTTCAACGATGACATCCAGGGTACTGGTGCCGTCATTCTTGGTGGTGTGATCAACGCCGTGAAGCGCTCTGGCCTTCCTTGCAAGGACCACCGCGCCGTCTTCTTCGGTGCTGGCAGCGCCGGTGTTGGTGTTGCTAAGCAGATCGTTGACTTCTTCGTCCGCGAGGGCATGACCGAGGATGAGGCCCGCGCGTGCTTCTACCTGGTCGACACTAAGGGTCTTGTCACTGCTGATCGTGGTGACAAGCTCGCTGATCACAAGGTCTACTTTGCCCGTACGGACAACAACGGCCTGCAGCTGAAGACCCTGGAAGATGTTGTTGACCATGTGAAGCCCACCATCCTGATGGGTCTTTCCACCATCGGCGGTGTCTTCACCCCCGAGCTCCTGCGCAAGATGGCTGAGTGGAACACCGCCCCCATTGTCTTCCCTCTGTCCAACCCCTCTCACAAGTCCGAATGTGACTACGAGAGCGCCGTCACCAACACCGATGGCCGGGTGCTGTTTGCCTCCGGTTCTCCCTTCCCCCCCATGTCCTACACCAACTCTGCTGGCGAGACCCGCACCTACTACCCCGGCCAAGGCAACAACATGTATGTCTTCCCCGGTATTGGTCTGGGTACCATCCTCTCCAAGTCTGTCAAGGTCACCGACAGCATGATCTACGCCTCGGGTGAGGCCCTTTCCAAAGCTCTCCTTCCTGAGGAGATTGAGCGTGGTCTTCTCTACCCCGACCTGACCCGCATCCGTGAGGTCAGTGTTGTTGTGGCCCGCAATGTCATCCGGGCGGCACAAGAGGCCAAGGTCGACCGTGAGACCGCTCTGCGCACCATGAGCGACGAGAACTTGGATGCCTGGATCAAGGCCCGCATGTACAATCCCCACACTGAGGTCTTGGCCTTGGAGCGGGAGGTTGGCTCTATCCTGGCTAGCCTGGGACCCAGCGCCTTCTCCCTGGAGGCTCTGACTGAGGAGGCTGAGAAGAACTCTAAGCTGTGAGCTTGGTCTCCTTTGCTTAGCTTTTCGGCATCACATTCTTCTTAAAATACTGGCTTAGTTCTGTTTTCGAGCGCTTTTTTGTTTCCCGGATCCTGCTTGGAAGGATGCGCTTTTGTATACCCCCATTCTTTCACGGATTCTGACCCCTCTTAATGACGATTCTGTTGTCGGATACCACCGATGTCGGACTAGTTTTGGTTAGCATAGATGCTGGTCTTGTGATGGATAAAACGGATGATTCAATGATCAGATCTTTTTCTTCGGGCTATAGTTTTGCCTTCTTCGCTGTTTGGAATCCCGCTAGACGGAAACTCGTAGCTTCATCTTCCGACATCACCCTTGTGGTTATTACAGTGGATATTGGTCTACTCCATGATTCCGAATCAACCCGTTAGCATCCCTTTTGTGCGAGGATCTCGTTGCCGAATCGGGCATGGATACCCCTGCACCTGCAGTCAGCGTCATGTGATGAGGGGGTTCCTCACCTCCCATGCGGGGAAGGACAACTACATCTGCCAGTGAGTCACCACCTCACTGCTTCACATGTTAGTTGTCCTGTTGTTGCTAATCATCTCCTGTTTAATCTATCCTAAAGACGGAGTCTAGCCACGTCCAGACGAGCGATGGTCAGGCTGTCCGGCGACCAGACCATGATATCTGACCAGGATCCATCAACCTAGGCAACATCACTCACTCACTGGCATGTGAAGTGGGGATAAGATGACAGACTGACTCCAGGCGCAGGGTCTTCTCCATCGCGGACCGTACAGATAAGCTTCTGCAGGCTAAGCAATAGAGCTGCAGCTCTTGCAGACCCCTGTCAGATCGGCGATGGATTCCGCCGTCACCTCCCCGTCCGATCGGTTCCACTGGGCTGAAGTCCCTAATTGGGCGGGGGTGAAGCTGTAGCTCATTTCGACTCGAAGTGGCCCTGGCACAAGCTGTCAAATGGCGGTTCCACGGACGGATTACCCTGCATTGTCCGAGTGGTCGGGAGGCTGCATCCCGATGTCCGGCTATCTTGACCGTGGATATCCGGTCGTCCGAGGTTTCACGCGGGGGACCATTTTCCTCCGATTTTACCCCAACAGCGGATTTCGTCCCTCATTAAGCTTGACTGGGCTGATACTCTCTGACTAGCTCAGAATTGGGGTCAGAATGAGGGGATCGTGCTGTTCCATCCAGACTCATAGTCTCTTGTGTATTGAGCACGGACCGACTCGGCAATCATTGGAGTCGGCTTGTCTGTCCCGGTGGTAAGGAGGAACCATACAACTCCAACTCAATGATTTATTTTTACCTGCTATTTTCTGATACAGGTAGATGATTCCCTTTCACATGCTGGCTGTTGATATTAGCACTTAGCAGCCGATATCGATAAGCATCTGAGCAGATCTTGGCTCGATGCAAACTAACGGCTATCCCCACATTGCGCCATGTATACCTCCACGTGGATTCTGGCCTCGGCTGCTTTTTCGGGCCGCCGGTGACTTATCACGGGCAACCCCCAGTTTTTCAGGGTCGCATTCAGCTTTTCCTTTTCTGTCACCGGCACACACACTATGGCGTCCTTGCATGATCCCGTTAAGCTTCCCTGCGGGCTGGTCTTTCCGAACCGCCTAGCCAAGGTGGGTGGCTCGAAATTTCCGGAAGCTTAATCATGATTTGTCTGACTCGCCCAGGCTGCGATGGCCGAGGCACTGGCCGGGTCAGGCAATGAGCCGACTCCCACGTTGTTAAAGGCATACGACCAATGGGGACAGGGAGGTTGGGGGGCTCTCCTTACAGGTAGCTGACCCACTGTCAATACTGTCGTGCGCTTCTGACTGGGTTATGGCACTTAGGAAATGTTCAGGTGGACGTGGACCACCTTGGCAACCCTTGGGATCCTGCCCTGCACTCCGACTATACAGGCAAAGAAGGCAACGAGGCTCTAGTTGAACGCTGGAGCCAGTATGCCAAGACGTGTCAGCAGCATGGCACTCCGTGCATCGTACAGGCCTGCCATCCCGGCCGGCAAACCCCCCGGGCTGCAGGCCGCAGAGGATTCTTTGCCCCGTCAATTGCACCTAGTGCGATTCCTCTTGACATGGGTGGCGGCTTGGTGCAGCGTCTGCTCACCTGGCTCGTTTTCCCGCCACCCCGAGAAATGACTCAGGTTGATATCGACCGGGTCACTCGCCAATTTGTGGACACGGCCCGTCTGATGGCCGACAGTGGATTTTCCGGAATCGAGCTGCATGGCGCGCACGGTTACTTGATTGGTATGTTGATAATTTTCCTCTCGCTACTGGTCGCAAGCTAATGGACAGACCAATTCTTGAACACCAAGGTAGTTACAACAGTACCCGGAAGAGGCCAAGCTAACTGAACAAGTCCAACAAACGCACCGATGCATACGGCGGTACGGCAGAGAAGAGAGCCAAATTCGTGGTCGATATGATTCACGCGATTCGCGAGGTCGTTCCGCCGACTTTTGCTATTGGCATCAAGCTCAACTCTGCTGACCACAGCTCCTCGACGTTTGAAGACACGATGACACAGATCGGGCTTCTTATTGAAGCAGGCATTGACTTTTTGGAAGTCAGCGGTGGCAGCTACGAGAACCCAACGGTCAGCAGTATTCATACTGTTCGAGCTGATGTTCAGACTGACATGTCTTAGATGATGGGACCCGAAAAACGCCAGAGCACTGTTGCCCGCGAAGCATTCTTCATCGAATTTGCCACCGAAACTCGCAAGCGCTTCCCGGATCTCATTCTTATGCTGACGGGCGGTTTTCGGACCCGTGCAGGCGCCATGTCTGCTCTACAGCAGAATGCGTGCGACGTGGTGGGAATCGGACGTCCGGCTGCGATTGAGCCGAAATTGCCTTTGGTTCTGATGGATGAGAGCGTCCCGGATGAGGAGGCGCAGTTGGTGCTGAACCGGGTCCCGATGCCGTTCCTTGCACGATTCATTCCGCTGAGGGGTATTGGAGCTGGATTGGAGAGCTCATTTTATGCGAAGCAGATCAAGCGGATTGCGATGGGACTGAAGACATTTCTCCCGTAGCTGGCTGCAGCCAGCGCCACCAGACTTATACATGTATAACAATGGGTATAGAATATAGAATATAGATAGAGTATAGATTTTAGACATAGAAATATCAATCGAAGATGGAGTATAGATATAGCTATCTGGTTGAGCTAGATTTGTATCATCGATACCTTCAACCATGCTTCGCATCGTATCAAGATAACCAAACTAATCACATTGCCTTGCACATTAAGTACAACATAATATCAATTTAGAATATGCAGCACATAGCACACCTCACATCTAACTTATATTAACTCCAGCATTAATTTGCCACGAATTATCAAATGTAGCACAGTCCATAGTCCCCCATCACCACACCACCACATACACACCGCCGTTTACACCGCCCCACACCCAACCAACCACAACCCACCCTCACCCCCCAAACACCCATTTTACCCGACATATCCTCCCTCTCCAAATCCTATACCCAAAATTTTCTTATCAGCCAAACCCATCCCCCATCACCACGACTTCCTCCTCCCCCCTACTCTTCCCCAACCACTCTCACACCCTCCCCTCGGAAACCAAACAAATACATAAAAATGCCCCGCGCCCTCAAACACCACGAAAAGAAACTCCTCCGCAAAGTCGACTTCCACGTCTACAAATCCGACAACAACCACCGGGAATCTCAAATCCGCACGCGCTACCACCTGCAAGACCCCCTCGACTACCGCAAATACAACCAGCTATGCGGATCCCTGCGCCAGCTCGCGCACAAGCTGTCTGAGCTCGACCCCGAGAGTGATCCCGTGCGCAAGAAGCTGGAATCCGAGGTGCTGGATAAGTTGTTCCGCATGGGGATTCTGAAGCAGAGTCGCGAACAGGGGGCGGGACTTTCGAGAGTCGAGAGGGAGGTTACGGTTAGTGCGTTTTGTAGGAGGAGGTTGGCGGTTTGGATGACTAGGAGTGGGATGGTGGAGAATGTTAAGACTGTAAGTCCTTCTTTTTTTTTATCAACCTTCTTGGCGATGGGGTATTGGGTTGGGATTTATGCTAATGAGGCTGGGTGGTGTTAGGCCGTCACGTTCATCGAGCAGGGCCATGTTCGCGTCGGGACAGAGGTCGTTACGGATCCGGCGTACTTGGTTACGAGAAATCTGGAGGATTTCGTGACGTGGGTGGATAGCTCCAAGATTAAGAGGAGTATTATGCAGTATCGGGATAATTTGGATGATTTTGATATGTTGTGATACCACTTTATCTATTTCACATTTGTGGGTGTTGTTTTGGAGTTCATGGAAAAGTGTGTGCGTTATTCATGTTATTGCTATGTTAATTTTGTGTATTGAATAATGCATATGGTTTACGGTGTCATGTCTTGGGTATACTGCAATCTTGAGATTCGTATATCATTATTTTAAAAGAATGCATCTAGCTGGGTATCAAATGCAATCAATCAATCAATCATCCGCCGGAAATAAAGCACGCTTGAGACTGATAACAACTAGGGCTATACTCCATGGAATAGGTTAAGCCGTCTTCACTCGTCCTCCCATTCGATGAATAACCATCTTCCGCGTCAGCTTGAAGTTCTTTTGGAACGTCGTCGTCCCCGTCCGCTTGCTCTCGCATTCTTCTGGTAAATCCATGCGGAACCGCCGTACACTCCCCTCATAGTTCCCCTTTCCGTCCTTGCCTTCTTCGAAGAACGGCGTGCGGTGGTCTCCGAATTGACACCATCGCGGCGCTACACGGCGCCAGAATCCACGCACGCCACTGCTGGCGCGGTCGATTTTCTCATATTCGCGCCTCCGTGTGGATGGTGATGTCCAGTCGATTACTGTTACTGTGGGTTGCACGGGTGAAATGCACGCTGGTTCGTATGCACTAAAGGTGGCTGCGCGTACGGGACCCCGTGGGGATTGATTCTGGTTGCCTTGGTCTTGGTAGGTCGAGATGGATAGTGGTGTTCGTAAAGTGGGTGGGGAGCTGGCATTGGAAACAGAGCGGAGAGGGCGTGGAGGCGTACGTGATGTGCTGGAAGATGGGGGTCGAGATGCCGATGCCGATGCCGATGCTCTTTGGCTAGGTTTTGTTGTAGATAGCCCGTCGTCTTGAAATAGACGGCATGATTCACGGTGTAGAGCAATCAGGTCCTCGCGGCGAGCTGTTCGATCGGATATCGGTGTTATGGAAGCGGTGGTTGCGGAGCGGCGGTGTGAGTGTATGGAGCTGTGTTGACTATGAGGACTGGAGCGTCGCGACGAGTGAAGTTGATCTGGAGTTTTGGCGGTTGATGGTGATGGAGGTGAGGTTGTTCTTTTGCGTTTGGAGGTCCGTCGACTGTTGGGTTTGGAGGAAGACGATGGGGCAGTCGTGCTCTCCATACCGTGGGAGAGCTGCTCCTCGACTACGGGGATTGACACGATGGGCGGACTGCCTGCACCCACGGTGATATCGGTGACTTCGATGGTAGTGGCGTAGACTTCTTTGGTATCGTTCACACCGGGTGAGACGATGGAGAGAGAAGGGACTTTTGTCATCAAATAGGATGTAGGTGTATGCTCTGGCGCTGGGCTGAGCGGTGGGGAAGAGATCGTAGGGGAAAGAGGACGATGGTTGGAAGAGCCACCAGGAAGATCGGGGCGCTGGCATGTGAACGTGGCCGCCATAGTTATTGGGTGCCTGTGCCTGTGCCTGCACTCCAGGGCCGAGAACCGCAGCGGGATGGGATGTCTTTGACTGAAGAATGACGCGGTCCAGCCGGGTTCACATGCTCCCCCTGCCAAATGGCACCAGTCAGGAGAGCAGTGAGGAATGCGCGATCAACAGCGGGTGAACATGCTTGCTTTAAAAACAGGAATAGGAAGAAAAGCGATCGAAATAAGGATGAGGTAGAGAAATAGACAGAAAGAAAGAAAGAAAGGAGGAAGAGGGTGTGTTCTATGGAGTATGTCAGGAGGACAGAGAACCCGATAAGATTAGGGTTCTGAGAGGGGAAAGTTGGCTGCTGGCAAGGGACAAATGATGAGGGTCAGTCGATCTCCAGAACACGAGGATCATCATGGACGAACTGACTTACCGAGCACGTTTTAGGGATAGTCACGATGTACAGTGTAGGGGTTGCTCAGAATAATGAAAGACAGGGGGGGATGAATGAATGCACCTGGCAAGGAAGGGATGAATAGATGGTAATAATCTAGGCGTGGGTTCGAGACAGGTCTTATTATAAGTAGAACTATCTACTAAAAAGAACTAAGAATTCACCGACAAGGCATGCCAACTTCGACTTTAGTCTCTTTGCAAGCGCCTGCAGACCCTCCCCGGCGGCAGACCAAACCGGTTCAGCCTTTCAACACGGGCTACTTTTAGTTTAAGAGTGTGGAACTGCCAGATGATCGTATCCCTGTGTAGAATCGGGATTGACGCCAGTTCAGCAACCCGTCCGTAAATAGTCAAGCACGAAGCATAATGAGAAATCGAAATCCCTTTGAGGGCCCAAAGAAAGAAGGGCTCTCCCCGCATGAGTATTCGCCCGAAAGTTAATATTGAGGGTTCAGTGCGATAGGTCCAAAAGACCGATCTAATTTCTTTTGCCCTCTACTTTTGTTTGTGTTTTTCTTGTTCTCTCTTCTTTGCAGCGGGGCATGTCACCACCACCACCCCGTGTGCTGCTGGTGAGATTTTCTCCCCTTGCATTTCACCAATAGGACTAATGAATAAGACTAACACAGAGAAGATAGTTAGGTTGCATTGGATGTCCCTGCATGTAGATGGAGTGATTGTCTCCAATCAGCACCATCAGCAACCAGGGGGTTCAAGGTACCTTTGGAGCCCTCCCACCCGTGGAAATATTCTAGTGCCTCCGTTTAGCCCCTCCACCTAAATCCTTCCACGCGATGGTGTAATCCAGACACACGACTAGGGAACGTTAGTGACCTGGAATTGCACCATAAACTGCCCTGGTAGTCAAGTACTTCCCTTGCTTGTAAAGAGGGGGGGCCATTGGGGATCCAGACTGCATCCACCGGCGTCTGTGAAGCGAATCTATTGGGTGTTTACTAGTGGTAGTGTCTCCTGCCAGCCAATCTGTGGTTCCGCGCCCCGCCCGTCGCTCATTCCACGGCTTCTGCTTTTTTCACCGCCAGTTATTGGAAGGTGCAGGTACATTCAATAAACATCATGGAATAGTAAACTGTGTAGAAATTTTCTGTAAATGAAGAAGGTCCAGTATAGAGTGTGATTCGATATGCTGATTCTGATTCTGTCAAGGTGAGTGAGTGAGTAACTGTCAAATCCCCCCCAACACAACCCCAGTGGAATCAGGTAAGCGCTATCTCAAACAGCAGCATTCCCTGTTGTGAAACCCCACCATGACGCTGCCTGCAGATTACTTACTATCCAGACTGCATGCAAGTTCTGCCGCAATTTTGGGTACTCACACTCATCGCTCGTGATACTCCTCCCTCTTGTAGCCTGACTGAACCTTCCAAGCCCTCGTATGGCAAACTTAACTTCCTGCTTCCAAACCACATCGGCGCTATCTCATGTGCCAGCATTGCCAAGCCCAGTTTCACTTACCGCCACTATCTTCCAATGACTTCCACCACACCGCAATCCTGCGACCTTCATCTTTCGTGACTCAGGAAGTGTGCTGCTTCTGTCGCGCCAGGCTAGAGACGTACCATTCCCGCTGTGCCCTCTTCATACTTGAGTGCACTATCAGCCCGCGGATGCAATACTAGCCAATCGATTGGCAATCCTCGAGAAACCACCCCGCCAGATAATCCCCGAAGCTGCGTGGCCAGCGTCGATCTTGGCTTTCTACCACTAGTGACGTCTTGGCATGCCCTACGCTCGGCCATTCTCGATACTCGATAGTGCTCTGTTGGTCTGCATGCATATAACGTGTCGAGAGGTCTTGAGACAGATAGCACGTGGCTTGCCAGCATCGGTGCTTGGGATCATTTCTACGTATGTGATATTCCTGTAGAACCAGCTCCTTCGATAATTCGATAAATCTGCTTGCCAGTATTGGAGGCTGGCTGGCACTTAGTAGCCAGTAACACTAGTATATATTTAGTAGCATGATGTAGTAATATAGACATAATTAAGTGGAATTCTATCCCTACAATAACGTCGTTATGTCTCGTAGACTCAAGAAGCCGTGCTACAGTAGTATAGACTACTATATACAATGTCTGAACGGGTTACGCCTTCTATTTTTGACTCAGTCCTCTCTATGGCAACCTCGTCGGAAATACCCTGATCAAATGGTGATGGCAGCCGGAATACGCCTCCGTTGTTTGAGGCTCGTTTTGATACAGTCGAAATATTACCTCGAATTGTTGACAGCTTCCATTTGCTCCAGGAGATACCAAGTATGTTGAAGCTGTAATAATGCAGATTTAGTTATTTCTTTTTGTGTAGTCGCTAAGGTCTTGAGCCGCTGGAGTCCCCAGCTGTCGAAGAGTCCTCAATCCCCATGATCCTGGACGACGTTAAACCTGAGAGAATCATATAGCTATGCTACTAGTTATACCCCAGTTAGTTGTATAATCCTTCACTAGGCAGGATAAGAGAGTCCAGAGCAGACTCGAATCTATACTTAGACCAGACCTGGTGAAAAGTTTGGCTCTCGGTTGTAGTACCATGGTATTGATCCAGCAAGAACTATAGCGACTCAATTTGGCCGAAGCGAAGCGATACTTGGAGAGTAACCACTTCTCGACAAAACGGGAACCTCGTACTCTAACATAGGAATGGAGCAGTAACACTTTTCTTGGTGTATTCACACTGTACTATTTTTCTTTATTTCGGTATCGAGGCTGTTCTGCTCGTGAAGTGACAGGACGAGGTAGTCGCGTCTCGTTTCCCAATATGGCAGGTGTTACTCGCACAGTAGACTGTGTTTCTTCGTCGACTTCACTCCAGCTTCTTCCCATTCACACTCACACAACACCCAAGGAGAACCAAGCTGCAACGTTGACACTTTATGAGAATATACAACCAGAATCTTCTGGTTGTATACTTTCGTTCTGGACCCACCTACAAGCGTTTTCCATGGGTTTGCAGAGCTATAAGACCTATTGTTAGTACCAACTCCCTCCTATTGCAGAATCCTGATGCTAACGATACTACCCTTGACATCCAGATTTGCTCAGTTTTCCACGGGTATGCTACCATGAACTCACAACTGCTACTTCTTTGAGCTTCCTGAGTCACACTGCAGCTGGTTCATTCACCATGTCGTAAGGCGCCATTCACTGGTATAAAAACCCTTCCCTTTCCCCAGGGAGGCTGGGGGTTTCTTTCCCTCCCACATCTTCTGCCATCTCTTTACATTTCTCTCGATCTCCCTCTTCTCATCTTCCTTTTCATCTCTCTGCCATCTCCTGCCATCTACTCTCATCTACTTGCCATCTCTCTACCATCTACTTCCATCTATCTGCTATCTCTTGACATCTGTCTTCCATTTCTTGCCATCTTACTTCCATCTATCTGCCATTTCCTTCCATCTCTTGACATCTATTTGCCATCTTCTGCCATTTTTTGCCATCTACTGACATCTATCTGCCACATAGCCTGCCTTTACTTACCATCTAACCTTCCAGATCTTCTAGTAGGTAATCCCAGCTATCTACTGCCATTTACACACTCATCTCTCTTTTACATAGCTTGCCCTCTGCTTGTGAGCGTGGCTGACTTTTGTGTAGGACACTCTTGACACCACTGGCCTTGGTTGGGTGGATGGGAAGGGCCTGGGACACCGACTACACAGCACCTGACAGTAAGTACTCTTGAGTGGCCTGCTGATAGAAATTAGCTGACTCTTCTATAGCACTCCCAAACCTGACTGGCCTAGGTTGGGTGGCTGGGACGGGCCTGGGACATCGACACCCAACTAGAACAGTAGACCAGTGAGTACTATCTTTCTAACTACCTGCTGGCTGCTGAAAATGGCTGACTTACAAGAACACCCAAACGCGACTGGCCTAGGTTGGGCGGATGGGATGGGCCAGGGTATCGACACTCAACTATATACTGTAGACCAGTCAGTGCTCCCCCTGACTAGATCTTGATCAAAATGGCTGACTGGTACTATAGAACTCCCACACGCGACTGGCCTCGGTTGGGCGGATGGGACGGGCCTGGGACAACAACACGCCACACACAACACAGTAAGTACTCACTACCTGACTAGCCGCTGGTAAGGATGGCTGACCTGTACAGAGCACCTATACTCTACTGGCCTAGGTTGGGTTGGATGGGACGGGCCTGGGATAACAACACGCCACACACAACACAGTAAGTACACACTGACTTGACTACTGATTTACTGACCCGCACAGGACTCATAACGGGTCTGGCCTCATGGTTGGGCGGATGGGACGGGCCTGGAAGACCTTATATTATATATACGCACTTGCGACCTAACAGCACAGTGAGTTGTCTCCGAGTTGGCTTCCAGTTTGGCTTCTGGTTTATTGACTTGTACAGGCTCACCAACGTACCTGGCCCCACGGTTGGGTGGATGGGACAGGCCTGGGATATAGAGTACAACACGCAACACAGTAAGTCTCGGCTCCGACCTGACAGTACCTGATTTAGCTGACTCTACACAGGACTCATACACGGGTCTGGCCTCATGGTTGGGTGGATGGGATGGGCCTGGAAGACCATATTATATATCCACTATATAGTATATATACTTGGGATATAACACACACAGTGAGTACTCCCGAGTTCACTTCCTATTTAGCTGACTCGTCACAGGTGCGACCACACTTCTGGCCCCATGGTTGGGTGGATGGGACGGGCCTGGGTCATCAACACACAACTCGACAACACAACCCGGTGAGTTTTCTTTAGTTGCCTACCTTTTTGATACTAATTTCATACAGGACTCATCCGGGTCTGGCCTCATGGTTGGGTGGATGGGACGGGCCTGGAAGACCATATATTGTATATACTACTATCTAGCACAACACAGTGAGTACCTCTCTGAGTTGACGTCCTATTTTACTGACTCCCAGTAGGCGCGACAACATCCCTGGCCCCATGGTTGGGTGGTTGGGTTGGGCCTGGGACAACAGCACGCAACTCGACAACACAACACAGTGAGTATTCTCTGACTCGTCTATCTATTAAGTACTAACTTCGCACAGGACTCAAATGGGTCTGGCCTCATGGTTGGGTGGATGGGACGGGCCTGGAAGACCATACCATATATACTTACTCCTATATACGGCATAGTGTGTACTCCTTGAGCTGGATTCCCTATTTTTGCTGACTCTCCATAAGCGCCGACAACTTCTCTGGCCCCATGGTTGGGTGGATGGGTTGGGCCTGGGACAACAACACACTACACACAACACAGTAGCCACTAGGTATTCTCTGACTTACTTCCCCGTTTACTGATTATGTACAGGACTCACACACGGGTCTGGCCTCATGGTTGGGCGGATGGGACGGGCCTGGAAGACCATATTATATATACCTGCTCAGATCTAACACAAGGGCATACAGTAAGTGTTCCAACTCTATCTCTCTTCGTGCATGTCTGATGTTCTACAGGCTTCAGCAACAAGCCAGGCCCTGGTTGGGTGGCAGGGACGGGCTTGGGACGTAGTTGTAGACTTCGACAACACAGCACTGGCAAGTCTTTCTATTCCCGCCTGCATGACAATAGTGTGGCTGACTCTATACAGGTTTCACTGCTCCAACAAACCAAGCCTTGGTTGGGTGGTAGGGTCGGGCTTGGGCTATCGGATTCAACATCCGCCAAATAGTGAGTCCTCCTTATGTCCGACTGCCCCGGTTGCATGTGTGGCTAACTACAATGTCTACAGGCTCACTGCAGTGGTGGACCAGGCATCGGTTGGGCGGTTGGGACGGATCTGGGACATCGGACACGGGGGGGTGGGGGTTGTGGTCATATAAAGTGACTTCAAGATTAAAACGACTAACTGCCTCTATCTTTGCACTCTCCAAGCCTTGGCTGGGTGGTAGGGTGGGCTTGGGCTATTAGATTCAACATCTACCATACAGTGAGTCCCCCTACTCACAGCTGTCCAGATTGTATATGTGGCTAACTATATACAGGGTTCACTGCAGTGGTGAGCCAGGCCTCGGTTGGGTGGTTGGGACGGGCCTGGGACATCGGGCATGGGGGTGGGGTTTTGAAGCCATGTAAGTGCTTTCATGCTAGATCCACGAAAAGACTGGGCTGACTGTCTCCGCCTTCATATGATTTTGCAACAAACCAAGCCTTGGATGGGTGGTAGGGATGGGCTTGGGTTATCGGATTCAACATCCACCATACAGTGAGTCTTCTCATTAACTGCTAGTGTGATTGAATGTGCCACTAATCTTGTACAGGGTTCACTGCAGTGGTGAACCAGGCCCTGGTGGGTGGCAGGGACGGGCCTGGGACATCGGACACGGAAGGGGGAGGGGGGTTGAGAATTATGGAGGTGACGTTGCTAGATTCGCAATCTAGGGACATGACTGCATTATCGACCTACAGTAGAGTGTTACTCTACAACACACCAAGCCCTGGTTGGGTGGATGGGATGGGCTTGGGGTACTGACTAACTTTGACAGCACAGTAAGTCTTCCAGTTCACGGATCTCGGATTACAACGTGGCTAACCTGATATAGGGTTCACTGCAGTGGTGAACCAGGCCCTGGTTGGGTGGCAGGGACGGGCCTGGGACATCGGACACTGGGGAGGGGGAGGGGGGTGATTGAGGCACCAAGAAATTGTCATGGTTTTATTTCGCATTCTCGAAGCTTGAATACATGGCCACCTGACTGTAGTGTTATCTACAACACACCAGGCCCTGGTTGGGTGGATGGGATGGGCTTGGGATATACTCACTAACCTCAACAGCACAGTAAGCCTTCTAGCTCATTATATTGGATCGTACTTGTGGCTGACTATCTACAGGTTCACCACTGCAGTGGACCAAGCTTCGGCTGGGTGGTTGGGACGGGCTTGGGATACGCTAACTAACCTCAACAGCATAGTAAGTCTTCTAGCACGTCACCCTTGATTTTTGCGGCTGACTCTACAGGTTCACCACTGCAGTGAACCAGGCCTCGATTGGGCGGTTGGGACGGGCCTGGGACATGGATTCAACACCTGCTGTACAGTGAGTCTTGAAATGTTTCAAGTCATGGTTCCTCAATCATACGTATAGCTGACATCTACAGAGCTCACCACCGCAGTGAACTAGGCCCTGGTTGGGTGGCAGGGACGGGCCTGGGACATCGGACACGGGGGGTGGGGGTGTGTAAGTCAAACATGATAGAATGAAGGGTTGGAAGCATGACTGACTGACTAATTTTTTCGCATAACTTTGCAACGAAGCACGCGTCGGTTAGGCTGTTGTGGTGGAGTATGATCACCCATCGTTTCGTACGTGAACCGCCAACAGTGGATGGCTTCTAGGAGACAAATATGGCTGACTGAGCACTAGATTGGTTCCGGAGACAAATACTGCCATGATAGGACTATCGGTGCGAATGAGCTGTGTGGTACAGCTTTTAGGTAGTTATATCACCAAATCAAGTCGCATTTGTACATTACCTGGACTTGTAGTCACTGTAAGGTGGATGGAACTTCTGGTGACTGATCAGCGGATCTCAATAAGTAGCATAGACGTCTTTATTCCTTATGGTCATGTCTTGGCTTCCTGGCTAAGACACTGCAAATCCCCTAAAATACACACTTTGACTCCATAGGTTTCATTTAATGAGCAAGTCTTTTTTCGAATAAAAACTCCGAGCGTTCTAGGGAAGAGAGACAAGACCGGAGGAAAGACGGTATCGTTCCTAGCTGCACCATTCATACTTGTAAGGGAGAGCCGTTGGATCCTACTTAGCTACACCTACAACATAAACCAAAACCTAGAAAAGCCTTCCTAGTATCCACAAGACATCCCCCACGGAGGCATACAATCGCACAGTGAAAAGGCCCCGAAGATAAATGAGCGAGATAGAATAGATCTGAGCTAGACTATAATAAGCAAGTTCAAACACGGCAACCTTTGTGTGACGAGAAATTACAAGAAAGGACGTGTATTAAAACTTATTGTATGATGTCAACAGGATAATTGCTGCAAGGTGATAGATGTGGAATCATTCGATAGATACTACTTGAAGTATCGAAGTATCTGATCGAGACCGGATATCAGCTTTAGGGTGTCATTATGGGTTAACGAAGCGAAGGGAAGCCAGGAAGGGAAGTGATGAACGTGTTACTGTCGGTTGAGATGGATGATCGTATTGAACGCATTCATTTCACGGGGATTGGGTAGGTGCTGGGAACTGGTCCGGTTGCAGGACGAGGACAGTGGTGGGGGAAGAGATTTCGCTTTGCGAGTTCTGGTCGGGCCAAAAAACTTGGGTAGTAGATGGAAAGTAAACTTTACTCAGTAGGTGGGGAAATGGCCATAGGATTATAATTTCAATCGTGGTTGAGATACCTTGTTAAGAGAAGTGTATAGGTACATTCTGAAAGAGACGTGACGTTGTGGAGCAGCAGCCTATAGACGGCTGAAATTGAGAGTCATAACATCCAAAAGAACTGTCTCACAGTGACGCTCTCGTGGCATTTCGTCCAATAAATCTCCAATAGGTAAACTGGAAATTAGAGCCCTCTCTGGAAGCCTTGACTGCGTCTCGGATCGTTGCCCTCACTTCCTGAGCTCTCTTATCATCGATATCCTTATTTCTGGTAGATACTTCGAGGGCCAGAAACATAATCTCAGTCATTGCTTGGTCAATATAAGGTGGGGGTATTCTGCGATCGGCATCGACGTCCACAAGCTTTGCTTCTTGGAAATGAGTCCCCAGATCGGGTACCCACGAAGTGTAGAACCTTTCGTCGTCCCCTCGAAGGAAACTCCAGAGCCGCTGCAACGGTTCATCGCTAAGATCAGGCCGGAGCTTTACCGTTCGCGCCGAAGAGAAATCAGCATCAGTCCATTGAAGGAAGCCACCTGGTTCTATTTGACTTGGTTAGACGATGGTCAATCGGCCACTTTGCTGATCATATGTCAAAAGGAGAATACAAACTGAGTAGTCGGATCAAGTTTTTCAGAACGTCTTTGATCTCACAGCTTCGGATGACAACCGCAAAGAACCGTATGTTGACCAAGTCATATGCACCGACTAGGTGTTCAGGAACCTCCTCTTTGATGTTCCAGTGATGCAAAGTCACGTTTGGTGGAAGCCATTCGCGAAGAGGGGCAGCATCAAACGAAACATCGAGACCATCCAAACGAACGGATCTTGGTAGCTTATTAGCTAGGTCTGTTAACCAGATACTAGAAATCAATTAGCTGCTGACTACGATGCATCTGCCTTGTTGTTTTCTTTTGATGACCGAACTTACGCGGTGCCGGTACCAACATCAGCAATTCTCATTTCTGGGTTCTCCATGCTGATATGCGGGTGTACCTGATGCCCGAAGACTTGGCCGTTGTAATGATGCATGGCGTTGAGGCTATATGGCAATGAGAATGGGCGTAAATCATGGGTGATGGTTGAGTTGGCAGGATATTTAGTCTTACCGGATGCTGTCCAGATAACTCCTGTCGAAGGCATATTCCTCAGCTGCAGGTACAGTCATGCTTTCTTCGGACTGTAGACGATAGATTAGAAACTGAAAGCTGTTTAAGGGCGCAGCAAGATGCGAGGTAGGATCAATTGATGGGCCCAGGAAGAGGGGAAACTGGAGTGGGAAAGAGTAGAATGGATGCGTCGGAAAGACTGCGGTGGTGCTCATTTGCCGATCGCTGCTAGGAAATGCCATCATTAGTTGGTTCAGCTGACTAGTTTAGTCAGTTTCCCCTCCCTCGAGGCAGTAGTTATTCACGATTCGGCATTGTATGCACATCGCGCCAGGTCCTATGTCATGCAGTACCTTCTCCACATCCGAAAGACGTCGCTAACCTGCACAGCACCTCCGCTGTGACGATAAGAGGGCGTGGCATGATTCGCTACTAAAGTAAGTTGGATATCACGAAAAGCCGGGCAAAAAGCGCGGGACACCTTGAGAGATTATAATGCTGAGGACACGTAGCGCCCTAGGTATATTGTACCTCGTTAGCCTCGGCCATTCAGGATGTTAGGATAGGTCTGTTAATGGCTCTGGGTATGTCACATACTGCTTTCAAAGTCGCGTAACACCCATTGCATAGCTGACCAACAGCAGTTCGTTATATGTGGCTGCATGGAGAAAATATAGTTTCCGACAGAATGAGGTTGAAGGTACAGCACTTGATATTTTCCAAAACTGACAGACTGCAAGAAAGGCTAATGCGGGACGAAACAGGAAGGACTATCACCAAACAATGCAAACCCTTTCTTCTTCCTACCAATTACTACTCATGCAGATAACACCACTACCTCAGAGCCCAACAACAGGTCTTCAGACGGGCATCCAGGCCGTGTTCGTCATCACCAATTCCTCACATCGAGTCAGTTCTCAACAAAGCATCGGCGACCATTCTTCCATTGGGCCGGTATATTCGGCCGCATAATCCATAGCCCACCAGACCGGCTCCATGCAGGCAAGTATCATGTACGTGCTTATGGCATTCAAGCAGGTGCAGTCAGAATACTTTTTCTCATATGCACGACCAATGAATGGCACTCGAGCTTCCCAGGAGACCTTATCATACTGATGACAGCCAGAGCAGGTATCAAAATGAGCCAAAGAGTCGCGCAAAAGCTCGTCATATCGTTCCTTATTGCCACATCGGTTGCGGAGATCAAAGTCATACGGCTGTGAGCTTGGTGGTAGCGGGTTCATACTGTTCAGAACCGGGTCGCTGTAAGGATCTTCCTTGGGCTGATTGTTCGCATCGGCAGGAACTAAGTGGTCGAAGAGAATTGGGGTTCTATACCGCGCCATGTAGAGTTGCCAGGCCAGTAAGCGTCCCGCTAGGTGAATTGCCCAGTCTGCTCCATTATCAACAGCCCAAGCCCACACATCAATGCAAAATCGGCGGATCATGTTCGTCCCCGGCACACCCCGATGGGCACTGACAATTGTCATGACATTGTAGAACTCATTGGCCTGGTTGTCATGCCGGTAATCACACGCATCGTGCATGGTAATCATGGCAATCGAAACAGCGTCAACAATAACATCATCCCCTATCAAAGGACCTCTCTCCAGTCTCGCTTGCAGAGTCAGAGCCCGAACACCAGAATTGATCAGTCGGTAACGGATGCTTTGCAGTTCGTCTGCTGGGCATTTCAGGCTGTCTGCCTTGGGGTGAAGAACGTCAAGATAGATAGCCTGCAAGGTCGCCAGCCACGCATCCATCACTTTGTGATCTTCTTCACCATTGGGGTGGCAGCGATGGACATGGTCGATAAATTCCACTGTGCGTTTTGCACTCAATTCCAGTACCGGGTACAACTCCTGACAGAAGTGATAATAATCGGGAAACGTGGCCAACACACCGACCGAGGCAGTTCCACGCACACAGTCTTTGCAAATAAGATTATCATCTTCCATACACCAAATATATCCATATGTCTGCTCAGCAGCTGCATTCCAGAATGGAGTATCAGGAACATCGAACGTCTCAGCCATGGAGCGCAGGTTAACTCTTCCGCGTGGAATCATGCCGGAGCGAGGAGGGGCCTTGAGAGGACGGGGAATATCAGGAAACTTCATGAGGGAACGCGTCCATGCTAGACTTTCTTCCATTGGGTACGGTTTCATATGTTTATCGTAGCATCCCACCGCGCTTTTAGAATGGAACAACCGGGGACCGACGTCTGGGATCCAGGATTTCCTGAGCTCCGGTATTGCCAGTATATCGGCAACAAGGCCTTTTTCCGTCTCCTCTTCATGTTCAAGGGAGTAGAGGTTAGGTCCAAAGACGCCTGTCTGCATTGTGGAAAGATTTTTTTTGGTGGGGTGGGGGTAGGGGGGATGGTTGGAGGAGGATAGTAGTAAGTAGACTTGGGAATCTTCGAAGGCTCGATGAACTCAAGGCAATGTTCAACTTTAAGAGTAATATATAGTTCTACTTATATACTATCTGTAAAGGCTATCCGCAAACCCGGCACAAGAAGATTCCTCCAGTGGGGAGCTGATCAGAACCGGCAAGACCCCTGGTGTCGTATTAGCACTCTTGTTTGTGCCCCATTCTCCCAGGAAAGTATGTATAATTGTATATGATGGCATGGGCTGCCAGTACTCAGCAAGCCACCCAACTTACCCAACCCCATACTCAACTATCTAGTTAGTACTCACTGGGATAGAGAGTATCTACTGATGGCTACACCGCTGTGACAGATTCGTATAGCATACAGCAGGAGGCGGTGGAGTGGATCTGCCAAAGGGAAAGACAAGCCTACAGAAATAGGATGCCGTCAGTTTCGACCCTATTGGATGAGATGTATCTTGCATACACGATCTATATTTTTACTTAGTAGGTTCCAAACTTGCAGCTGCCTGGAGATTGAGATCGCCGCTTTTCAGCTCCCTACACGCTTCGAGAGACGGTTGTCTAGTCTATCTACTGGACATACACGAAATCGTCGAAGTGGCATTTTGACTTTGCAGCGGAGAACTACTAGATAGGATCCGGTATTCCTGACGACGTGGCCTTGATTTGGTGGAGTAAAACCTGATAATTTGGTGATAGTATGCATGGGGCTTCGGTGGGTCCAGTCCTGCCCCCAAATTAAAGTTTTTCCAGTTACCTTTTTTTGCTTCGGTATATGATGTGACGATGTCAGGAAGAATGAAGGGTGGAATGTGATTCTGGGGGAGATAAATGAAGAGTAGGAAGTGAAATTAAAGAGTTTGAGGGCCAAAATAAGTAATAATAAAGGGAACAAGTGAAAAGAAAAAGAAAAGATGAATCGAAGAAAGAGAATTCGAAGGAAAATCCACGATATCGGGTTGTAATTCCACCTTTGCAGCTCCCATTCAAGTAGTCAGGACATTCTTGACCCTTGCCTTAACAATTGCTTGGCCCTTTTCCGGGAATGGGATCAGGAAGTCCCGCGCTGTTCGAAGTTCGTCTTCTGTCGAATCGCTTATCTCCATATCGAAGCGCCGTATTAGCGTGGCTACGGTCAAGTATAAAGTTGCATAGGCCAGACTGTAAGAATGGTATCAATTTCAGGACAGAATGCAATGTAGAAAACGGTCACTGGTCCAACCGAGGTTACTTACTTTATTCCAATACACTGTCTGCTGCCTTTGGAAAAAGGAGCACAGAATGGTTTCGGGTTGGTATTCTCATCCTCCGCATGGATCCAACGATAGGGATCAAATGCGTTTGGATTGGGATACATCGCTGGATCCCTGTGGGCGAAATAGTTCGACTGCCCGACTGGTGTCTGCATAACACAAAGGGTGTGTATTAGAAGCTGATAGATAGAATGGAAGCGTTATCTGTAACTCACCCCCGGAGGAATTATGTATTTTCCATATATCAGTGGCTCCGTCGGAGATACTCGAGGCAGTCGACCTGAAGTTCCCGAGAGGCGAAGTGCTTCAGTAATAACAGCGGTCTATGGGAGAAGAAAAGAGAAGACATTAGGATACGGCATACTTTCCATAGTTGTAGCATATTCCTTACCAAGAACGGCAATTTCTCTAATTCCGACCAAGACGCGAGATCTGTGGGCATGGGCATCACTTGCTTTAATTCCTTGCGTAAAGTCTTAATGAACTCTGCGTTCTTCAGAAGGTGGAAGAATATCACAGAGAGAGCCTGAGAAACCGTTTCCGAGCCAGCGCTAAATAGTGTGAAAGACTCATCTTCCAAACGCTGTAGCGTTTTTTCTTCTGCGGGCACATTGGCCCTCAACAAGGCATCAAAAAGGGGACCACGGCGCACCGTAGATCCGCCTTTGCCTTGAAGTGCATCCTGGGATTGCTTTCGAAGCCACAGCCGGAAGTCGCAGAAGTCTGAAAGTAATCGAAACGGGCGCAGCAGAGCCAATGGAAGGAGCTGAAAGATAGTAGCAATAACCGGGATGTGTCGCAGGATATGAATTTTCGATGCTAATTCGGTGGCTGATGCAACGGACTCACTCCTGAACGTAGGGTCATCCAGATAGTGAGTACTCGTCCCATACATATACTGCGCAAGAACATCACTGATCAGTGCCGCAGCGGCTATTTTGAGGCTAAAAACGGAGCCTTTCTTATGTATAGACTCTAGCCGGGAGGCTAGCTTGCCAACATTGTCTTGTATCAGAAATTCATGGCTCACAACGGCCTTTCTCGTAAACAAATGGCTAATAACAGCTCGGCGGGATCGATGAAGGTTGTGGTCAACTGTGGAGAATGAAGCAGTTGGAGCGCAAAAAGAGGCGACGAGTTTGGAATCCTTGTCTCGCTTCCGAATGCTGCTGCTTGTGTATATCTCGTCGTAAAAATATGGATCCTTGATATGCACTTCCCTAGGACTGATTCGTACTATGGGCCCTTTTCCCCTTGTCAAATTGAGTGAAGACAATATTGCCTCGGTGAAAGACTTACCATACTGTCGATGCATCCGCTCCACCTCCCAGATGTATTTCCCGCCCTTGACAGCATCATAATAGAACTCGTACAGACTTGTGGAGGCAGCTAATTTTGGTCCTGGAATCCCGCGAAGAGGATGCAGCGCCAGACGGTATATTGTGCGCAGGCATAGATAGACAATTAATACGATGAGAGCCTTGTAATAGTCCATATTTGTGGAGATATTCGTGCACCACGAGGCTTTTAGCCTTAGGAAGCCTCTTGTGTGCCCGCCTGAACCTGAAAAAGTTGAGGTTACTCTTGGAAAACTTTCGAGTATAACGCGCAAGGGATAAGAAATCTGTGCACAGCAAAATCCCTCCTGCGCATTCGGGTTAAATTCAAAAGATAATTATCTTTTCTTTTCCTACGATTTTTGCTTCTTTCTTTTTATTTCCACGGAACTATGTCATTTCCACGGCAGTTAGTTGGTGAAAGCGCAGAGAATCTAACAGCGTACCGTTCTGCAGAACAAGGTTGAAGATCTGCATTCCTTCGTACCCGAGGCATCGTTCTCCACCTGAGATGCAGCAAACTTGCCGATTTCGATTCGATTTCGATTTCGACCGTGCTACCATCACCGCCAGATCTAGGAGGCCGTCTTCAAAGACAAATTCGGATGATACTCTTCTGCTACATGGAACAATATGCCGAGTTGGCAGGGGGAAAGTGTTGGTAGTGTCATACGTTTCCGGAATGTTGACATTCATCACTCGGAAGCATTGTGTTTTGTATACTCATGAGTTACTGTCGAATTACTAGTGCTCATGGTCATTGTATTACCACCGAAGCAGCTCCGGGTATAATTGAACATATGAAGAATTTCACATAAATCAGCGCAGATTGAGGAAAGCTTTGTAACGTCTGCTCATTTTCCCGGCTTCAAGCCAAGGAGCTGCTTGCATTATTAGGGACTCCACCCTCAGCTTCAGCCGCACCCACAACAACAAGAAAGAAAGAAAGAGACAAAAAATAAAATAAAAATAAAATAAAATAAAAATGAAAAATAAAAAAACGAATGAGAGTCTGTGTATTTGATAGTCTGTACGGAGTAGTACTACTATCTAGATTAGCCACCCCCGATAACTATTATTTCGAAATTGTTGTTAACCCCCGCATCGGCTCCAGAAATATCGCCGACAGGATGATGAGACTTCCCACCCTCCCTCCCCTCATCCAAAAACTATGGCCTAACATCGAGTAGTATGATAGAGTGCTCAGCTGAATGGGCGGTGAGTGAATTGAAGCTGCCAGCTGAATCAGTGAGTGACAAAGTAACTAATTAAATAACTAACTAGTTAGTACTTTGGCGTCCTGATTATTCCATGGTAGCGATTGATGGTGGTGGGCTTTTGGTTTGAGTGTGACCCACTGCGGCGCCTCCCTACAGTTTCGCTTGACCGATCAACTCAGTTATGAAGCCCATGTTTGTCACATCTACGGTTACATCAATGAGACATTAATGGGTGGAATAATGGTGTCTTGAAGCACGGTGGTATTATCCACGTTGGCGGGGAAGGATGGTTGGACTTAGCATGACATAGCGACCGCTGGGTTATGTGGTACATGTTCAATATTAAATCATCATAGTTACTATGTACTTGACTTTAGGGAATACATAATCACGGAAGAACATTGTCGTCATCAACTTGGGCATTACCAGGCACCAGGCCTTAGGAAAGAGGAATGTAGCTGTCCTCACAGAACATATACAAGTTCGTGGTTCTCCCAGTCCGTTAGATCCATCCATCTAGTATACGGTTAGATAGGTATGTAACAATATCGGAAAGACACATTGACTTACTCTTGGTTCTCCATTGGTGCGTATCCTGGGCTTGCACGGATACGGGCCTTCTTCTCGTTCTGTATACGGTACCACCACCAGATAAACGCGAGAATGAACAGGCAGACGCCCCAGCAGACAATGATGGTGATCTCTGCAGGAACATAGCGTGGTGCGTCCTTGGGACGGAAGACTTGGGGGCCTGAATTTGATATTTGTCAATTGTTGAAGTTTCAAGAATGCAGAACGGGATGAAATCATACCAATGATGTTTCCTGCACAGTATCCGATCAGGTAGATAGCCGCAACAGTCGTCTTCTTCGTGTAGCCAGCTACGTTCGAAGAAATCATGGCGAGCAGTGCCACGAACGGCGTGGCGCTTGCCAGCGTCATGTAGTAACCTATTAAGCGACCGACATTATTCGAGAGAGGGAGTGCAACGACGAGTACCATGCCGATAATGGAAGCTATGAGACCGCCCGTGCTGCAGAGAAGCTGTTGGTTGGTGTATTGTCCGAGAAAGCCGCTTCCGAGCAGGGAGATGACTTCGATGGCTCCGGCGGGGACACCGTAGATCAGACTTTGTTCTTCTGTGTACCCAAAGCTAGTAATCTGCAGACTGGTCAGTAAATATTAGGCTGAACATTGTAAGGCGAACGAACCAGCTGGCTGAAGAAGTTCGTAATGCCGCCGTTGGGGATATCCGCGATAAGGGCATAGAAGAAAAAAGCCCATGTCATAGGATCCAAGAGAGCTTCCTTCACTTGGTGAATCTTGAAATGCTTGTTACCGATTCCTTGCTGGTTGACACGCACACGCGCAAGGGCAAGAACGCGGTCTTCTTTCTTGAGCCATCTAGCGTTGAGCTGATTATCTGGCACGACCCAGAGGAAAACAAGTCCCAGACAAACTGTTAGAAGGCCGGTCACAAGGAAAATGATCTTCCAAGGCTCAATGGAAGAGCCATGGCGATCGGTCCCAACGGCAATGCCGTAAGCGACCAAGCCGCCGAATATCTGGCCCCATCCGTTGAAGCTGAACCAGATGTTGACTCGACTGCCCTGTTCTGCTTTGGTATACCACTAATATGTATAAGAGATGATTGAAAATTGGCAAAGCAGGATGATAGCGAAACTCACCTGAGAGGTCAGCAAAGCAAAACCGGGGGTGACAGACGCTTCAAAAACGCCGAGAAAGAATCTAGAGGTAAGTAATCAGTAACTGAAGTGACATAGGGTTCGACGAAGAGGCCTATTTACCGGATGGCAATGGCGCCAGAGAAGTTACTGACTGCAGCAAAACAGCAAAGAATCGCTCCCCAGATTATAATGCAAGCGGCAGAGTACTTTCCCAGTGGAAGCCTCTGAAGGAGCCGGTTGGTCGGGTATTCCCATGCCAGGTAGCCTTCATTGTGTCAGCCCAGCGCACCATATCTTACGTTGTTACTATCCAGGCACACGAACCGAAATAGAACAGACTACCAAGCCATTGGTAATCGTCGCCGACGAGGTTCAGATCTGTCTTGATGCCCATAATACTAGCGTAGGACAAAGTTGTCTCTGTTAATCGTTAGTATAAACCTTGGGAGGCTACCGCGGGATACACTAACTGTCTAGGAAATTCATTCCATAGACAAGACACATAATTGGCATTATGTGCCAGTCGATTGTCCGAAGTATTCTTTTGTTCGTCTCCTCATCGAGTGTGATGACTTCACCGTGGAGGTCTTCGAAGACCGCCAGTGCCTCGTCTGCATCCTTCGTATGCTTTGCCATTGTCGGGTCAATTTCCTCTGTTGTGCCAGTCTCCTCATCCACCGTCATCGGTGGGGGAGACTTTTCAGTCTTCTCATCCGCCATGTTAGATCTTGGCCGAGGAAAGAGAGTTAATTGGGTGACCACGGGTAGCGGGAAGGAAGGGAGAGGTTGTTAGTAGTTATCGGAGAGTTTCACAACTTGGCGACAGCTGTCCCCTTTAAAGAGGCGCCAGCTCTTTCCGAAGGCTCGTCATCCGACACCATCGGAAGCACAATGAGGCGAGTTTCTTTTATCTAACTTGTCGCAGGGGGGTCTCACCCGCAGACCTCGGTGATAAGCCGCTGGTCAATGTTATCTGGTATCAATCTGGGGTAACGGACGAGGAGCTAGCTTATCGATGGAACCAATGGGTCCATGTTTTCCAGCCGAAGGCCCACTTGGAATGTCTTGGGCAAGGGTGAGGGGAAGCACTGGGATGGCTTTTGGATGTACTAGTTAGTAATGATGATGAGGGGAAGCAGAGAGGCGATCACACGAAGGTTGGGGCGATACCAGCTGGAGACCAATGAGGACCGGCATCGGGGTCTTATCCATTGGATGGAGTAGCCGAGAGCAAGCTCGAGCATCCAACTAAACTAGTAAAGTTTCAAGGATGGAGATAGGACAAGGATGGGAATGGAACGATGGAAGGATAATAGCTGCATGGATCAACCCTTATCACGCGACGGACATGGCGTCCCAAGCCCGCATGGCGCCGTGCTGTCAGTCAGACCTAATGCCTCGGGCTGGGACAAACAGACGGGTATAGGGGTAGTAACGTTTTAGCGACGGTCAGGGCAAAACATTGCTGGAGAGTCAAGTTCTTTAATTTTGCCATATACTTTCGGAAGTCCCGTATTTCTGCTGACGCTGACTTGGATGCAAGACAGCAGTGCTTATCTGCGACGACAATTAAGCTTATCACCGCCCTTATCAGCCACCCGTCGCCATTTTCTCTACGCAAGAGTTACTACTTCGCAGCCTGCTTATCTGCATCAAATCGTCGTACCGCATTGATCCTTGTGCCACACCATAGTAGCCTGCAGGATCAATACCGTTTGGACATCCGATGCCGCAGTCTGACTACCCGTGCTCGACATTGGTCCGTTTCCGCTTCCGTATCCGTTGCGGCAAGTTGCATTTCTATATCATTCATAACCATCAGAACTTCGATCCTCCTTTTATAGTATTAGTTTCCGCCGACACGGGCCAGGTAGGCTTCCCACCCCTCCTTCTGATACTGTTGCGCAGCCTGCACCGGATCCGGCGCGGCGTAGATACCGCGACCCGCGATAATGAAGTCAGCACCCCGGCCGATAGCCGATCCGGGCGTCTGGTACTGCTGACCAAGCTTATCTCCCTTGGAAGAAATGTTCACACCAGTCGTGAAGACCACAAAGTCCTCCTCATCCGAAGGAGAGCTGACTTCCGACTGCACCTCACCCAACGAGCGCGTCGACACGAATCCCATAACGAAGTTCTTGTATTTCCGGGCATAATCGACTGAGGAAGTAGTGTACTGGCCGGTAGCCAAGGAGCCCTTAGAGGTCATCTCTGCCAAGATCAACAGACCGCGTTCGGGGCCGTAGGCGAAGTCCGGTGCAGACGCCGTCTGAGCGAGAGCCTCGACGATACCCTCACCAGGGAGAATGCTGCAGTTGATGATGTGGGCCCATTCCGAAATACGGAGGGTACCGCCGTGGTATTGCTTCTGGACAGTGTTGCCGATGTCAATGAACTTGCGGTCCTCGAAGATGAGGAAGTTGTGCTTCTGCGCGAGAGCCTTAAGTCCCTCAATGGTCTCGTTGCTGAAATCAGAGAGGATATCGATGTGGGTTTTGATCACGGCAATGTAGGGACCGAGACCTGCAGTCCGGTATCACCGTTAATAAGTTTGCATGCAGCATAATCAGGCAGAGTAGCGGGTCGGCCTACGGTCAGCAAGATCTAGTAGCTCCTTAGTGGTGGTAACGTCGGCCGAGACGGTCACATTGGTCTTCTTGGCCTCAGCAATTTCGAACAGCCTCTTGGCCAGAGCATTGGGGTGCTTGCTGGCACGGGCAGTGTAGGTCAATTGCGACTTGGAGGACATGGTGTTGGTGGAGGGGTTAATGCGGGGATGGAAAGAGGATTGTATAATGAGAGTAGTTCGAAGTTTCGACTGGTGGACCCTGATTGGTAAATCCAGAGATGCGCAGATACTACTGAATAATATAGCAGTGATTGACCCTTATATCTGAAGGAAGACCAACGTCAACGTTCAATGTCGACAAGAAAAAGCAAGCTCAGTAAAATCATCGCGAGCCCCTCCACGCACCAGCCACATCGGGGGGTGGATTGCTCCGCCTCCGACCCGTGGGGTTCAGCCACACCTGCAAAGGCGGAGTTTCCTTGCCATTGACTGTGCCACTCCCGAGGTCCATTGGAGCTCGTATTCCCTGCAGCACATGGAGAAATAGACCACGTCAGTCAGATTGCCATTGTCATTGCCGACCCTAGCAGCACGCATAGTAAAATGCGTTGAATAGTAGTATACAGTAGAGATTATTACATATAGCTGGTATAGCCAACATCGCCAATCACCTCAATCACACCTACGGATTCAGTCCAAACTTAAAAGTAGGAAATCAACTCCCTCGCAACTCCGAAAGACGTCAAGCCCCAGAGAGCTCCCTGTGCAAGCAAGTAGAAGCTGCCGTACAAACGACCGCGACCCCGCGGCTTGCCGGAGTACACGTATCCGTAAAGGAACAGTGAGCGACCGAGGACCCAGATGCTTCCGAGGCCAGTCGCCAACTGGGGGTACTTCAGTCCAGCTACCAGGAGGAAGAGCATAGTTTGGCTGGAGTTCTCAAGGAAGTTGGCATGAGCGCGCTGAGCGCAGTTGAACTGCTCGGCCTTGGGCTGCACGGTTGGGAATGTATGTTAGCTCGAGGAATCCTGTTTGTGTGAGGTTCACTTACGTTGGTCTTGCACTGCTCTACGGTCGCATAGCAGTGAGGGTAGGGGCAATCAGCTTCCTTGCGGAGACGAGACACGACGGCGCCATGGACGAAGCTCAGGACGGGGATGGCACCCAGAGCGACGGCAATGACGGAGCTGCAGGATAGTTAGAATCAGACTTCATGGGGGAGAATGGCATTGTCTGCAGGGATTGTAGAATTGGCACATACCCGTAGTTTTCGGGAACGGTCAGGGTAAGCATGATGGGTGATATTTACTTGTGGTGTTCTCAGCTTGAATCTGCTATGACTAGGCGGTATTAGGAAGTCTAGAAGATGCCGAAAGTAGTTCGATTTATAGTCGGGCGATTGATGGGGCGCAAGAGCGGCCGGATGCGGATCCAGAGCATCCTTGGCGGATCCCCGAAGACCCGACGCCGACAGCGTTGCCATTCAGCATCCGGAGAATAAGTCAACCGCGAAGAGAACATTGCAGCGAGCAAGATGAATGAAACAGAAACATCTAGAGGATTCCATTGTGAGGAGCACTGATGGTACAGGATCGTTTACTTTGGTTGCTTTGCTTTTCAAAAAATGGCTGAAGTTGTTGGCATTTATTTACTATTTACATCTATGGCAAACAGCGGACAAGTGCGTGCTTCTACATTCACATTCGGCTCACACTGCCATACTTCGCTTGCCAGGCAAAGAAGTACAGCAATGCTCCCAAAGGCTGGCCGACAAGACAAAAACTAACCCAGAAAATGGAATTGCCTATCACCTTCCCAGTAGGGTCTTGGATCTTCTCTAATGGGGCGGTGATAATGATCAGCGGTAGTTGAAACATCATGCCCGCAAATGCCACACCTGACTTGGTTAGTTTGGGCCCAAAAACAAAGCGGGAGAATGATGCATACCGATCAAGTTATGCGTGGGAATTCCCACAAGGACCTCATGCAAGACAGCAGAGAGAGCGAAGACAACCGTGCTCGCTGCAAGAGGATGCCACCCACGACCAACAAGCGGCGAATAAACATGTCTCTTCATGAAGAGGTATACAGGTCGGTTCCATGACCGCCAATACACCCCAAGACTGGAGCTATTCCACCAATCAGTGTAGAATTCACGGTCTCCAAACCGCATCACCTCGGCCAAAGCATTCAACAGTGACTGGAAGAGCGCAAAGAACCCCGCCAGCCAGATGATAAGAGAAATGGTGGACAGTTTCATCACGCGCTCCAGAATAGATGCGATATCCATGACGGCAATCTTGTCGATCGAATTGCGCAAAACGGGAGCTGCATACTGAGCAGATAGAAGCCAGATGAAGACGGCTAGGCAGAAGAACTCAGACAGGCGTTTGGCCACGAACGACCACCGGATGTGTGACGTCCTGGGGTATACCGGCTGATAGACTAGCGTAGGTGCTAACCAAAAGTAGATCAGGTTCCCCAAGGTGATATTGTTGGGGTATGGGCAGGTCGAATAAATTTCCGGGAGGGCGGACTCGACAGAAGGGTTGAGCATGGCCTCGCGGAGGTCGCGATTGGTGAAGGCATACGAACATATCTTGAACGACACAATAAGAGCTTGAAGCTCGCAAAGGGTTCCAATGCCCGGGTGGTGAACGTAGAAATACACGACAAAGCTCGTAATTCCCAAACTTAGAAGGGTGTTCACGCAGTGGAAGAATGCAGAGATCCACCATGTGTTTTTGAAGATGCGCTGTTCGGTCTCATGTGCCTCGGTCGAACCATCCTTTTTCTTCTGGCCAACAATCTTCTTTGCCTGCCGTGCCGCAGCCAGCTCTATGAGATAGGAGACGTAGAGGTGGAATGGGACGAGGGCAAAGAGAGCGGAGCCGAGCACAACATCCTGCCTTCGATAATCGTGGCACCTGATGCAAATTAAGACACCATACTATCCGAAGAGGTCAGCTAGGCTTGTATTGATGAATGTTGATCCTCAGACATGGCTTACTTTCATGAAGTTCTCAATGATGAGCCGGAGGTTCATTGCGACTAGATCCGGAAACAAAGCATTAGCCAGAAGCGGACACACGGCCAAGGAGGATGGGGAGGCCAACCCAACACTATGACCATAAGATTTCGGAAGCCCAGGAAACTCGTCGTGACGTTGGGTTCGCGACTGAGACTGGAATGCCGAATTTTCGAATGGTAGGCTTCCACATGACGATATTTGCTTCTCCTTCTCCAGTTGGTCTTGGTGGCGCCATTCGTCCCTTTGGAAGGATGACCGTTGGAAGCTTTCCCGTTCATGGGCTTTTGCGGGGATGTGGGGATGTCAGTCCCAGTACTGATAGCAGTACCAGGGCTATGTGACGCCTCTTGGGTAGGAGACATGTTGATTTTGCTGTGGGAAACGAGCCACCTTTTACAGTGGAGTGGTGTCACAAGCCCGAAGTATAGGGAGACTTCTAGTTAGCAGCTTGTCTGGCCTCGGTTCAAACCAATTGCGGGAAATAGCTTAGAACGCAGGACACAGAATCCCACCAGGGCGCGTCGTCCGCGATGAACATGACAGAACACAGGACAAGTGTCAGAGGCGAGGGGGGGAAGGGAGGGATGAGGTAGTGGTTTTAAATAATAATAGCCACAGGGAACAGCAGCGGGGGTTGCAGGGGAAGAACGCATAATTGCGGCGTCGCAACGGCCTGGCCTCAGGCCGATCCAGGCCGTTGCGGGCCTAAAATTCATGGCAGCGCAGCGGCTGGCTTTGGCGCGGCCAATGACGGTCGCGCAGTCAAGGGCGGTTGCTCTTCATTCGACGCTCCGACGCCCAACGCCATCACCAAAGCGACAATCAAACCAAGCGCTGCTTCTGCTCCTGCTGCATGCACGACATGGTCGATTGGCTCTAGCTGGGGATCTTACCACCAGGTTGAGCATCGGCTAGCTGTCATTGCTTCCTTCCATTTGCCTCCCCTGTCATGCTAGCAACTGTCCATCCGCTTCCTCCGTCATCCTTTCTTTCTTCCCTGTAAACCTACCTGCGTTCGGCAGTGCGCTTTGTCGCAATGGCTTTCTACGACGACCCTGGGAACGATTCCCAGCCATTTGGAAGGCCCCCTAAATCCTACGAAGGAGGGATTGCTGGGCCGCGACGACCGAGTACGTGTGATCCGATCCTTTGTCCCGATGCGTTCACATTTGTTTACCCCTCTACCTTCGTTTTCCTTTCGGCGAAGTTAACCGTCGCTTGTAGGACTCGTGACGGACTATGGATCATCAATGGTGCAATGGATACGCACACGGAAACCCCGCTATAAAGGAGGTCATCAGATTGAGGTGGAAAGGCCTAGTGCAAGCTATGTTGTGGATGTAAGTGCGACAGATTTCCGCGCACATTCTGATACGACTCTTCGACTAACACGAGCGGAATTTTCTTTGTTAGATGCTCCCCCCTCTTGCACGAGTCCATTCTCCGGCGGATACTATACCAGTGCGGCATTTACATCAGTCGATTGGAAAATCGAAGAAACCGATCACTGTCGTACGATGGACACCGGAAGGAAGACGCCTGCTAACGGGAGGCCACACGGGCGAATTCATGCTATGGAATGGAACTGCCTTCAACTTCGAAACTGTCATGGATGTGGGTGTCGCTCGGATACATTTATCCCGTAGCCGAAGATTTTTGTTGCTGATGGTTGAATAGGCACATTATGATCAGCTACAAGCTGGAGTAACCTCCTTAGCTTGGTCCCACAGTCATGACTGGTTAATATCCGGAGGACAGAAGGGTGACGTGAAGTATTGGCGACCTAACTTTAACAACGTCGAGACGATCGATGACGCACATCACGATGCTGTACGCGATTTGGCATGGTCACCAAGTGATACTAAATTCCTCTCCGCATCCGACGACACAACGCTGAAGATATTCGATTTCACCGCGAGAACTTGCGATACCGTTCTTACCGGTCACAACTGGGATGTCAAATCCTGCGACTGGCATCCCACCAAAGGTCTCCTTGTGTCTGGGTCCAAAGACCATCAGGTCAAGTTCTGGGATCCGCGCACAGCAAGATGCTTGACAACGCTCCATAGCCACAAGAATACCGTCACAGCGACGAGGTTTTCCCGCGTAAACAATAACCTTCTAGCTACATCCTCTCGGGATCAAACGGCGAGAGTTTTCGACTTGCGCATGATGCGAGATATTTGTATCCTCCGAGGCCATGAGAAGCCCGTCTCCTCTCTAACATGGCACCCGATTCACAGCTCTCTCATATCTACAGGTAGTGAGGACGGGTCTCTATATCACTATTTGCTTGATGAACCAAACCTGCCCTCCGGGCAGATCCCTACAATTGCGCCATATGACAGCAACGACCCGGCTAACACGCCGGCGCAGGTGATCTACCCTGCCCACAAGGTACAGTACGCGCACGGTGCCACCATCTGGTCCCTCGACTGGCATCCTCTGGGTCATATTCTTGCATCCGGATCTAAAGATAACTTCACACGGTTCTGGTCCCGTGCCAGACCCGGAGAGACTAGTTACATGAAGGATAGGTTCCACATCGGAGAAGAAGCGGCGGAGGCCCAGGGTACATGGAGCCGGGGCTTCGGACGGCGGCAGATGCGTGAGGAGGAAGAACAAGAACTTCAGGATGAGGCAGAGAGCTTGGTCGATCAGAAGAAACCGGCCGGAATGTCGTCTCTTCCCGGAATTCAATTCGCACCACCCGGCGCCGCACCACAGCCAGACGGGATGGGTTCGATACTGCCAGGGATTGGGGCTCCCCAGCCCCCACCCCAGCCGGGGTTTTCCACTTCAATGCCGCAAATGGATCCTGGGCGTCTAGCAGCTCTTTTGTCCAATCAACCGCCCCCTCAGCCGAACAATTTCCCTCCCACAACGGGACTGCCAGGGTTTCCCATGCACCCTGCTATGTCGGGGACACCTCCGGTGAACGTTGACCTGGCAGAACTGCAGAAGCAGCTTCTTTCTCAAGGAATTTCGCTGCCCCAGAACGTTCCGCCGCCAAATTTTCCTGGCATGCCCGGGGGCCTTCCCGGCCTGCAAGGGAGCAGTACGCCTGATCACGGATACGGAAGATGATTCCAGCTGTGGTCCATAGTGCTCATAACTTGGTTGGTCTGGATAAGAGGCAGATTGACAGGTCACTAGGCTTCTGGTATGGCCTTGATGGCTTTCAGCGGACAATATGTATTATAGTCGGTTTCGATGAGGACCTGCGCTCTCGGCCATATTTTGTCGATAAAGCTGTCCATGAGTAACTGCTATCGACACAGCAGGTAAGGGGAATGTTATGTGATCATGAAAGTATCCCGATTCGGCTTCGGTTTTGCCTTCGGTCATAATCCACCTGGGATAGGGAAGCTAGATAGGATGAGGACCAACACATTGATACCACCCCACAAAAGGGGGATCCAGGTCGACATTCTGAAATTACCCGCTTCGTAAACTGCACCTAAGCTATCAACTAGTCAGTTCGCTGCCAGTAGTATGGAACGTAGCATCAAGAGGACTCACACGAGGCCAATGATGCTCCCCGCTAAAAGCGCCTCTAATCCACCTATGACCATGTATACCAAGGGAACTGCAAGACAAGCCTTCCAGCTCCGGCATTGCATGGCCACGGCCCATGCCGCCACCAGTAGATGGCTTGCGCCATAGAAAATCAAGGTCCAGTATAGAGTAAAACGCCAAATATCCTTATTGTAGTAGAGATAGTATGCACCGGTACTCGTCGTCGGAAAGAGCTCGTAGAGGGACGGAAAAGGAGGTGTTTGATAATTGATGGGAACCCGATTGTCGGCCATTTGGCTGCGAAAAGGCTACCTGGACTGCCACCAGGATTAGTGTAGGGTCATAAGACGAGCACGACCAGGTGAATCGGCCGACCGCGACTGATGCGGACATATACCACGGAGGCCAGAAAGGGTCGCGAAGCTGATAAGATCCGCTCGGAACGGAGGAGCTCGTGGTTTGCACTGTTTGCTTCTCGGCGCAACGAACCTCGGCAGGTGATCTGGGGTTCTCCGCGGCAACTGGAAGCAGCTGGTTTCCGTTATCTCCCATACCTCTCTGTCAGTCTCACTTGAGTTGTGTCTAATGTCCACTTCAGTGGTTGCACCATTGACGCCCATTCGACATTATGGCGACCGAACGCTCTTTGGGCGCTCTTCTGAGATCGCTTCAATACTCATCTGACCTTCAGGATGTCTTCACGTATGATAGCCTCCCCCTCTCCGCTTCCCGGCTGCGCGGACGCAACTGACCGACTTCGCTAGTTTGCTTCCCACGGCGACAAGCCTTTTGACCGTCCTTGGAAATCCTCTGAATATTACTCTGCTCGCATCGCAGCTGCTAGCAACCCCAGCCATTTGGGACCGCCCTGTCGATCTTCTCACGTGTCGCAAGATCCTCAGCATATTTAACACAGCCGCCATCGCGATAGTACAAAGCGAAGCTTCTGACGACTCGAGGACGCCCTACACAAAGGCTAGGAAGATTGAACGTGAGGACTGGGTCAAAGCTGTTGTCAATGGAGCGGATGATAAGTCACCGCGATGGAGACACACAATCTTGATTGGGGGGTTACTGCTGGGATTCGAGGGACAGAACAGACAGGGGTTGCCGTGGCACGTCCGGCGGAAGCTGGAAAGGGCGCTTGTGACGGCTGCACAGCTTGCGCTCGAGGAGCTGGATCCTCGGAATGAGATTGACGGTCGTTGTGTCACCATGGTTCTGAACTACTCCTTTGAACTGCTATCGGACTCCGAAAGGAGCAAGCTTGACTACGACGTCTTGCTACCCGTCATGGTCAATGCGACCTATGCATCACCTGAAGGCTTGGAGGGAGGATACTTCCTAGGTACTGTGGACAAGGACATCGTGGAAGCCCCTGGCAAGCAATTCCAGTGGTTGGCACAGTCTGACACGTTTGCTCGTGTGACGGCGATCTCATCTAGCCCTCTCGTGTCTGCCCTAGGGCCTCTGTCCCGGCTCATGGCGCATGCCATTGAAAACGCAAAAGACCCTGGTCTGGTCGCTCGGACTTTGGACCACATCACGGACTTTGTGCGTACACTTATGGTGCAGTGGCGGCTCAACAAGTTATCGGAGGTCGACAAATCCGAGGAAGCGGAGTTCCTTGACGCCGAGTCGTTGAGGACCACCATCCCAGGACTTTGGAGACTGCTTCGTAATTGCTTGTATTCCATTGTCATTGTTCTCCGGGCTGTCCTGGGAAGAGTGATCAACGACCCTGTATTGGCTGCTCACCGCAGTGCTCCGTTCATATCCATGCAGGTTCTCCATATTCTGCGGAATCTCTATTTCATATCATCCCGCATGGGCCAGAACGCTTCTTCGCAGCACATGTTCGTGACCTTAACAGCCGTGGATATCCTCTCACATTATCCAGATCTAGCCGAGAATTTTCTGAGAAGCATCAAGCCCAGTGAGCTCGGCCAGATCCCCGACCATCCTATCGAGCGATGCCTGGACTTGTTCTTCCTCAACACGTCGGAGCTTTTTACACCCTTGCTATCACCCGCATGCAGCGAAGAGCTTCTCGTTGCAGCAGCCGTTCCCTACCTTCCAGCAGGCGGAAACAACCATCTCCTCGAGATCTTTGAAGCCGCCCACAGCACGGTCCTTGCCGTATTCGCCATCCCGAACAACGCCGCCGTAGCAGCCAAACATCTCCCATTCTACATCGACAACCTATTTGCTGTAAGATACCTTCTCACCATCTCTAGAGTTCCCCAGCTAATAATCCTTTCCAGGTATTCCCCGAAAACCTCTCAGCCCGTCAGTTCCGGCTAGCCTTCAAAACCGTCATCCAAGTCACGGCACCCCCCTCCCCAATCGCCAACACCCAGCGTCTCCTCCCATCCATCCTCCTCGAAGTTCTCTACGACCGAGCACTCCACGCATCCGACCAGCTGCTCCCCCAACCATCATCCACGCAACTCGAGGGTCCCGACCTGGGCAAATCCCCGCCCGTGTCGGAACAAGCAGCCCTGACCCTCGCGCTTATTGACAGTCTCTGTTTCTTGCGCGTCGAAGACCTTGAGGAGTGGCTTCCTCTCACGGCGCACTTGCTCAACACCATCAAGACCCCGGATATGCATAAGCAATGCGTGGAACGGTTCTGGGAGGCGCTGAGTAGCGGCGAGATGGATGTTGAACGAGCACATTTCTGTGTGACGTGGTGGAGTACGCGTGGTGGGAGGGAGCTCGTCCTTTACGGGGATGAATTTGGGGCCGATGCGGAGCATAGGCATGATGAGGCTGAGGGGCAGGGACAGGAACAGGGGGCGTATATGAGTGGTGCTCTTGGTGCGGTGGCGAGGGAGAGTAAGCTTTAGCTTCTCTGTCTGTTATCTGTGGGGTTGTATATAGGGATGTGATTTTACAGCATGGGTCACGATAGCCACGGCGTCCACGGAGCATTGATACCTTTGCCATTTAGCGATGAAATCCACTTTTCTTTTACTGCATATTATATACTAATCACTTGATTATACAATCCCTCCATACCTCCCTGTCCAGTACTCCACGAGAAACAAACAATATATGTATCATATCAAAGATCCCAATCCAACAATCAATGAATCCCCGGAATCCCCACCCAACTCCTCTTCCTATACCGCTCATACTCCTCCCCAAAGAAGGCAACCAGGAACTTCTCCTCCCCTATCACAAATCGATTAGCACACACCCCCAAAACCAAACGCAAGAAAAAGAAGTAGGACTTACTCCAAATCCTCCCACTAAAAAACCTCCACAAGACAACCGCATACGCTACAAAACACACCCCATTCCCAAGAACCAACTGGGTCCCCAACCCCCACCAAAAGAACCCAAAGTAACTCGGATGTCTCAACACACTATACACACCCCCGGTGACAAGCACATGCCCTTCCCTGCGCGTAACCTGCACCGTATGATTAAAGTTACTGCCCGCCTGCGCCATGGCCACGCTGCGGATCGTCTGGCCCAGGACCATCAGCAGTAAGCCAACGGCTACTTGGTAGGCCGTAAGAGAGGAGGGGAGGTATAACGGCACCGGGCGGGCGGTGAAATATGTATGCATGAGGAGACATTCGAGGATCGCGGAGCCGTGGGCGATGTTATAGGCCCAGCCGTTGGAGGTGAGGAGGTAGGCGGAGACGGTGGCGAAATGGGTGTTGTATGCGGCGGTGGTGTAGTATTCGAGGAAGTGGAAGAGGGAGAGAGAAGAGAGGAAGAAGGGGATGCGCCAGAGGGGCGTGTATAGGGGGTCGTAGAGGAGGGAGAGGATGGTTAGGGTTGTGGTGACGCCGAGGACGGTGCCGAGGAGGTAGGCGCGGATGGAGATGGCGGAGAGGGATTTGGAGCCGTTGGGGAGGATGGAGGTGTCGAAGGTGGTGGTGTGGTTGTGGTTGTTGGTGGGTGGTGGTGGTCGGTATGGGCGAAATGGTGGTGATGGGGATGGGGAGGGAGAGGGGGAGGGAGGGGAGTGGGACATTGTTGGTCTTCTTGTGGTGGTGGTGGTGGTGGTTGTTGTTGTTGGGTGTAGTGGAGGTTGATGTTGGTGGTGAGAGAAGATCTGCTGGTGTTGTCAAGGGATTGTCATGCTGAAGAGGGATCTCGATGATGTTTATATGGAGTTGTGAACAATCGCGGGAGTTTTGGAGAACAATATTAATTGCGATCCAATGCGGAGGAGCTCCGACGGAAAGGCTTCTGATTGGTGGGCTGCGGGTACTTGGTCTGTGGTAATGTGATGGGTCGCTGCGCGAGAGGCAAAGTGACTTATTCTACAGGAGATAGTTGATGTGTCTTGTGGAAATGGCACGGAGAGAGTTGATAGATGCTGGATTGAAGATATTGCCATCAAGCTTTGGACAAACTGTTATACTATGTTGGAGGGTTGTGTGTCCTGAATGATAACTTAGAGGATGCTGGCGATACGGCAGGTAGAATAGGCTATCTCTGGACAGCTTGCAGTCATACTTCACTGTATCTTATAGTCCATATTATCATGTGATGAATCAATGGCAATGGAAATCCTGTTGCTGCCAGGCCAGGGCAATCAGAAAAGAGTAAAGTCTACTAAGATCCATCATCCATCTGACGGCCCGCAGTGCAAGTCCCGACTAAACTCCGGATTCACCCCCGCCTTGATTCTTGATAACGCAACAAAGGAATTACTCTCCGGCTGTCCCGTTCGAAAGACAACCATGGATCTGCAAGAGAATCGAGAACGCATGCGCCGCGGCGAGCTCTACCATGCCTTCGTCTCTGATCTCACAGCTGATCGAGCGCGTTGCGCCAGTGCCTGTCGCCGCTTCAACAATGCAGGTGACGTGTCTCGTCGACAGTCCCTCGAGTTGTGGAAAGAGTAAGTGAACATAATTGAGTATATGCTCCCCACGCCGGAATACAACCACGGCAGGCTCCACGCGGATGGAACAGTCGTCCACGGCATGGCGGTTACAGCCGGGCTGACAGGAACAGCATCGTGGGTGATACCACCCCTCTCCCGCCTCCCAGTCAGGATCCCGCCGAGGATGATAAGCTCTTAGCGAAGCATCCTTGGATCGAGCCTCCCATTCGCATGGACTATGGGTACAATGTGAAGGTGGGAGAAGGCGCCTTCATCAATTTCGACTGTGTTATTATCGACACCTGCTTGGTGACCATTGGGGCGCGCACCTTGTTCGGTCCCAAGGTCAGTCTTTATAGTGGCACGCACCCTCTTGATCCGGCCGTGCGCAATGGAACGGAAGGTCCAGAATCAGGCAAAGAAATACATATTGGTGAGGATTGCTGGCTCGCAGGGAATGTGACTGTGTTGCCGGGAGTGACGATCGGAAAAGGTGCGGTTATTGGGGCTGGAAGTGTGGTGACCAAGGTGAGTTCGAGACAGCTTACCATTCCTGGTATTTTGTGAGAGGGTCGAAAATGGTCTTTGCTGATAACGATGATTGCTATGTCAGGATGTTCCCGCATTTCATTTGGCTGTGGGAAACCCAGCGAGAGTGATTCGCAAGATTGAGACCTCGATGAAGGAGTAATTGGATCTAGTTAATTGCTTATGCTCTCCCAGCAATGCATCTAAAATAGGGTTGGGTCGGTCGTGGTTAATCCTGCACGTAAAACACTGTAATTACCCAAGATCGTACATAAATAGATATATCATAAACAGGGATCTGCCGACTCGGCACAAGTCACACAAACATTCTTCTCTATGTCCCCGACGCGCAGGGTTGGGGTGTTAATTCACCATGATCGACAGCACAGTGGGGACGGAGAAAAAAGGACCCTGGAAACAGGCAGAATGGGTTGCTGACACTTGACAACGGTGCCCGAGTCGGAACGCACTAATTAGCAATAATGGGTTGATTGATTTGCTGGGCGTGATGGGAGATAACCCCACGCTAGGAAATGAGCTGGAAAGCTTCAAGTGGAGATGGGGGCAATTAAGCTCCAGGGGAAGAGAGGGGCTCTAGCTGGGTTTGGAGTAGGCAGATGGAGGCAGATGGAGGTTGGCTCGCCTAAGCGGCGGGGAGGAATGCGATCATGATGTGCCCCTGCAGCTCCCCTGCCTATCCAAGTACAGCTGGCAGGTGAAAAGGTAGACAGGTAGTAGGTACCTTCGCTAGGTACTTCTGTGGACTTAACTATCTTTCACTGTAGGTTCAGATGGCATACATCTGGCAGTACCGTTCAACCTGGCGCCTCCTCCCAAATATTTCCGTCTACTTGGGGAATTTCTCCTAGGGCTGGCTGGTGGGGACAATGGGAAGTCATAGGCAGGGGAGAGCCATCACCAGAATTTGAGGCATGCACGAAATGAAACAAATGTCCGATAGGAACACTTTGACGTTAGTGATGTCTTTCCGCGGATGACAGAAGTACCAGCCAACGGTAACACAAGCGTTTGGGTGAAATTCTTAACGAAAAGAGCATTGGGATGGGTGGCTGCTTGCTATGCGTCCTTATTTGGTCTGGGCCCAATGGCACCGATGGATTTTAGTTTACTTTTGGGTGTTAATTAATCCTTTTGTCCAGTATTCGGGTTCAATTCATGTTCTCTCCCCCTCTCAGGGTGATCTTCGCTTTGTTGGCAGTCCAGACCGAGTCCATTCTCACTCCATGCGTGAGCAACGAGGGAACCATTACTACGCATACAGATGAAAATTGGTAGCACAATTAATCCAGCGAACCGGATTGAGGGAGCTTCCAGGTAACAACAGTAGCGACAATACTACTACTTACTATTCCTAATACTAGGCAGATGCAATCTTGGCTTCTTCCCCCACCAACCAAAGCCAACTTACTATCTTCTAGCGCTGCAGGTGAAAACCAAAAAGGGATGTATCATGGAGTAGTAGATGATGGACGGAATATCCCGAAATAAAGATGAAAAGACAATTTCATGGATTAGATATATGTTACAAGAAGAACCAACTAGAAGAATGATAAATAGGTCGATCGAAAGAAGATTAAAAAAAGAAAAAAAGAGAGTAAAGAAGAAAGTTCGTTATCCATCTTCTCATCTTTTTTCCAACCCTTCCAGGCCGATCCCCGATTCGCCCTGGACACCCGCCAATCCGTTGCTCCACCGCAACGTCAGAGCTGGACCTTTCAGTTAGTTCTTCTGCTCTGCTCGTCCTCCATCTCAATTCTTCACTGTCGCATTTGACCTGAACCAGTTGCTCCGCATCCCTCCATCCCCTCTCCAGCTAGTAGCTGTTTGTTCAGCTTTGGTCGGTCATCGACCTGCCCTCTCTCTCTCTCTCTCTCTATTCCTCTTGGGTGTCCGAACAGCTATCGCTTCCCCGATCGCTGCCTCTGCCACCCCTCCCTCTCAGCTGGATTCCTATTTCCCGCATTGTTCTTATCCGCAACCCGGCTTGCTCTTCCTCTCCCACACACATTTCACTTCCCTTGTGTGCGGGCGCTCGGTCTGCCGTCATTTTCTTCCTTCTTACCAATCGCCCCTAGAGCTAAATTAGATTCAATCCTTTCCCCCCTTCCATTCACAGTCTTGTCGCGTCCCCCATCGGCCGGGCTAAGAAAATGTCATGGCAGCTGCCCCGCTAGACAGCTCTAGCACCCCGCCTGAAACAACCTCCTCGATTGATTCGACGCGTCCCCTTGGTCATCCCATGGAAGAGTCGGATCCTCAATCCACCCGGAAACGCCCTCGTCTCGACAGTGGGAGTGGTACCTGTGAGTCTAGGTCCATTCCCGACGAAACTGCCGCTACTCGATTCCCCAACGACATCCCGGATGCTCCTGCCACAACGGGTCAGGACGCTTCTCCCTCCTCTCGCCCGGCCAGCCGAGTGGTCATCAAGCTGAAGTCCCCTGTACCCGATAACATGGCGTCTAAGCCTGGTGACTCCCCGGTCGAGCATCCTAGCGGTGGTGATCTTCCTACTCAATCCGCAGCAGGCGAGACCGGCCTCGACGCTTCCACCGCCATATCGCTATCATCGTCGCCTACACAGAGCCCAGAGATAGAGGTGGCAGACTTGGAAGATATGGATCAGGACCCAAATACCTCCAGCTGGAAGTCGTTGGGGGAGGCGATGCGCGAACCGGAAACCCCAGAGGTAGTGCAGCTGCATGACCAGCCGCCGCTGACGGAGACGTTCCCGAGATTGATCATTGGAAATGAGCTGCGGGAAAATCTGGAGGAGATTTGTGCGATTATTGAGAAAGGTAAAGCGCTTCTTCTATTGCCTTATACTGGCTCTTGCCGTGCCAAGTCTAACCATTTATCCATAGGCTCCCAACATGATATCCCAGTATTTCTTGCCGTGAAAGCTTGGTTCGACGACGTCGCGAACAATCTGGATCAGTTAACCCCTGAAGTGTTGGCGGAGGACCGGGACTTCTGGGAGGAGCTACCCACCGTCGTGGATAGCTTGTTGCGCAGAGTGTAAGTGGCTTCTACTTGTTTTCGCCTTGGTGACACTCTACGAAGTTTGTCGATCAACCCCGCACATCCCGAGTACTAACATCTTCTTAGCGTGGAGTTCCTGCCGGATGAGGGGCGGGGGGCATGGGCTTGTTTAGAAGAGTTCTTCCTGGATTTCGCTCATTTGGCGGTTCATGTCATTGACCTAGATACCATCTTCCTGACCCAGGCTGTGGACGACGCAGAGGCTCAGTTATCAGACCCATTGTCGAAATCCTACCTGGTGTCACTGGGTTGGATTCTGCAGCTGGCCAATATTCCGTTCTTCCGCACCATGGAGAATATACACGGATCGGACGTAGCGAATCTGGTCGCTCGTACGAATGATCAGATCGCTGCTGCGCTAGACATCATCCATCACTTGTCCGATCATGCCGCCTGCGTTCTGAATCTCATTACCCGCTGGTCTCAACTTTCAACGTCTTTGATCGCGATAGTTACTATCGTGCATAATTTAATAGATTCAGGGAACGAACGGCGCAGGTATCGCGCGGATGATACTTTAATAAATTCCTCCATTTACTCTCGCACTCTGAGGCGTGCTTACCCATTGATCCGCGCCGCAGACGAGAAATACCAGTTTCACATAACCAAAAAGTCTCCTTGGGTGTCGAGTGAGACGAGCGAATCCATGCTACGCCACATAGCTTTCTCCTACACTACGCTATGCGATCGTGATCTAGAGCTTGCTTCAAAAATCGCTGAGGATCTCGCGATAGAACTGCCAGAAGATGTAACACCCGAGGATCGTTCATCTATCATCTTCTACGGTTGGAAGTTTGGCGTCCTGAAGAAGCACATCATGGATGGGCGCATGGAGCTGCGTGTTAATGGCGTGGAAACAATGCAAGCAGAACTCGTCCATATCTGGAGGCAACATATCCACAGAAATACCTCAGACACAGTTCACCCTGTGGTTCAGTATCTTGTGGGCTTTCTACGACACAATCGGATCGTTGAGTACATTGTGGGAATTGATTCTCACCCTCAGCTCATCAGCAGAAGTGGGAACATTGTCGGGTTCCTGGTCGTCACAGCTACATATACCGATGCGGACACAGACACGATATGGGAGACAGTAACAGAAAGCCCAGATCCTCGAACTGTATCCGAGGTGTTAGGAATGTTGAGCAAGACTTTCCAGATGCATACCTCGAATTCGCCTGCGTTGGTCTATGTGTGCTCGAAGCTGCTAGATCTTCCGTTGGCGCGCTTTGACGCACGAATGGTAGACTTCTGTGAACAGCTGCTCCACCAGGTGAGAGAAAAATGCAGCGATAGAAGTCATCGTGAATCCCAGGACCAGATTCATGTGGATGCAATTCCCCTGCGTCTGTGTGTGCGTTTGATCCGTGAGAGTGCTGGTGCCAACGACTTCCCTGTCGAGCACAAGGCCCTGCTTCAGAAGTTCGCGGCTGCCCAGCTGAGTTCTTTCATGGACATCGGTCTGAGTGAGGTGGACAAAATGGAGATATATGAGCAGTGCCTTAAAGACATCGCTGAGATGAACCAGTTTACTGTTGGCAGCATCCAGGCTCTGAACGCCCTTCTTCCCAGCAATGATTCTTTGGAACTCCGCAAGCTTGCCGAGGAATTCGATCTGACTCGCTTGGTGATCACAGAGTTGGCTCATACAGTGGACATGAACCAGACCGACTTTACTGATCCGTTTTCTCTAACCGGATTCTCGTCAAGGGTCCATATGCTGGCCCGGATCATCAATATGGTCTCGGACTCAATAACCCCGGACCTCGGTGATCTGCTTTGGCGCAGAGTCTTCATGTCGAAGTCTCTTGCGCAGCAGGGCAGACGCGCCCTATGGGACATGCTCTGCGGAACTACCCGGTGTAGCGCCCAAGCAAACTCATTCATTGAGCGCTGTATTCAGGTCTACCTACCCGAGCTCTCGCCCGCTGAAGACTATCTTCCGGAGGTTCTTCAGTTCGCGAAGCAGACAATCAATTATGAGGTCCGGTTCAACCCCCCGTCAATCGCTGGCGAGAACGAGGTGGTAGCGATACCGGGAATGGACCGGATATGGAGCTTTATTCTCACGGCTCCCCCTGGTACAATTGAAACTGACGCGATCACTTTTGCAATTGAGGTTTATCTTGATCATAGCATCATCAACCGGTCTCCACGTTCGGCTGTTGAGGCTACCCACATCGCTCTGGTGGACCGTTGTGTGGATCAGCTCAAATCTGCGGCGTCGAGGCTGAAGGCATACCACGACAGCTCAGACACGGCTCAGGACGTATCCATGGACGCAGTTGCATCCGATAAAGATGTCAAGGCGGAAGAGCTCAGATTTAGCCGCTCATTACTTTTTCTTCGCCGATTCCTGCAGGGGCTACGGTGTCGTCCTCAGTATAGTCCACCGCAGAGCTTGCCTCTTGATTCACCCGGCAAACCGGTCCAGGGGGACGCAATCGATATCCGCTACCAAACATTCAATGGAGGCACCCAGTCTAAAGTTCGCTCATTGCACATCGGGGATTTGTCAACCGCTGCGGAGCTTGCAGAGACTCTCGTGCGGGTCACAGGTTTCACCAAATTCAGTACGATCTCTGGTGGACAGCGGATCGATCTTCTTGAAAAGCCTGGCATTACCATTCGGGACCTCAAACTCGGCTCGGGCCTACTTCTTATCCGTCGGGACCCAGAAAGTCGTGAATTGGCCATGGCTGGTAGACGCCAATCTCTGACCCTGGTTGATTCTGAAGTACTGAAACACTTTGACGACCTTTACGATCTCCTTGTCCTCCAGGATCATCTAGCACGCGAGGTGCGAATATTACCTTTCTTATTTGTTTTCGGTAACTGTCGGCTGAGTACTGATTCATTTTATTAGATATATGACTTTCTCATCGTTTTCCCTCCCCAGGACAGGGTTCTGGAGTTGGTTAAGTCGACGGACAAGACTGAGGATGAAATGTTCCCTATGGACAAGCCGTTCAGCCTCCTTTATTCAGTCAATGCGCTTTCAGTTTCGTTACGTGAAGAAACTCTCGAGGTAAGAGTATGATATCCCTGTGGTGTACTTGGCTTACCAAGTCGCGTCGTTAGGCATCACCAAACCAAGACTATGTATCCCACAGCATCCGCGTCCTAGTCTCTGCCTTGACACGGTCTGAGATGGCAGATGGCTTGAAAGATAGCCCCACCAAACTTTTATTTGCAACGCACATGGTCGAGTGCCTCCTTTACGCGCTTCTGGTACGACCAGCTATTCCTGGTGAAGCGCCGGTGGTCCCGAATCCAACGGCATTGGCTCAACGACTCTTCCATTTTATGGAAGTTGCGCGGTTTCTTCCTATTTCTTGTTCTTCGGAAACAAGCATTGCTAAGCTAATCTGTAACTCGTTCGCCGTCCTGACCGAGGGCTCAGTTCGGGACCTAGATTTTTGGGAGGCTGTCAAAGAACAGCCGCACTTTGATGAACTTCTTTGCTCTCTTCTTCTGAAGGAACATCGTCAGCCCATCCGGAAAGGCATTGCAGAGAACATTGCTGTTACCTGTAGTCCTTCCAAACTACTCAGGAAATCGACGAAGCCAATTGATTCGGAGACACAAGAGACACAAGACACACCAGCTCCTGACAATGCCATTCGAATTGAGATCCTTGCAAAGATCTGGACTGCTTTTGACAAGACTTTCCCCGCAACGCTAGATTATGCAGCACAATGTCAGGAATTTCTCGAAATTGCCAACCTGGTTTTCCGCTCCGTTGCTGAGAGATCACCGCACGACCTTTCATTCAGCCAATATCTGAAGCAATGGAGCACTACCATGCTGCGCCATCGAACAGAAGAGGTCTGACTTTTCCTACTCTATAGTTGCTAATTTGCTAACCTTCCTATAGTTTGTTGGTCGTGAGCCTGTAGACCATCTCATTTTGGGCTTCGCTCGTCTTCTGAGAATATGCCTGGAGCTGGCAAGTTCTAACGATACCACAGTTGACACCTTGTAAGTATGGCCGCAGTTGCGTCCATTATTCTATACTGACTTTGCCAGCGATCTCGCGGAGAGCCTGTTCGATCAATATCTCTTCCCCGACCTTTCCTCATCCTCCACCGACCTCATTGTACCTCAAGTTCCTGTCATGCACACCCAAACCAGGCAGGAGCTGTATGGTATACTATGTCAGCTCTGCAGGCTCGATGTGAACAACTACTCCACAATCGTGGAGCGTCTTGAGGATCTTATTCCGCTAGGTCTGTACTCCTGTCTGTACTCCTGCGTTTTTCCTGCTCTTGCCTGTATCATTGCTGACTGATATCCTGCTCAACAGATTACACCTACTCTCCTGCTTGGGGCTTCGACCGTTACAAAATGCTCCGATCTCCAGAAGGTTATGCGGGGCTTAAAAACCTCTCAAACACCTGCTACTTGAATTCCCTCTTGACTCAGCTTTTCATGAACGTTGGGTTTCGTGACTTCATGCTGCAGCTCAATCTTGAGGACCCGGACGGCTCTCAGAAGCTGCTCTATGAGACGAAGAAGTTGTTTGGGCACATGCAGGAGACCTGGAGCAAGAGTGTTGACTCGCAGGCCTTTGTCGACACGATACGCACCTATGACAACGAACCCATTGACGTCACTATTCAAATGGATGTCGATGAGTTCTATAATCTTCTTTTCGACAGATGGGAGGCTCAGATCTCAGACAACGAGAGTAAGAAAAGATTTCGGTCATTCTACGGTGGCCAGCTGGTTCAGCAAATCAAGTCCAAAGAATGCCCCCATATCTCGGAGCGCCTTGAACCGTTCTCCGCTATTCAGTGCGAAATCAAAGACAAAGCGAGCCTCGAAGACAGTCTACAAGCCTACGTTGAGGGGGAGATTATGCAGGGAGGTAAGTGAAATTGAACAGATAAATACAAGGACACCACACTGACGGTATTGTCTCCGCAGATAACAAGTATTCTTGCACATCATGTGGGCGCCACGTCGATGCAGTCAAACGGGCCTGCCTGAAAGACGTGCCTGACAATCTAATATTCCATTTGAAGCGCTTCGACTTTGACATGGTTACGATGTTGCGAAGCAAGATCAACGATGAATTCCAGTTCCCAGAGTTTATTGACATGAGCCCGTTCAAAGTTGAATACCTTTCAGATCAGACAGCAGAAGTAAAGGAGGACATTTTTGAACTCGTTGGTGTCTTGGTTCACAGTGGTACGGCTGAATCGGGCCACTACTACTCTTACATCCGTGAGAGACCTACTTCTGGGACAGGGGGCTCCTGGGTCGAGTTTAATGATTCTGATGTTAGCCGATTTGACCAAGCAAAACTTGCTGACCAGTGTTTCGGTGGCCACAACGACCCCATGCAGTCCTCGGCCATGGGCCAGGTCCGGTTCAACAAGGTGTGGAACGCCTACATGCTGTTCTATCAACGTGCTTCTAGCATGGAGGCAGAGAAGGCGGTCTACAAACCAACAAAGCCTCAACACCCTGTGGGCGTGCCCTTGCCCATCGAACTCGCAAACCATATCGTGATGGAGAACGAAATTTTCATCCGTGTCTACTGTCTGATGGACCCATACCACTCTCTCTTCGTTCGATACCTGCTTTCCATGATTGTTGATGAGCAGGGACCCAGGAGTGATGCCAAGGCAAAATTGGATAAGTCTATGATATTCATTGCCATGGATACACTAGAACAATTACTTTCGAGGTCAAGGGAGCCGTTGGGACTGGACGCATTTGTGACACTGATGTTCACAGTCATTGCCGAGGTACCAAAGGCGGCTTATAGAGTCATGCAGTGGTTCGAAAACAAGCCGTCAGCAACCCGCAATTTGATTTTAAGGAGTCCCCATCCCGCTGTCCGCAGCAACTCGATAAGGCTCATAATCTGCTCCCTTTCGAAACTCCAAGATCTTCAGAAAAACGCGGATGATGAGGATATCGAGAGGGAAATTTGGAAGATGAGATACTCGAATAGCTTTGAGAATGTGGTGCGAACTTTGGAAAGCCTGTGGTCAACATTGCATACCGCGAGCCGCTCTTGGGATGATTATTTCGAGTTCTTGTCGATGCTTGCAAACTTTGGGCAATACGAAGCTGGCATAGTTCTCAATAATGGGTTCCTTCTCAAGTGCCTTGAAATCGTCTGGCTTGACCACGAGGACTCCAAGCGACTGCGACGGCAGTACGCTTTCATCATTAAGTTCATGGAGAAAGGCAGGCGCTTCTCATACAGAAGACTCATGGATCTCCTAGCCTACCTATTAGCACGCATTGACCTCACTGTGCCGCCCAGTCAAGATGACAAACGACGAACCTTGCCAGATGGCAGGTACACACTTACAATGTCGGAAGCCATCTTTATTCGGCCGCTGGGGAAGAGCAATGAGTTGTCATTTCTGACAACAGTTCTCACGCACAACAGCAGTCCACCGGCAAGCAGGAATATCGTTACTCTTTTTGTGGACGCAGAGCCTGATGCTGGCCTTATGGATCCAATCTGTAGGACCCTGGAAGAAGGCCTCAGGCTGGCACCAGCCAGTCTTTGCGCTCCATTCCTAGAGGCAACCTTGATATTCTGTCGACGAGGCCCTGACGAGGCTAGAATCGTCAGTCTGATTGACTTTGTCGCCAAAGGGGTGGATTCTATCAATGATAGCGGTGGCAGAGAGCATATTGCGTTCTTCACAAGCGTTATGGGCAGTCGCAACGATCGGCTTGGACTGAATGAAGCTTGGTTCTTGAACCATCTCATTGATATGGTCCCAGACTGGGCTCCTCCCTTGTTAACTTTCCCCGATAGAGGGGTTCGAAACATGACGCTGGACGTCCTTCGCCAGATCCTGTTCAGCGGCGAAGCAGACGAGGTAGACGACGATTGGCAGACACGTCAGGCCGAAGTAGCCAAGAAATTGGTGCATGCAAGCATCAACCGATTGCGGAAAGCATACGTCAATGTCCCGGGCTCTGGCATTGAGCCCAGAGCTGTGGAGTCCATTCGCACTGTGGTGGAACATTGCCTAAGTACGTATTTTGGTGACAGTGAAGAAGACCAGGAGGCTATTCTACAAGCTCAGGGTATGTTAGTCTAAGAATCATGTTCGGTTTATTGCTACTAACGAAGGACTATACAGAAACCATTACAGCTGTCGAGGACCTGATTGCTGACGTCCCAGAAGAGCTAGCATCTGGTGAGTTGTGATTGCCTTTCCATCCATATCCAGTTCAGCCACTGACCTCATCCCTTGTAGAAGATTGGGAGGATAACTCCGTCATGGCCAGTGATTCGGAGATGGGGCTGGCAGGATCTCCGTGAGACCTGCGTCCGGTGACGCCTCCGCGGTGGTTCATTGTATCACATATGAGAGACGAATTTATGATAAAACGCTTTTTTGTGTGGTTCTGGCCTGCATTTATCGGCGTTTTCTTCCTCGTCCGGCTCTAATAGAATTGGGCCTTTGCTTCTGTTCCGGCTAATGTTGCTTTGTGTGTTGGCTTGTATTCCCTTTCGCTTGAGGACGTTTTCCTTTTCCATGGCATGTGTGTTAGTGCAAGGGGGAACTTTGACTTGGCGGCTTTACAGTGTCCGTCTGTTATGCGCTTTCTGGAAGGAAGCTATTTTACAACCCTTGCAATGATGATGATTCATAGGCTTGCGTTACCGAGACGCCAAAGCCGGACTTCATGAGCGGTTGCTTGGCGTGTGCGACCTGGTTAATATGTGCTTTTGATATCTTCTAGAAGGGTAAACCTGGAGCAAGTTGTAAACTGCACTTAATGCCTGATCTTTTGCGCCTGGCAAATGGCTTTGGCGTTGTTTAAGTAGCTTTAGATCACTATGGCCCTATATTCAGTAGACAGATATTGATTGTATTTATACGAGTATGCTGGATTTAGTTCATGGATCTATCATGTTTACTACGTTCATAGAGCAGCCTGAGGCAGGCCAGAACAGAATGTGCATTAGTGAACGACTTTTTCCATGTCTTCAGTCCAGATCAGCACAATCGTCTATGGATATGGACCAATGAACTTATCTGAGGGACATAACAGCCAGTAAGTATCTAAGAGTATATCGTGAAGCTCAACTTGAATCGAGAACGATGTTACTACAGAAGCATGCAGACGAATACTGTCTAACTGGTCATATGATTAGCCTCATTGATAAACTCCGTTAGCATACTCCTGATACTGAATGACTTGGCTTGGGTTACGTCTCAGGGAAGACTCACCTGTCAGAATTCCTTGGGTATCTCAAATTCCTCTGTTCTCACCTCACTCCTTATTCTAAATCTCTTCAATTTTGTAATCATGTCAAATGACACTATCTTTACTTTGGACTGACTCATTCCGCCAGTTCTTAGTCTCTTCAGAAGCCATATACGTCAATGGCCTTTATCTTTACTTTCCTCGTACTTTCACAACACTGGACTCACAACTGTGATTCTGGAAACTTTCTCAGGAAGAAGGTTCTACAGCCATAAATACCCCTGGAGATCATCTTTTACCACTCACTACCTTGGAGGCGTCTGTTCTAATGCGCTTCAGCTATCAACACTCATTTATTGATACAACTATCTCTCCTTGCAATTTCGACTCGGCCTTTCGTCAGCTTTGCCAGCTCTCAAGGATAAAAAATCTCATGTCTGATTGTACCTATTCTTTCTCTGGGTATCTTTCACTTGATAAGTTGGTGAGTATTCTCTTGATATATGCTACATATTGCCGTATTTAAATATCTAATAGATATACTGATCCTAACAGTTATAGATCTTTGGTGATTGACATCGATTGCTCAAGTGATGGCTCCTATACTGATGAGACTTGCGGACATTTCAACCATTTCTCCAGAATTGGCTGGCAGCTAGGTTCTAATTTTACATTCATCTATCATGCGTCCTGGCCGTTAAGACGTTTGAAATAAAGGGGGGAGGTGGGGGGGAGGGCGCCAGCGCCCACACCGAGACGGCGAAATCCAAGTCAAGCAGTAATCAAATATTACACATCTTCGAACTCCTCATCATCGTCCTCGTCGGACTCTTCTTCTTTCTTAACCTCCGGTTCAGTCTTGATCTTCTTCGCCGTCGGTCCTTCCTCTCCGCCTGTAGCTGGCGTCGCCGCTGCCGTCTGAGATGTACTGACGCTCGAGTAATCCGTATCCAACTCCCGCTTGATACCAACCGAAGACGTAGTCGAAGTCTGCTGCATCGGCGCACTAGTAGGGCCCCCACCAGGCGTAGGCGTAGCATTAACAGCAGGAGAAGCAGCCGCATCACTAGCTGACACACCCACATCCTCGAACTCATCAAACTCATCCGAGTCTTCCTCTGCACTGCTTGCGTCTTCTTGCGCCTGGAGGGCCTTCTCACGCTCCATTTCAGCATAGTACGCCGCGACCTTGTCATCCAGACCGTTGATTTCCGGTTTCCGGTCTTCGTCTTCGGGCTTGATCTCCGGTTTGATGTCGATGTCTGTCTCAGATTTAACATGCGGCCCGTTGCCCGCGGACGTGGACACCGTGGAGTGGGTGTGCCAGACTGGCAGGGCATTTTGTTTCTCGACTGCCGCTTTGCGCGCCGCTTCGGCGGCTTGTTCGGCGGCGGATTTCTCTTCGCTAGAGGTGAGGGAAATTTCGAGAGCGGTGGCGTCGGTCTTGGTGTTGCCGCGCACGGCTTCTTGTTGTTGCTTCGAGGGCACGATGACTGCCGCTCGTGTGGGGTGGGTTTGCTGGTTCCGGACGACGTCGATTTTATGGTCCCAGGCCGTGTCGAAGTCGTTGGGGGGAATTTCGACGGAGTCGATTTGTTTGAGGAGTTTGAGCATTGTGTCCAGTTGGTTCATTAGTTTGCTGTTTTTCTCGTGTCCGGTTCTGTCTATGCCTTCGGCGCCTTTGACGTCCTCGGTGCGTTCGAGGATCGCCCCGCAGTTTTGGCATTCGAAGCCTTCTTCGCTGTAGAGACTGAGGACGTCGAGTTCGGTCCATTCGGAGCCGCAGCGGAGGCAGATGTATTCTTTGCGCTCTTGGCTTGGTGTGTATTGGGCTTTTATTGTGGAGGTAAGTTTCGAGACTTTGTATTTGATCGCGTCGACGACGGGGTGTAGTGGGATGTAGTAGTATTCGCGGTTCACGGGGCGGGTTGAGCCATCGCGAATTTCAGCGCGCGTGCTCCTGTTTTTTTTGGGTTGGATGTTAGTGAGGGTGGTTCCTTCGTGGTGACACTGGTGTAGGTGTAGATGTAGCTTACACGGAGATGAGCCGATCTTCGCGCAACTTGGCGCAGAGTTTCCGTAGGTCTTTTTGTTGCATGCCGAGAAGAAATGCGAGATCTTCTGCGTGAAGACTATAGGATCCATCTGGTTAGTATGGAGTGTCCGTTGCGATGCGATGATATTGGTGCGGGACGTACACGGAGTGGATGAAGAGCGCATCTACTACGAGGATGTGGCGGGTCTCGTAGAAGGCGCGCACGACGCTGCGAATAAGGGTGTTTGCGAGATCCATGATAGCTGGTGTAGTTACAGAGGTTGTTTAGGAGTGCGGAATATAATACAAAGAGGAAATGATGAGGTGTTGGTCAAGCTGGAGATTCTGTCGGCGCAACCCGCGCAAATGTCCTTCTTGTCTTCCAGTGTTAAGCTCGGCGCTGCAAGCTCACCATGCTTTGTCGGAGAGCTGATGGTGGGACAGAGATAACAAGATCTCGAATATAGTATGTATAAGGTCGGCAGTTATCGCGCGGGGAGGGTGGGAGGATTGACTGGCGAGAGATGAAAGAGAAGATGAGGTTTGAATGAATGAAGCCGGCGGAGGTAGTTGATACCTCAGGCATACATGCAGTGTCCTGCCTGGGGCATGAACATCCCCGCAATTGGACTAGCGCGGAGATAGAAATGCGGCAACAGAAAGAAAAGGCGAGCAGAAAAGCGCATCGACAAGCAGCTTTTCCCATGCCGCTCCACATTTTCCTGCGACGCTCTTTGGCCCCCCATCTGTCAGTTTCTGGCGCGCGCACTTCTCTGCGTACCCCCCAAGCGCGGTTCTATTCTCCCGACTACCTACGCTCGCTAAAGGCCCGTCGCATCCCATGGACAATAACGAAGGAAGACCTCCGCAAGCCGGAGGCGGAGCTGATCGAGGTCGTAAGAAGCGGAATATGGGACGATCCGAGTGGAGGTATGTTGTACATGCCCCCGATCCGGGATGTTTGGGTTGAGCAATTGATTGTCTGACTTCCAGCTAACCCAGAAAGTCGGAATATGGTAGATAAGAGAGCCCGCCACGATGCTCAGCAGGAAGCGAAACGTCGCAAGATCGAGAACGGAGAGGAGGTTAGGGCTCCTGTATATGCGACGCAATTCTCCAAGGAGGACATCGAGAGTGAGCAGCGCCGCCCCAAGAAGAAGGTCGCCGTGCTGCTGGGATATTCGGGAACCGGATACAAGGGCATGCAATTGTATGATTACGGTCGTTTGCGATTTACCTTGAAATATATCGGAGCTGTTACTAATTGTAGGTAGGAGCGAGACGGAAAAGACCATCGAAGGAGAGCTCTTTGCGGCTTTCGTGGCGGCTGGCGCCATCTCCAAGGCCAACGCAACCGACCCGAAGAAGTCATCGCTGGTGCGGTGCGCGCGTACCGACAAGGGTGTCCACGCTGCGGGAAACATTGTCTCCTTGAAGCTGATTGTCGAAGATGAAGACATTATTCAGAAGATCAACGACAAACTCAGCTCGCAGATTCGCGTATGGGACATCCTCGTCACGAACAAGTCGTTCAGCAGTTATCAGCTGTGCGACTCTCGCATCTACGAATACCTCATCCCGACTCACTGTTTCTTGCCGCCTCACCCCAGTACTTACCTGGGCAAGAAGCTCTTCGAGTACGCCGAGAAGGAGGGTGACCTAGAGGGTTACAAGGCGCGACAGGAAGAGGTGGCGAGCTACTGGGAGGAGACCGACGAGAAGTACGTCCGTCCGATCCTCGACAACACGCCCGAGGATATCCGCAAGCTCGTCGAGAAGGTCCTCCACCTGAACGATGAGGACCAGTCCGCGCAAGACGATATGTTCCAGACACAAGATAAGCCTGCATCTGAGGAAACCACCGAACAGCCATCCTCCGAAGGAAAGCCCGCAGATGCTGAAAAAGACGAGGCCGAAGAAGCGCGCCGACGTAAGATCTTCGAGACCGTCAAGGCCATCAAAGCCGCCTACCTCCAGGCTAAGAGGGCCTACCGCATTCCGGCCCAACGCCTGGCCCGCGTGCAGGAAGCCCTCGACAAGTACGTCGGAACGAATAACTTCTTCAACTACACAATCCAAAAGACACATGCCGACCCATCCTCAAAACGTCACATCAAGTCCTTCAAGCTGGCCGAACAACCCATCATCATCAACGGCACCGAGTGGCTCAGCCTCAAGGTCCATGGCCAAAGTTTCATGATGCACCAGATCCGCAAGATGGTCGCCATGGCTGCCATGGTCGTGCGCTGCGGCTGTGATCCCCAGCGGATTGTCGAGACTTACGGCGCCAATAAGATCGCCATTCCCAAGGCTCCCGGTCTGGGTCTGCTTCTTGAACGGCCCGTCTTCGACTCATATAACCGGAAGACCCATGAGACGGGCAAAGACCCCATCGACTTCGACAAGCATGCCGATACCATTAATGAGTTCAAGCAGCGTGAAATCTACGATCGTATCTTCCGTGAGGAAGAGGAAACTCATGCGTATGTTTATCACTCCCCTGTTTTCGTTCGTCCTTGGAGTTATTGATTCAGAACTAATGATAATATCTTCCGTTTAGTTTCTCTGCTTTCTTTGGCCACCTCGATCACTACTCGCAAGAGGAATTCCTCTACGTCACGTCGGGCGGTATCCCTGCTGCCAGACTAGTCTCGGTGCCTGCTAACGGCACGGAGGAGAAGAAGTCGCAGCGCGAGGCGTTGGCAGAGGTGGAGGGTGCTGCATCGGAGGATGAGGGTGCTCCTCCGAATGGGGGAGAAGAGGGAGGTTAGATAGATAACTGACGTGCTGTCGACAATGAAAGACTGATGTTAGCCATCTATAATACATGTAAGCCATTACCACCCCACACGATCGCCTTACATAGCGGCTACACAAATCAGACTTCCCTCAGTCTACCACTCAAGCGCCCCCCACAAGCTCTCCTAGCAGTAGCACAATAAACGGCTCTCTAAAATATTCCTCTGTATACGGACCACTGCTTAGAAGTGCAGCATTTCTACTAAGATAGTTACGAAACTCGGGAGACGAAAGGTCTGAATACAGTCACTGAGAACTTATTATGTTTATTACTACGAAGCTGGACAATCAGCTGGGGTCTTAGTACTAGTTATCGTCGCCACAGCAAGGTTCCTATTCTTCGTCTATTAGAATAAAGTTCTCCTTAACCATCGGTGTCGCCTGTCATCAGACCAGCACGGACGTCCACAACGAGACCATTAAGGAACAAACTGTTCCAGTGCGCCAGGACTTCCGGGTGAAGGTGTGTCGGCTTTCGCTCACTCAGACGGTCGTTGTTGAGGATAGCTCCATTGGCGACCACGATCAAACGTGCCCTTGCCCTGGTGAGGGCGACGTTCGTGCGGCGATTGTCGGAGGCAAAGCCTAAATGAGACTTCGCCCCTGAGTCCACAACCCAATCCAATATCGCCATATCCACTTCGTGGCCCTGCATGGAGTCAACCGTGGCTATTTTTATCATGTCCTTCCAAGCGATACTGAGCCTTTCCGACAACTTCTTCAGGCGGCGGACGTACTCTTTTCTCTGATCTGCATACGTCGTGATGATAGCGGAAGTTCTTCCCTTGAGTGCATCGCGACTGATCAGAAACTCCACGAGCTTCATAACGACAGTGACATTGGCAATGTTTGAACGCGAGCGAGTTTTTCCATTAACCACAGCTTTTCCATCAGTGACATCGATACCGATGAGTTCCATACCCCTTTTGAAGTTGGCACCTGGTGCTTTGGTCTTGATCTAATCAAGGAGCGCACCTGACAACTCAGGACCAAGGGAAATTGAGTGAACGATCGCGTTATTGGACATGTTTCCACTATAGGTGAACTCGGATGGAAATCTGGAGAGGCGCGGGTGCATATGGTGCTGCTCAGAAACTAGTGTAAAGGGAAATTGGGAACGACCAAGTCGGTCAAATAGCGATCTTCCCATCTGGTATCCGAATTCGTTGTACCCAGGGACCTCAGATGCTGTAATTAATAGAGGAGGGAGTTGTTGCTGGTCACCTCCTCTGATTGTTCTTGGAATAAGTTTCTGCTTGTTTGGAGTTATAAGGGGTATGAGCACGTATGGTTCAAGAGCCTGTTTATCTTTGTCTGTGAAAATGGTATTTTTTTTTCTGTTCGCACCAAAGTTTCTTTTGATGATAATCGTGCCGGTTAGATTGTGTGTGCAGGCTATGATGGATGCTTCTTGGACCACAAGTTCACTGATGGTATTCCAGTACTTCTTGAACGCGGTTTCTTCTGCCTGCCATTTCTCAATCTCTTCTGGGAAGGAAGGGTCTGGATGTCGATCCTTTGGCTTAGATAAATAGTTGTTGATAACTTCATATGATGTATTCTGGATGTTATACTTGGTCAAGTCAGTGATTTTATCTGGAATCATGGTTTTCTATTTATTCGTCTCCCGCGCAATATTTATGGGCAGTCTTTCACTGGCGTTCAATTTCTCAGTATATTACTCCTTGATGTAAGTCGGGAGAGTGTAATCGAGATCACCCATGCTTTTCTGTGATGGTAATTCCTCGAGTAGTTGCAAGAACCTGATGAGAGTGTTCTGTTTCTCGGTATTGGTGTAATTCTCGAGGTGAGATTTGTCTGTGCCTGCATCGGAATCCTGTGGATAAGTAGACGCTCTGGACCGTTCCTCAATTTCTCCATGGTGAACCTGCATGTAACGAACCCTACGTAGAGCGGTGAGCTGATCTGTTAGGGCATCCATAGTGACATTTCTAGCTCCCACAAGGAGGATGTTAAAACTATAGTTGTGAAGAAATATCGCTACCGTAGCGAGAACGGTGGTTTTACTGTAACCAGGATGACTTTTTAAGAGAGAACAACCTGCTCTTGTCAGGTGAAGAGACCTGAAGGCTGCTTTCTGTTGGTGAGTCTAGTTTCTTGATTGATGGAGACGATGCAGTGCTGGGTTAATGATATTTTTTTTATTCCCTGTAGTAGGTCCACAGTTGCTAAAGTGCCGTGTTCTTGGTTTAGAAGGTCATGTTATTGGTTGACTCTATTTTCTCCCAAGCATAGCTTTTCGAGTGTATTTATCTGTCTTTTCACCGGGGTCTTGTTGATCTCGAATTTCATTAATCTTCTGTAATTGATAGTGGAGTTTTCTTTCAGTAACTTGCCAATCCGGTCGCTATAAAGTAGAATGTTTAACTCATCTGGTGACGCATTCTCGAAGTACTCAGCTTAGTATTGTAAATCCGCTGATTAGTACTATTTATTCAGTATCGGCTGGGCCTGAGATCTGCGGAACTCTCACTGTAAGCTTATTATCGGTGTGTTCTGGTAAAATGATCTCGGTTCTTTTTATCTCCATTGGCAGTAAGTTGTTCTTGAGATGTTCTGGACCAGGACGGACGTGGGCCATGATAGTGGATCTAACTCGCCTGATTCGGATTCCTGCTGGAACTTCTCGGAGTCTCTTGATTTGCTTGTATTGACGCCACCATTCAATGATCGTTCTATAAGCAAATCTAATTATATAACTATCGATGTCGTGGAAGAAGTCTGTTGGTCTAAACTTCACAAGAGGGATTCCGCAATCTTGTTTTACCAGTAAATGCGGTACCTGTTGGCTGTACTTGATCCTCGGGTCGTTACCGTGGGCGCGATACGCGTTGTATGGCTTGGAGGATGGAAGATGTTTTGAGAGGTTAACCAGAGCCTCAAGGAAATAGGCCGCATTGTTAATTTTCTCGGGATTAACATCGACACGGAATTTCACTGTCTGAAGTTCCTGGTTGTTGTGATATGTCAAGTGCTGTAGATGGTCGAAAGCCCTCCTGGCTGGCTTATTAAGATATGAAATAAGCGGATGGTATAAATCATATGAAATGCCACCAGTGGTTGTAAACTTAATGTTAATATAGCATGGATTTTTATACTCGACTTTGGACTCTTTTTCTTTTGCTGCCTTGGCTGTGAAATGTTTTTTGACGGTAAGATTCTGAATACTTCGTGGTTTCTTTTCTTTGATATGTAATGAGATTTCCATTCGGGCAGAATGAACCACATTTCCTGGATGTAACTTGTGTTTTATTTTTGAAATTTCCTTCGTCAAAATCTTCCAAACGAGAGATTTGATGTGATATCTTGGTCGGTGATTCTGAAGCAGACTGCTGTGTTGCCGTGTGAGAAACTAGATTTCTCTGGCAGGAATCCGGCATTAGGAAGATGGAAATGATTCTATATATTTTTGGGGCCCTTGAAATACTGCGCCTGTGAGGAGCTGTCCTGAGCCATTTTAATTAGAATATTCTGTGGTGTATCTTGGTTATTTTCTACGATATGATTGTTTTTAATGGTCTGTATCCATCCCAAAAGTATGAGTAACGAGATTCTGAGATCGGCAAACTTGGTTGTGCCTAAGTGATGGAAATGACTTACTGGGAAATTGCTGTCCTTATTCAGTCTCCAGATATTTTGCTCCTCGTCCTGAGCCCAGAATCAGGAGTGATCTATAGAAAATATTTGATTACTTATTGTATCCTCAGCCAGTTTGGCTTCTTGTGAACCTGCTTCGGGCTCATCGAAGTTCTGATTGTTGTTAATCTCGTAGACCTGATCAGGGATTGTCTGTGTGATATGAGGATTGTCTGGTCCAGCTTACCTGTTCTGTATCTTTGGTAAGGACGTTCTTTTCAGACACTTTTACTTGATTGGCATCCTTGGCAGACACGCCTTTCTTGGTGACTCTCATGTGGCCGGTTTTATTACCGTGCCAAATAAACTCTGAAGCCAATGGGTTGAGCTTTGCGCCGGGACATGCCATCGCTGAACTCTGTCTTGTAGAGTTACTATGAAGATAGAGAAGATAAAGAAGATGGAGGAAGGCAAGAGGAAGAAGTGAGGAAATATATAGTCTCTCTTCTGGGGGGCATTCACGCCTCACTTAAGTTCATTCTTCAAGGCAATCTCCATTTCACTTCTGGGGGGCATTCACGCCTCACTTAAGTTCACTCTTCAAGGCAATCTCCATTTCACTTCTGGGGGGCATTCACGCCTCACTTAAGTTCACTCTTCAAGGCACTCTCCATTTCACTTCTGGGGGTGAAATCAAGATGGGAAGCCTGGGATGATTCACCAGCTCTACGGTATCTTCAGTGTTACTCAGTCACTGTAGGCCTACCAACTAGCCTGCGCAGCAATTCACTAAAGATCAGTACATTCAAGCAGGCAGCCAAAGCTGTAGAACTTTGTGTGTCCACACAGTTCGCCCTCTACATATGGAATCAGATGTGTTTTGCCTTCAACTTTTCTTGTTCATTAGGTACTCTGGATCAAAAGAAAATAGTCCCGTACTGGATACTGTGGAGCTTCTTTCTGGCTTGAGTTCCTGCCCATGAGAGAGCCCAACCACATATCTTCCTCCACAGGCATTCCTTTGCCATACACACATCTGCGTCCACGACCTCAAGTATCTAGCAGATCTCAGTATCTAAACTCGTCTGCACCCTTAAACGTTCCACTTCTTGTGGCACAAACCAATAGAACCATATTATCCTTTCCCTGCCGTTTTTGATACCCTTCGACTTGAAACTAATGGTTATATCTTTTATACAACTTCTCTGATTTCTTGCTATCTCTACTACTACTTACAAGAGAAATTCCACTACATGCGTCGGGTGGTATCCCTGCTGCCAGACTAGTCTCAGTGCCTGCTAATAGCACAGAGAAAAAAGTCACAGCGCGAGGGCATTGGTAGAGGATGAGGATGCTCCTCCGATTAGAGGTGAAGGGCGGAGGGGGGGATGGGGGGTTAGACATATCATACATATTAGCCGACGTGCTGTTGATAACAAGGGGCTCATATGTCAAATATGTATAAAAGCCATTGCTACCCAGTAACTATCATGATATATCTTTCTCAAACGGTACCATCTAGTCAGCGAGAAAAAGAAAATGAAAGCTTGAAAGGCCCCAAAAGATCATCATTTCAGTTCGGCTGAGTTCCTGGTTCTCGTAACCCCTAGTAGTAAGTGGATCCTGACATACTGTATGGACCAAACACCAAGTCCTATTATATCGTGGTGCCCTTGGCATACGCATCCATATACTTGCCCAAAGATGCGTCTGTAGCCATTGAAAATTAGCTGACTGAATCGCTGAATGCTAAGTCTGAAAGGATGGTGAGCAAGCAAACGGCAACGTACAAATAGACACAGCCTCGTTGAGCGAATCCTGCATATAGGAGGGTGCATTCTGCATGACCAAATCAGAAAGAAGAGAAAAGGAGTCAGTCACTGCGATTATACATTCCTTTATGTCTTTTCATCCCCGGGCCGGGGGGGGGGTTTGTTTGGGGGAAGGGGAGTTCCTCGTACCGTCAGATCAGCTCCGTCTTGCAGCCAACCTTTGATCTGTTCTGCATCGGCCTGCACCACGGTCCAGTAGCTCTGGAGGACCTTAACGTTTTGTTGGAAAATGGTAAACTGCTCATCGCCCAAGGTCTCCAAGCCTGTTCGAGCTTGATCAATAGCATTGATCTCGGCGTTCTTATCCTTGACCTGCTGGTTTTTCGCATCAATCTCATTTTGTATAACTGTATAGAAAATGGGGTAAGCTTCACATCATCCATGGATCAGGGTGCCCAAGAAAGGAAAACTTACTGCCCATGGAGATGGCGATGCCGGCCACTGCAGCAGCTGTGGCTCCAGCGAAAATAAGACCACCGATCTGTTACATACCAATGTTAGCTTACTGTCGTTGATACGTTATAAGGAAACAGACGTGAAAGTATTGAGGGGGGAGAGAGGAAGAAGGAATCCAGTTTGACCGGTGCACCTACCAAGATAAATGGAGCAACAGGTCCCGACAAGGCAAGTCCGATACCAGCTGCTGCCAGGCCAGCTCCCAGACCCACACCGAGGGCCAACAGAGATATACGCAGCTTGGCCAACTTGTCATTCAAGACGCCGATGTCTGCAAGTAGGTCCGCTATGTCCTGCCTCAGTTCCCCCTGCTTATCTTGACCCCACTGAGCGAACTGAGCCTTAAACACAATGAAGTCGTTGACTAGAGCATCGAAATCTTTATTGATCTGTTCGCTCTTGGCTCTGAATCCTTCTGCCCTCTATATTGAACGAACAGTTACCTCACTGGAACATTGCATGCATATTTGGTACGGCTTACTGACCGCAATAAACTTTTCAATTTGTTCCAACCGTTGTTCCACGGTTAGGCTTTCATCAGAACATAGCGGAATAATCAACTTATCGAAGCCTGAATTCGCAGGGGATTGTCAACGCGAAGACTAGGAGAACTGGAGGGCAGGCAAAACTTACTGGAGCCATACTGGCTGATGTCGGCTGCCAAAGTCCGGCTAGTGGTGAGAACAGCGTTGTATTTCTTGCAAAGATGAATTGAATCAGCATAAAGGATTCGTGTCCCATAACAGAAACTCTAAGCGGGATAAAAGAAGGGAGGGAGAAGTTGATTAGGCTATCCATACGGTTTTATTGTCATTCAACTGCACCAGAAAGTTTGTCTGTTCGAGCTGATCAATTTCCGCAATCTTCACTTGCAAAGCTGTGAACGAGGTATCAATCGCCACGACTGCCTTGCCCGCAGCACTTGCGTCCTCTTGCATTTTGGCCACTGTGTCCTCCTTGGACATGGTCTTTGCGGCACCCAGCGACAGCTTTCTCTTATCATCCTCGGTCTTGATGGGATTGTTGGCCTCGGCTCCATCGCTGAGAACTTTTCGTTCCTCTTCAGAGAGTGAAGTCGCGACGTCCAAATACTTCTGGGGCGTAGCGTCACTGCCCACCAGCTGGTTGACTTTGTTGGCGACCTCCTCATAGGAGGGCGGGGAGTCACCGACCATGTAGGTAGGAGGAGGAACAGTCGTGGTTGCCATTGTGAGACAGTGGTGGTTGGAAGAGTGTAGAGTGAAGAGAGTAGGGTGAGAATAGATGTGTTAACTTGTGGTGTAGTATGTTCTTCAGACAGATAGGAAGAGAACGATGGTTAAGTCGATAGGAAGAGAGTTCAAGGCCCCTTTTCTGGCTATCTTTATACCATACCACCATCGCGCATTCATTTTCTTTCCATCTCTAAAGGAGGAGGTGGTCGGTCTGCCTGAATGTCCTTCTTCGGAAGGTGTCATGCTATGCACATCCCTCAAGCTGAGTTGTCTCGGACTTGCAGTGAATGTCAATTAACAAGGGTCGAGGAGGAAGATGGCAAGGATGATAGTTGGCTCGGGGAAGAGCCAAAGAGGGGAAGCAGCTGAATCCGCCAGGTCCCCATGTCATATGTCACCTGCACACTCAAGACACAGCTGAGGTTCGAAGGAGGTACAGTGTTCCAGGGGGTATGTCCAGCTTCTCTATTTTGGCCGCCCTCTCAGTCTAACTACACTATAGATTTGCTTGGTTTAGGGACGAAAAAAACATAAGGGAGGATGTGTACGAGATGTGGCAATTGAGTTCAACATGCAGCTCCGTGTGTGATAGCTCGGAAGACTAAACACTAGTGAGTAAGGAGGCTGGCTTACCTTCCGATTAGCAAGTAGGAAGAGCTAGTTCCTTGCGAGGTTTACAGACGGTGGCGTGGTGTATGTGTATGCATGCAGTGTAAGAGGGGTAAAGTAAAAGAAAAGCCCGCAGTTCTCAGCTAGCGTTCCACTATTAGTAGTTGGTTAATGAGCAGTTAATCTATTGGGCGGATGGATATACTCGGTGGGGAGTAGTACATGCAAGTGCTAGCTACACGATGCAGGCAAGGATATCAGAGACATTAGCTTCATTGTAGTACGCGTATACGAATTCTCCCACCGTGGGAGCGGTCTTCCAGCTGCATTGTTTTCTTGACCATTTAGAAGAGTACAGATGAACTCCCCCGCTTCATCGGGCAGCAATGATAGCATTATACCCAATTGAAACTCGTGTTTCGACCTTAGCTCTGCACAGAGTAATGAAAGAGGAGCGAAATTAAAGCAGCTGAGGTCTGGACTTTCCCCGCTCTACTTCTCCTTTACGTTTTGTGGCAAATGCACGCCACGAACCCCTGTCGATGACTGGGATTGACAGATTTACCCGCGGGGATTGACATAGTTACCATGTGATTGCGAACTATCCTCCAGACTGCGAGACTCGGACAGAAATTCTTGACTCGTTGCATCATTGACTAGTACTCAATATGGTAGATCATAGACAGGAAAACATATGGATGGGATGGCTTAGAAAACTGCAACATCAGGCATACACCAGATCACAGACAGCACAATATCACACCAGCCATGCTCAATTACGAATCCTCTTATCGGCGTTCAACCACTCATCCCAAGGGATTTGGTTGGTCTCTTCGGCGTATAGTCGCAAGTACTTGCCTACTTCCACGTCTGAGCCAAGGAATTAGTCTATGCATTGCATCTAAGCTGAAAGAAAGAAGGGGGTCTTGATATGGGCTTACAGATTTTGGCCCCTTCATTCAGTGCCATGTTCATGTACGTGGGCATGTCCTGATCGCATCAGTATGAGGAGAGAGAGACTGCACCCCTAAAAGGCCAGAATTTTTGAACTTACTACAAAGGAGGCACCATCATTCAGCCATAGCTCGATTTCTCGCGCATCGACGAGGGCACTCTGCCAATAGCCGGCGAGGACTTCGATATGCTCTCGAAACTCGTTGAAGTACTCCGTGTTCGTATCTGTCCCACTTCCTGATCGTGTGGCTAGGTCGGATATGACTCTATCGATAGGTACATATTCCCAACTGGCCACTATAGTCTGGTTAGAGGCATAGCCTAGTAGAGTAGTGGGGATGCATAAAAAAGAAGAATACATACTAGATGCAGCTAAAGAAAAGGCCGCATTTATCGCTTCGGCGTTTGCAACTCCAAGCAAGCCAGCAACCTGATCTCGGTCAGCGCATCTTTATTTAGCCTATTAATGTGTTAGGACGCCAAGAATACCATCACATATCGCCCGAAAGGTGATACCAGGGCGACTTTGAGTGCCGGGACTTTTGCATCGAGCGGACCAGCTGAACCAGCTGAAAAGATCGTCTTTGCTGACGTCCTCCGTGCGCGGACGGTTTTTGCCTCCTTTTCGTCCTTTGCGCCTGGCTTCAGTAGAGACTGGCTCCCAAGTTGGTTTACGAAATCCAAGGTTTTGTCAAATACAGACTCTAGGGTGCTGTGCATCTCATCTGCCGTGGTTTGGTATCCTTGCGCATCCTAGTTGAGACAGACACGTCAACTAACAATCCGTAGTCCGATGATTCTGTCGCAGAAAGTCCTACCTTGATATATTCTCGGATTGTCGATAGGCGCTCATCTATAGTGAGAGAACCATCTGCACAGAATTCAATGATCTTGTTGTCGAAGTCTGCAGACTGTTTTTAGAGAATGAACACGCATTCACATGAACTTGGTTTCATACCCTCTGCATACTCCGCAATCGTGTTGGAAAGCGGAACCCCATCTCTCATAGTCTCGCAGTAGAGCTAGACAAAATGAGACGATATTAGCGAGTCAGCACACAGAAAATGCAATTTTCCACCATAGTACGTAAAGGCGACTTACCCTCAGAATTGGTTCATACTCTTCAGTGAGGTGCGTGCCGTTCATTGTATCAGCCCATGCTAAATTGAGGAGAAGCGCAACCATTAGTTCAATGATGCCATTGACTGCAGCAGAGGCCCCGCTGGCAGCATCCCCAAGCACTTGGTCCAGGTCATCCGAGGCCAGTGCCTGCACAGCAGCGGTCGTGAATGCTTCCTTGTCTGTAGATACGAGCTGGTACTTGGCAGGGGACTCAACAAGGGCCTTGCGCTCAGACTCAGACAGCGAAGAGACGGCCTCAAGACAGGCTGACACTGTCACCGGCCGGGATACCTGCTCGTTCAATTTGTGGAGGACGCTAGTCGAAGATGGGAGGACTGGAGAAGACATGGTCGTATGGCTTGATTTGCTAACACAGGATGGCAGGGTGTATGGCCAATGATAGTAACTGGAAGAAAATTGCGAGTAAATCGAATCTTGCCTTCTCTCTTTTCTGTGGTGGCTCTGACGTGCAAATGAGGAGCTGAATTTGTAGCTGTTGTAGCTTTTCCCCCTTCACGTGCGGGATTTTCTTTCGTATGTCGCATGACCTGGAAGGACAAATTTGACGCCATCTCAACTACTGGAGAGGGGGTATAGCACTAAGGGACGACTAGGATATAGAAATTCGAACACCTTTTGGAGCTTCCGACATGAACTACCCTGTCGATGCAGTGGCAACACCCGATATTCGGCCTGCGACGGAAGCCCAGCATTTCAGCTTGTATGCATGTGCAGGCATTGATATGCAGCTAGTCTATGTAACGTACCTTGGGCAAACACCGACGTTGCAGCTCCGCGTCCGTCATTCTGTGGCAAGATGCAGCAACCTTTCAATCTGGACTTCTTCTCATGGTTTGTATGGAATTTTGTGCCTTCGGCGATTCCGATGCCGTATTTTGGGTGATCTTTTTGTTTATGGAAGGGAGCGTTTGGCAAGGGGACCAAGTGACACTGAGCCTAGTAGTATTAGTAGCACTCAGGTAAATCCACGGCTGATTTTATTTAAAGCCAGCATCGACTCCGCCAGTGGGAAGAAAAATAACAATCCTCACGTTCAATTTCCTTGCAAGAAGGTCCCCTATTACCTTACTATTTGATTATATCCCTGTGACAAACCATGTCTCCTCTGCCCGCATACACAGCCGACAGCTCCCCTCCGAGCTATGAGGAGGTCGCTGGAAAGCTGGATGGCCTCCTCGGCACTAATCCAACAGTCGAGAAGGCCCTCGAGGCTGCTCGCTCACTTTCCGATGAGGAGATCAATGTCCTTGCCAATGGTTACGAAGATCACAAGCCACTGCAGACAGATCAGCAAAAAGCCGATTTTGCTGTCGGTGCAGGACAACACCTTTCGTCCGAGGAAGGTCAAAACGGGATGGCGCAGGCAGGAACAGCAGCATCTCAAGCATCGTTCGATATTGATAAACGTCTCATTGATATTCAGCAAAAGCTGGCTGTCATTGACCAGAGATATAACGAGGGGTTTGCGGACACCATTGCTGGCATTCGCCAGGTAGAGTCATCAATCCAGTGCTGCTTGCAGTTCTCTCTGCTGACATAGTTGCATAGGATTACAATCAAGTCCTTCAAAATAGTCGCAACCTGGCAGCTGATATTTCTCAGAATGGCAAAAGTGTGTAGCCATCTCTCGATGCCCTGTTTCAATTACTTCTTTCTGATCTTGTCATTAGGTTTCGACAAAATTATCATTAAATATTGTGCGGACAGCGACATCGCCATCGAGGACCGAAAGGCCAAAGTCAAGACCTTCATCTCAGTGTGTTATGCACCTCTAGCTACCCCGTATGCAACTAGCTTCGAGAATTCCTACTAACAGCCTATTGCAACCGCAGAATACCAACGGTTTTGAGGCGACCGCCAAAGACATCCAAGAACAATACTCCAACGTCAAGAGCAAATTTTCATCCTTCGTAGAAACATACTCAACATGGGCCGAGGACAAAGAAGGAGATCTGGCACAACAAATCGCTGATCTAGAGGAGGAAATTCGCAGCTTGACACAGGAGCTGAACTCAATTGAAGCTGCCCAGAAAGTAATGGCCGCACTCGCAGGAGCGGCGATCCCAATTGCAGGAGCGCTGGGGACCATCTTCGAGCCTGTTAAGCCGTTGATTCTTGTACGTGATAAACATTCCCGCAAAGAACACTGCTCCTCCCAAGCGAGTTACCTTTTACTAAATCTTAGGTTATGCAGATTGGGGGCCTCATTTTCGCTGGCGTCGCTCTCGCTGCCTCTATTGGTCTACTCATTGCCGCTGAACGTGAGATTCTGCTACGCCTTCCCCGGAATGTCCTGGGAGCCAACTACACCTGTAGGGGTGAAAAACAAGATAAACCAGAAGACATTTGAGAAGGAGGATCTCGAACAGCTTCTAGAGAATATCCAAAGTGCGCGCCAGGATCTGCAGGGCATGCAGCAGAGTGGACTGCTCTCTTTCCAAGCCTGTCTCGATGTACTTCCTCAGTACTGGAACTCGACTGTTCAGAATGCACAGTCAATTCATGACTGGTTGGAGAAAGGCGCTGAAACTACGGTACGCACCTGGAAAGAAAACGGTTTGTCCTGAATCGCGTGTAGCACCTACTGATACTTATATTCTAGGCCCGTCCCATGTATATGAACCTGAATGTCGAAAAGGGCGTAGCGTCATGTACGTTCAGCCTCCTCGTGCTGTATGGGGATTTTGCTAACATTTATAGATAACTCTACGGCTGTATACCTTGACAATTATGCGCGCGGGCTGCGAAATCCGGCATAAACGGCAGTCCTTTCGCAGAGGTCATGAGCATTGAGTGTTGTACTGAGTTTTCTTGAAGGTTTATGGGGCCAGCACTTCAAATGTAGTTAGCCATATAAGCATATGATTCATCCACTAGGCGAGCCAGTACCACTGGGCTTTGGGGGGGTTAGGTAGTAGTAGTTATAGTGGTAGCCAGGCATGCTCAAAAGACATTGGAACTCATTAATCATCGTGTCATATTTGAGGAATTTATTTGACACATGATTTTGAATTTGCCGAGCTGAATATTGAGCAATTCCCCATGTACTATTCACCGACCGCTTTCTTCTTCTATATGACAATAAGCAACTTGAGAGCATACACTAGACCACATATATTTGCATAAAAAGCCAATAACTCAGCTAAAGCATTTCTATTTATTGGAAGCTCAGCAATGAAAGTAAACTGTTGATCATCTCTACTAGTAGTAGTATTCACGATACTGCCCGTTACCAGCCAGAATCATCGCTAGTCTGAAGACGATGGATACCGTATATGCCCCATCAAATATGCTTAAACTGTATATAGTAAATCACCCATTTCTCGATTATCAGACCACCGGTGACCCCATTTTCTCCCAAGCGCAGCTTTTCGAGGGCATTTATCTGTCATTTCACCGGGGCCTCGTTGATCTCGAACTTCATTAATCCCTTGTAATCGACAGTGGAGTCTTCTTTCAGTAACTTTCCAATTCGGTCGCTATAAAAAACGACGTTCAACTCATCTGGAGAATCATCTTCGAAGTATTCAGCCATATTAAGCCCACTCACCTTCCATCTGGAAGCTGTACCTGATGTCTGGGAATTCAAAGCGTCAGCTTAATATCTGTGAGTTCCGGGTAATATGACCTCCGTCCCACGAATTTCATCTCCACGGGCAGCAAATTGTCCTTGAAGAAGTCTGCGTTCATTCGGACGTGAGTAATAATTGCTGATTCGGTCTTCCGTATCTTAGACATCGACATCATTGCCTCATAAGCCGTTGTCCTTGACAAATGAGGTCCAGACGAACGTGTGCGATATTTGCAGACTCAAACTTTCTTAATTTCATGTCCGCTGATATCTGTTGAATTCACTTGATCTGCTCGTATTGACGTTACCATTCGAGCAACCGTACCGTTTGCTGTTTAAAAAACTGATTCATCAATATTGTCAAAAAGGTCGAGCCTGGAGGCGCGCCACCGACTGATGGACGCGAGTGGACATGGTATTTAAACATATGGCCCTCATCCGCCACCACTCGATCAGAAAGACCAGCGGCTGTCGGCTCCCACCTGATCCGCTTTCTCTTCTCTTGCTAGTGGCGCCTCTGTTAGTATCGTCTTTGTATCTAGCCAGGGCGTCCTCGGCGTAGCCCGCAAAATCAGTGCCCCCGGTTTCTCGCCTGTAGGTGAGACTGCTCGAAATTTGACTAGAGCACGAACCTCATAACGCTTGCTGGACAGAAAGTCCAGTCTTCGTCATTATAGCATGGTGCTATATGCCATACCATCTCGATTGTAAATTCGTCGACATCCTCACAAGAGTCGCTCACACGTGATCCCAGATTAATTTTTCGTTCTATAATCACGTCCCACAATCAAACGCGGCTTCTGTTGCCTGTGTTTGAGTCTCGTAACTCCACCGTTGGAGACATATATTAGTAAACTTCCTTATGTTCAGAAAGCCGACCGCTCCAGCATGCTGAATCAGGGCACAGCACGGCGCATGGCTTCTGTTGGCCGTATGTGATAAATTTTCTCATGTCACCACTGTGTGAGCGATACCCATTATATGGCTTCAAAAAAGGAAGACCGTCAGCAAGTTCCTTTGAAGCTTCGAGTAAGCTTTATCAACGTGCCCAGGATTAACATCAAAACGGAACTACTCTACCCTAGAAAGTCGAAGTTCCTTTGTGTGGCGAGATGTGAACCGCCGTAAGTGTTTGGATATCTTCTGAGATGGTTCATCGAATTTGAGAGAAAGAGCCGGATTTATAGCCCATGTAAAAGCCACCAGTTGTAGCAGTCAGATTAGCGTTGATATACTATATACTGGATAGCAAATATAGTAAATTCATTGATAAGTAGTATATAGTGGGAGAGTGCCATATGGAGACACGACTGTCTTATGGGCAGCTGTCTTAGCAGTCGAGATTCTTGGTTTTATCTTCATGAAACCTTCCTGTTAGCTGTGTCTGGCTAAGTTTTTGACTATTTTATAAATAGAAGTGGCTTTTGGGTTGCTTCGTGGGTTGCCACTTTGGGCTGAGTTTGACAGCGCTCCGGGCTATAGATCCGATAGTATTTTTGCTTCAAACGGTGAGGCATCTGCATGGTCAGCATTAGAGTATCGGGGCTTGATTTGGACAACGAAAGTGAATTGAATCTGGATAGATATTGTACACTTCGAGGATTCGTACTCTGCTTCCCTGACTTCATCGGCTGTCCCTCTTCCCATAACGTTCATCATCTTCCTCCTCTTTCTGTTTTTCTTGGGGATTTTCTTGGGGATTTTCTTGGGGGTTGTTTTCCTCCATTTGTTGGACCTCTGCTGACTATGAATTTCTGGGCACAACAAGACCAAGGTGGCGGCAATCATGCAAGGTGTCAACCAGACGAGCAGACTGGGGTACATAGCCTAAGTGAAACTCTCGTTTGACGGTCTTTTTGCCTTCGCCGCAGAGTCCTCAGGACAGGCACTCATCAATAGGATTAAAGAACAAAGGAAAAACATAAATCTAGTATTAAACTGCTGTGTCCAAGTGCGAAAATGAGAGCAGAAATCCGTCATTAAGAGATCGAAACCGAAGCCATCTCTCTCGGGACATGAAATGATGCGCGTTGGTCATTGCAATTGTGTGTCTGTGTCTTGGTCGTTGAGGGCTTTTTTTCTTTTTTTTTTTCCTTCTCTCTTGTCTTTCGTCATGCGAAGGCTGCGGTTTTCGTCTTTCTGTATATGAACAAAATGTCAGTTAAAGCAGACACCAAACGGGCAAATCAGGCTGTGCCGTAGTATTAGGAATGACATACGACGAAAACACCACACAGTGGATTCGTCATCGACATCGGTATCGTGGCCCAGAGTTGACATCACGAAAACCAAGCAAGTCAACCGCAACCACTGGATTCAACATCGATACCGTGCGCCAGAGTTGATATCCAATGCGGGGAGACCACCACTGTTGCCAACCGAATATCAGACGATCGCTTCATTATCCCTGGTGGAAAGTCAGAACTAACTCTTTGGAGACGTCAGACAGGATTTGTACCTCATCAGCGGTCGGTTCGTAGCCTTGCGAACTCGCGGTGGTAGGCTCATCCAAACTCTTGCTGTTGTCACCCTAGTGTATCAAATCAGCGACCGCCTGCGCAATATGCAATTTCTCTGTAATAGCTCACCTGCTCTGCACCTTGGGAGGTCACATTCTTCTCAGCGAGATTTATCTGACTGGGTTCACTGCTGTGCCTGAAGAACTCTGCAGTCTGTGAGCTGAGATTTGCGTGGAAGCTTGTCATTCTGTCTGAGAGTCAGTATAAGAGGCAGATAATCGTTTGAGACACTCGGATACTTACATGATTCCAGATGTGAGCAAGGGGCGGAAGGGTACGAGTGAAGATCAGATCGATGAAACAATGTGATTTTGACATAAGAAAGGGACGCAGATATGATAATCGAGTATTAAGTAGGAAAGATCCAAAGGAGTGGATGCCTTGACAGGCTAACGATAGTTGCTGATGCTTCTTCTCTTTTCTCTTCTTTTCCTTTTTTAGTGCTTGATTGTATAGCTGATTTTCAAGCTGCTGACAATTATCAAGCTGCTATAGGTGACTTAGAATGGGGCGGAGTCATGTTTTAGGACATTTGAATGATATAGAAAAAGGGAATTTAGGCCTGAGACTGTAACTGCCTTTTTTTTTTTTTTTTTTTTTTTTTTTTTTTTTTTTTTTTTTTTTTTTTTTTTTTTCTGGTTTTGTAACTTTATGCGATTTCCAGACCCTGGAAATCACGAGACGTAGATGAGCTCGGAATTGGATGTATGTGAAGTGGACAGTTTGGAGAGTAAAGAAATGAACAAAATGGAAATCGGCCTGGATATGTAGGACCTGTGGGAGAGAGAAGAGGATGAAGAGGAAGAAGAGAGGTGGAGAAGAAGGGAGTATTTATAGTCGCTCCTGGGTGGGCCAATTCACTTCAAGTAAACACTTGAATCTCTCGATTTCCTAAGGATAGGGAAGTTGAGGGGAATGTACTCACTTTATTGAAATTGAATGTCACTTGCGTGCAGGTATTGAATTTTAAGGGAATGAGCTTGTGAAGCTGTCCATTGAATACCATCTCTATCAACCATCCCTCCAAAGCTGCGGCACCTTGAATGCCAACGCGTCAGCCTGCTCGTTGCCATTGCGGCATACAACAAAATATCATTTCCTCGCTCTTGAAGTGTATATCTAAACTGATGATGTGTCTCTCCGGTAACTTCAGTAGTCTCGGCCTATACATTGAAGAATGTTATAATGCCCAACGTAATGTATCAGCTTTTATACCCCTCTCTCTCCTCGGGTCGATAGTTTCGTTCCACAGGAGTCAAGATATTGGTTTATTCCAGGTGGTACGTAACTACTGCTATGTGATGGACAACAATATCCTACTAGTACTCTGCGGCACCATATATAAACTAGGAGTGGGCAAACCATTATAACCGTGAAAGTGGTACCAAGATGTCGTTCGGAGTACGGAGTACGAGCCCAGCTGAATGCGCTAATTTGGGTTAACCCATCCATGCCATCAATAGCTTACTTCAGACTACTAGAGTAACCTCGATGACAATTCTTACAATTGCTAAATTGACCAACAGATGAAATGAACCGAGATCTTTTGATACACAGAGAAACGAGAACTCAATTATAGACTCATGAAGGAAAGGCGCTATGTATCATTAAAGGGCGGTGCAGGAATCAAGGACAGAAGAAAGACGGAATATGACAAACAAAAAGAAAC